AGAGAGAGAGAGAGAGAGAAGAGAGAGAGAGAGAGAGAAAAGAGAGAGAAAGAGAGAGGAGAGAGAAAGAGAGAGAGAGAGAGAGCGAGAGAGAGAGAGAGAGAGAGAGAGAGAGAGAGAGAGAGAGAGAGAGAGAGAGAGAGAGAGAGAGAGAGAGAGAGAGAGAGAGAGAGAGAGAGAGAGAAAGAGAGAGAGAGAGAGAGAGAGAGAGAGAGAGAGAGAGAGAGAGAGAGAGAGAGAGAGAGAGAGAGAGAGAGAGAGGAGAGAGAAGAGAGAGAGAGAGAGAGAGAAGAGAGAGAGAGAGAGAGAGAGAGAGAGAGAGAGAGAGAGAGAGAGAGAGAGAGAGAGAGAGAGAGAGAGAGAGAGAGAGAGAGAGAGAGAGAGAGAGAGAGAGGAGAGAGAGAGAGAGAGAGAGAGAGAGAGAGAGAGAGAGAGAGAGAGAGAGAGAGAGAGAGAGAGAGAGAGAGAGAGAGAGAGAGAGAGAGAAGAGAGAGAGAGAGAGAGAGAGAGAGAGAGAGAGAGAGAGAGAGAGAGTGTGTGTATGTGAGAGAGAGACAGGGCCTAGGGAGAGAGCACATAAAGAAATAGGATAGAATAATAATACTGTCACTGTAGGGAAATGCACAGAGCTAGAGATGGTGCAGACAGAGAAGCAGGTAGATAAGAAACGGGCCGAAATAGAGGTGCAAATGGAGGGAGGCAAGGGCCTATGGAGTACGGGAGAAACGAGTAGGAGGTTTGTCCTGAAGTAGTACTGCTTTGTAGTTTATACTACTGAAGTAAGGTTTACTGGCCGTAATCATCAGGAATGCATACGAATTGGTGAAGTGCTTGACGCAGTGAAGACTAAGTTTGTTGTTCGACCCATCGGGACAAAATAATATGAAAATATTAATCTTTGATCAACCTCAAAGCCAGGACGGGTTTATCCACAAAGCTGTGAAGCCATTCAGCTGTATAGGTACCAAGCTGGGCGCAATTCTTTCGCAAATACTTTAATAGAGCAGCGCTATTGTGGAATGCACTACCGCACATTGTCAGAGAATATCTTGTACCAAGAGGTCAGAATTCCGCTCTTATTTGCATGCTCTAGTATTTACCACCCATGATGTAGGACGATACCATGGCCTCCTTTACTCAAACAGCGTTTTTGCCATGTGTGGGTGGGGGTACAGCTTATATAAATTATATTCCTGTTTCTTTTGAAGTTGGTTGTTCCAACTAGGAACACACGCTTCTTGCTGAACTTGACACTTGGCTGACTCACGACTACCATCCGGAGCACACGAGGAGCACGTCGCACCTTCCACTCGGCAAACCTGCTGCAAGAAAGCTGAAGCGGCTATCCGGCCCTGAGGCAGTTGTGTTCGGTGTCCAAGGCCGGTTTTGACACGACTGTACTAAGTACATCGTAGTTGTACATTTGGAAGTACAATTGTTATTATTTACATTAGACTGTATTCACAGCCATTTTATGACATTTAATAGACTGTAGTACTAGACTGTTTTCACAGCCATTTTTTGCTCTCTCGACTGTTTTCACAGCCATTTTTGCTCGTTTTTCTTCCGGTGCTGTTGAGGTTGCACTCGTAATAATTATTGTGTTTATTTTGCCCGTACAAGAGGCTTGGTTGCGTAAAAAAAGAAGGCACCACTCCCTGCTCAATACACAGTGTTTCGGGGAATTCACCCCTCATCAGTTGAGCTTGAGTAGGCTGAGGAAGATTGTGCCTGAAAAGCACCACTTATACATGTATAGTGCTCTCCGGGCCAAACCATCACCAGGGATACAAACTTACAGAGACGCTCTGTTTCCAGCGCGACAAACACCTCCTGAAGCCCCGTGTGTTCCTCTTTGGAACAACCAACTTCATGACTAATACCACCGAATTCAAAACTTCTAAGTTCCTGTTTCTTTTGTTGTGGTTTTTCTCACTTCATCTAGTTTTTGGTTTGCTCCTTCTTTTTCCTTTTTAGGCCACACGTTTTTATTTCTATGTTTCTCGTCACCCGCGCGCATACGATTCAGGAGTCCGGAGGAAAAAAAGAAAAAAAAACTGTGCTGCATTGACTGCATGTGGGGACCAGCAAACTCAAGCACATGTACATAATGTGGCCTGGCCTGCGCGACACATGATGCGAGGTCGGCATTGTTTGTGCACAATCTAGCTGCACATGCAACAGAAGCTCCTAACACATACTAGTTGCTAACTATGGATGCTATTTTGCATGGTGCATTCGTAGATTTTAGTGTGAACAACGGTCTAATAAACTTTTTTTATTTTTCGGTCATTTTTTATTTTTTTCAACCTCTCGCATACGTTTTTAGGTTTTCAGGTGACGAGAAACATAGAAATAAAAACGTGTGGCCTTATCTCCTTATGATCGGTTTTTCGGGCCTCTTTGTAGTAGTACATTGTACTGTTGAGCTACTGAAGTGAATAAATACAATACAATACAATAAATACCATAAAGTAAGAATGGACTCGGACGGAGAGCCAATAATTAATTTATAAGAAAGAAAAAGGAGCATGAGCATGAGCTGATTGTTTTGTAACTGGTGGTGTTAGTGGACATTATAGCGTAACTTGTAGTTCATTGGTCCTTTTTCTTTCAAAGTTCTTATATTAATATATAAAAGTAAGAACCAAATCAAAAAGACAACCCAAATTCGGCAATAAATAAACACCCAATTGAAGTGTAAGAACGCGAAAGCTTGACAAGAAAGGTGTGGTGGTAGTAGAATAGTAGTAAATTACTTAGCAAGGGGCTGTGCAAGGAGTAGAAAGCGACCGACTACAAAAAAGGCGCGGAGATCGAGAGGAGGCAAAATGGAAGCTACCACACTGGTCATGCTTCTTGTGCAGTGTATGCAGTCTTGCAGTCTTGGGTAGGCATACGCGGATAATGCCGGCAGAAAAATTGGCAGAATTTGGTACTTTTTCTGGTAAGTTTCATGCATGTTTGGTATGTGGATAAAGAAATGGAGCAGAATTCAAGGAATTGCCCGCCATAAGGTTTGTATGGTTCTGCCAATTTCACTGCTTTTCGAGCAGAATCTGCCACCTTTTCGAGCAGAATCCGCCAATGCCTACCTAGTCTGGGGACATGCCTGGTATGTCCTGTCTGGGCCCTCCCGGTGCTCAATCCGGCCCATAGCCGGTTTTTCAGCCCCACATCATGTCAGTGAACAATAGCAAAAAGGTACAAGCCGAGAATAGCTGTAGAGCTCTATATTTGAGCAGGGAGTGCCGGAGTGGTGCTTTCTTGCAGGTTTGCCGAGTGGACGGTTCGATGGATTTCTCGTGTGCTCTGGATGGTAGTCGTGAGTCAGTCAAGTGAGAATTCAAGTCGGCAGGAAAACCTCGAGCTCCTATGTAGGGAGCAACACACTCTTCCCCTACTATCGTCGAAGTCGCACCAACCTCTTCTTCACGGAGCTCTATAATTGTAGAGAGAAAGAGGGAAACATAGCCGGTGTAGGGTGCGAACTGATTTACTTACTTACAACCACTACCAGCAAGAGTATATAATTATATGGGGGGGGGGGTTGTATACTCTTGCTACCAGGTACCAGGTTATGGACTAATAATAATGGTAACAGGTTACGCCCTATGGGCGTCACTTCTTTTCACATTGAGGTTTCAACACAATCAGGGTGAAGTTCCTCGGAAACCGATACCAGTGGCAGACTCCCAAGCAAGACTTCCATGATACCACAGTTACACCTACACTGTACTAGTACTTCCGTCAGTACAGTCATGTTACATTGAATCCGATAGCAAACCGATCCACATTTCGCACTCGCAGCTATTGCAGCGCTGTGACACTGACAGCGCGTGATTCACGCGGTGAAGTTACTTCCTTCATCTTCTTGATCTTGAAGTCTACGCTCAAGACCAGTAGTTCCTGGTTGGTTGATCAGTTCCAGAGCTACAAGGCTTGAGTAGTTTGGATCTAAACGGATGATCTAGGAGCCTAGCAGTGCACACAGTTGTGTTCAGGCCAGTACAGGTTTGGCCCGCTGGCGGTTTGCAGTAGGCATTATGCGGATAATGCGGCAGAAAAATTGGCAGAATTCGGTACTTTTCTGGTAAGTTTCATGCATGTTTGGTATGTGGATAAAGAAATGGAGCAGAATTCGAGGAATTTCCCGCCATAAGGTTTGTATGGTTCTGCCAATTTCACTGCTTTTCGAGCAGAATCTGCCACCTTTTCGAGCATTATCCGCCAATTTTATTATTATAATATTTGAGGATTTCCCAAAGACGTAGTCTAAATTGAAGGGAGTTCCATTATAATGGGAGGCTGTAGGGTTGAGGTAGCAGACAGTGGAGGGCTAATGATTCGTAATGAACAGCCTAGCTAGAGCCGGAAATACAATTATGCTGAATGTTCCAGAATGGTCCTTTACTCAATGGTCTCGTCCTCCTGGACATGGGCTCTGCAGCAAACCAGGCCCGGACTCTCTGCAGGACACAATTCTCCTTTTCGTTTTGGCCAGCTCTTGTCACGGCTTGTGATAAATATTAATTGATAATGCACAAGTCATGCTATTCAGACCAGGACGTCCAATAATAGCCTTGCATGCAGTGCGCATGCGCGTGTATAGTCCAAGAACCGGAAAGAGCGGATGCCAGTGCCGCAGCGCTCGCTGAGGTTTGCAGAAACATGTTTTGCCTTTGGCTCGCAGGATCGGGAGGGGAGGCGTACCCAAAGTTGGGTACGACTCTCTCTCATGGCTACGCCTTTCGATCATCGATGCATCGTGCATCAAGGTGTAGATTCTACGCACATGTTCTGTACTGTGAACTGTGTACGGAATAACTCTGATGCTGCAGTTGTACTACGCATTCTGCTGTTTGTTTGACCTAGGCTACGCTACGCGAGATCTCCACGATCCGGGTCCACACATACATACAGACAGCCTGCATGCATGCATGCCAGCAACATCAGCCATCACCAGATCACACAGAAGGAGTGGAGGCGCACTGCCACTGGCATCCACATGCACTGCACTGTCTATCTCACGGAGCAGCCGTGGAGTGTGCTTTTTCGATATCTGGCAGACAAGACACACTGTTTCGTGTGCAAAATAACCAGAACCATCAAGTAGGAATCCTTCTTCGTCCAGCCGCTTCTTGTTCCCGCGGCCGGCGAGAAGGCAGAAATGGGGAACTTGCTCAACGTCTTATCTAATTCTAGTTCAGGATCTTCGGATGTCGATCTGTTTCTAGATTTCGAGAGTAAGTATGCGGCGATTGCCGCCTGTCCAGTCCTTTTGGAGTTGGCGAGCATCTCCTCTTGCAATCTCACCCGTGACTGCAGGTTCTGAGCCTTCCGATGCCGAAAAGACAACTTACGAGGAAGTCCAGGAAATCCTGAAAAACTGCCCAACGATCCTGTCAGAGCTCGGCCAGTATGAAGGGGCGGGAACGGAAATACGCCTGGTAGGAGATGTGTGATTTGTCAAAGTTCTTCATGTCGTTTTTGTCTTGTCTGTTATGATTTTGGTGTGTTTGCACGTCCATGAAGGTGCGAGTATACATGTATGTCTATGTTTGTGCGTGTGGTGGCTGTATGAGTTTTGTCCAGGAAAGCCCGTGCCTTCTGTACAGTCCTGCACTTTGTGTTTGGGAGCTTTTGAAAGCTGTAGCAGAAGCACTCCAGTGCTATGGTGGCTGAGTTACGTCCATACTACGTTGGATGCTGTCTTTCCCCAGTCGCGTGCTTGATATCTGGAACGTGATCATAGGGTAGTTTATTCTCACTGGGAGATGTGCCTGAAGATTGTCCCGATTCTGTCCGGCCTTTGCGTCTAAATTAGACGTTTGGATATTCTTCAGTTGGTGAGCTCGTCAGATCGGGAGCGTTTTGTGCAGTGAAGATGGATGTTGAGGATCGTGATGACGTTGGTGGTTTCTGTCCTCTCCTACGCTTCACATTATGGCATCGGCATGGGTTTGAAGTTTGACTCGTACATGTACTTCTTTGACTGAACTGATTTCTTCATTTTGTTGTACTCCGCGATGTCAGCGTAGCCACTCAATGGCACCGTTGGCTTACATACGGTCTCCAGCTCCTGGAGTTGCAGCTTCTGCAGCCCCGCGAAACGTCTGCTCTGATCGGCCAACGCAGCTGCTCTGGACTACAGTCTGTGTTCCCGCTCTCGGTGCAAAGTCTCTGGTTGATCTATTTCCGGAGCAGCACAGAGTTACGCTGTGCCAGTGGCCAGGTGGACGACACCTAGTCCGCAGTGTTTGATCATCCGAGTGCTGTGCACCAGCAGATGGTTGTTAGTGCATGCTACCCAGTCCGCTACTGCTCAGCCACTGTCTCTCATCCAGAGCTGCTGTTGGAAAGCAGTCTTCTGTAGTGAAGTGTAGTGTTGAGCAGATTGCAGCCCTGTGATACTGTGACAAGTGCTCTCACAATGGTACCCAGGCTGTTGCCAAACATCCACTGTGCCTGGAGTGTATGGAGACACTGCAGCAGTCTGCATTGCTGGAATTTACCACGGTGTGTCGCCGCTCATGACGACAGTGTTGCGGAGAGTAGTGCAGTGCAGGTGTCTGGCAGGACGAACTGTTTGCTACCCATCGGAGACTAGTAATGCACAGCAAACCCAGTGCATGCTCTGAAATGCATTGTGTCTCTTCTTAAACAAAGTGACGGCGTTTCTCATTACTTTTTTTGCTTTTCAATCCTGTCTCTGTGTCTCTTCAGGCTATCTCATCACCAACTAGTGAGGAGCTGCAGACACAGGCATGGAATGCAGTATGCCCGCGAGTAGCACAACTCAAGCAGTATCATCAGTTTTCTAACAGTCTCCGTACGTTCACCATTGCTGTTATTGCTGAACGTTATCACATTGTAATGAGCCGGGACTTAGTCTAGACAAACGGGGAGGGGGGGGGGGGGATACAATCTGTGTGTAGGGACCTTTACCAGAAATAACCACTTTTGTTGGGGGGGGGGGGGGGTGACTGGTCATCCTAAGCTGCACACCATAGCTTCACACACGTGTTTAATTTCCCGTTGTAGAAAGATGGCCAGTGTCAGGAGTCTGGGTTTCCGATCTTTATATGGAATTGCAGGCAACGGATTTTTAGCCAATGTGCTACCGCCTCGACCTACGTACTTGAGCATGAATCAGCAATCATGCCCTCCGCACCGTGTGTGCATTACATACTTTGACTGTATAAGGATTGCGGCAACGATTCGTCGAGTTCTGATGGAATCCATTGGATCTGTACAAAATACACGGACGCCTGTTTAGCTTGAGAGGACTTAGTCGTTCTTCATCAGAAGAGCACCCAGGACTGACTAGGATTGCAAAGCTGCAGCTTACACTTTAGCTAAAACCTTGCGTGCAGTTCTGGTCCGTTTGCCTGGTGTGAGGTATTTTTGTGAGCATGAGAACCTGGTCCAGTTGACACTGGAAATTTATGCTGTTCCTGATTGTATTGTGTTGTGTTGGTCCTCTGCCTTTCTGTCCTGCTATTTCTCTTCCTGCAGAAACTAGCTTTACATCAGTTATTTCTGAGCTCCTGAAAGGGGAGCAAGAAGTTCGTGAAAAGCTGGCATCTTATCAGTCCTTGGCCAAACAGCTGGCACACATCTTGCACTTTGCTCTTACGTTCGACGATCTAAAGGTGAGATTGACAGCACGTGTCAGTAGAGAGGTTCTGCAAAACAAAAATTCGAGCGAAGTTTCGCGATGAGCCTTGCGAAAATGTGTGCGAATTTTTGCACAAACTTTCTGAACGTTTTCGTAGTTTGCCCGCGCCCAAGTGCACGTACGCGGTGGCCCAATCTCGCGAAAGTTCATTTTGCGTTTCCTGCAAGTTTCGCGTCCAAAGTTGCGAAAGTTCGTGCGAAGTTTCTCATTTCATGACGTAGAGCAAAAGTTTGTAGTTGAACTTTGTACGCATTTTCGTAGTTTGCAGAACCTCTCGTGTCAGGAACAGTGTCATACGATTGCCAAGCACCATGTCTGTCTTTTCACAATATCAGTGTTCTGTCCAGTATACTTTACTGCGGCTGCACTGTATTTGGATGCTTTCCCAACTTTTTACTAGGCTAGTTATGTTTGTCGGGTGCCGGTTTGTATTACATTTTATTATAAACATGTTGGTTGGACCTGTGGTAATCTGTGGCACTTGTTTTACTCCTAACAGTAGCTCCTTCTCTTTGTAATGACAAGGACTCTGTCCCATTCTAATCATTGCTGTAATTTGCTATCAACTCCCTTCCTCTTGCTTGTGTGTAGATGACGAATCCTGCGATCCAGAATGACTTCAGCTATTACCGTAGAACGCAGAACAAAGCAAAGATGTTGGTGAGTAGAAGGTTGTTGGCATTGCGTCAGGTCTCGTCCTGTGTACGCATAGCAGTACTGGCCAACTCTGCTTCACCAGCACTGGCCTGCATCTGGCACTAGTACATGTACAGGGTTTTGATGTTAAGCTGCTGATGCTGCCTTGGTTGCTCACGTCTCTTTCATACTGTTACCGGCATCATCTGCCCTGGACAACGCCGTCCATGGTTTGCTTCGGGTTCACAGGCTGCTGAGAGAAACACTGCCATGACGTCATTTTAGACACTGCCCCGTCACGCGTACCAGCCAGGAGGGTTTTTTGTTTGTTTTTGGCAGATACCTCATTCCAGTACTTCGCTATCACTTTGTGTGCATGTTGCAGACTACACACGGTGAAGGGTTACACAACTGAGACATTCCAACTTGATAAATGGTGCTTTTGTAAAGTTTGAAAAAATTATAAGGCAAGAGCAAGCACAATATTCCTCTAGTATCTCTTGAGTCTACTCCTCTCCTGAACAAGTCGTAAGAAGTATTCGGCACGTCACGAAGTCTTCTTGAAATTGCTGAAGGTTGTGCATTGTCGTTGTTACATGGTCATTTTCGTGTATTTTGCAGGGTTCTGATGCAGAGACGTCATCGCTGATCACAGCTCAGGAGGCCAATGTTATGTCCCTGTTCTATGCCAATGCGACACCAATGATGAAGACCATCAGTGACTCCATGACACAGTTCGTAAAGGAGGTGAGAGTTATGGCCGGTGCCCTTTGGTGGCAAAAATATTAAGTAACCGTGGTCAAGGGAAGAGTCTTATCGCCAAAGACTGGTGTTAGAGAGCTCTCTCTCTCTTTCTCTCTCTGTCTGTCTCTCTCTCTCTGTCTGTCTCTCTCTGTCTCAGGGATGGCAAACATGTTGTGCCGCATGGTCTCCACGCCACAAAACTGGCTATTTACATGTACTTGTACATCTCACTGCTGCTGGCATCCTCTGCCCTGAACAGATCTTCTGCATCTTTGCTTTGGGTTCACGGGATGCCCAAAGAAACCGTGCCATGCAAAACCTGTTTGTTCAGACACGACTGGATGAACCAGATGTCAATTCTTTGCTTGGCATATGCCTCTCCAAATGAGTTGCGAGATCGAGTCTCAACATGCTGACGACCATTCTGCTACGTAGCTGGCCTGTGTGTGTGTGTGGGGGGGGGGGGGGCTTATAGTCAATCGTTTAGCATAAGGACAACAAGAAACTGGAGTGTACAACATCCTTGCACTGAAATTGGCTTTTGGCTACGTCATTGTCTTTTGCATTCCTGTCTACAGCATCAAGAAATTCCTTTGGATAGATCAACAGAGCTACTCAGCACGTTGTCGAATATCTGCCGGATTATGATCGAAAACCCGTGAGTTGTACACATTGTAATTGTGTCCAAGATTTGGGACTCATTGGGAGACATTTCTCTACTGCTAACCCTCTGGCTTCAGTTCATACATATATTGCCTGGTAGCCTGCAGCTAGTATTAGATGTTACCAAGAGTACATAAACCAGAGTGTGCAACTCGGGATGGTTCCTGTGGGAGCGTACTCCGTGCAGTGTGTCATTTCTGACGGCATGGTAAGTCACGGGTACGGTGAAAAGTTGCAGAACCAGTCATGGTGGTGCAGGTCACTAAGTTTGTCCTGATTTCGGTTTTTGATACGGATAGCCTGGTGAATTTACTTGCCAGCGGATGTACTCAGCATACGCAGTCACACAAAAAAAACACCGAAATCCTAAAAAGATGTCTAAAATCATGCAAACTTGGCTGATTTCCTGGCTGTGAAACACGAAAATTTGAGCTGTACGCAAGTCGCGGCTTGGTTGACCTCGTCAGGGTGACAGTGCACGGACTGCGCTGTTTCAGATCTGATATGCCCAGTTGCACACTCTGATTTTAATCATTTATGTACTCTTGATGTTACCTATGCACATCCTACAGACTGCGTGCCCCTCTGACGTGGACGTCCTGCGGGTTCGCACTTTGTGGTGGGGAGCTTCTCCCATGTCATAACAGAGCACTTACTCCATCCTAATTGCAGGGACGTGACAGCATGGCAATATATGCAAGATGCTAAAAAGGGGTTTTGACGTGATTCACGCATTGCCAATTGTGTCATGCCTGCTTTCTTAATGCTTTTGTGACAGGGAGTATCGCCAAAGACTCAGCAGTGAAGACAGCACTCTCTTCTGCCTAAGAGTCATGGTATGTAATCACTACAAGTATAATGACTAATCCATTGAATTTTTAGGTAGAAAAAACTGCTATGACCGACAAATGTACACTGGTGGCAACTGAAATTCGACTCCAACTCTGTGCGCTCACATTGCAAAAACCCAGCACAAGTGTGTACACTGCCGAAACAGAGACCACTAGAATCAGTGCTGCACTCGAGCAAGAAAATCAGGGGTCAGGTTTTAGACCACTAGAATCAGTGCTGCACTCGAGCAAGAAAATCAGGGGTCAGGTTTCATTAGGATCCCATTCCTAGATGTACATGTTACACTCACTACAAGTACCTTGTCACAGCTCTATATATGGTCAACATCTCCATTCAGAGTTCATGGTCGATGCTGTCTATACATGGTCACTGGTCAGTTAGTTGTACTTTTATGGACTCGTGCGAGTTCATGTGAGGTTCTTGGGTTTGTTCGGCACAATAATAATTATTGTCGCGTCCATTTTGTGTGTCATGCTTTGGCCTTACGAACTTCATGCTCGTTTTTTCCCTGTCTGATTCAATGCCGTGCATCCTGCGAACTCTTGCTAGCATTCGATATTCTGGCTCCACTGGCACTCTGGTGTGAACTCCACACTATCCTTTTCTAGTTCCACTTTTGTACTCTGTGTACTGCGCCTACTAACATCCATCACCTTTTGGGCTACCCGCACGTATTACTTCATTGTCTCCACGTCCTTGAGCCCTTTCTGGTTCTCTTGCGTCTTTACGACTCGGTCAGAGCTCCTTTCTGGTCTCCTTGTCTCTGTATTTCTGCTAACGCTGTGAACACATCACACCCTGCTCTATGTGTCTGACGTGTGATACCGAAACCGTGCCAAATTTTTGAAGTAGTGCAAGGCGAACGATGCATTTTGCAGATTTGTGCTCAGTGTTGCTTTTTACCGTTTATGGTGGTAGTAGCACTGGGAGGAAGATGCACGGTTGGCCTAATGTGTTGTGGCAAGGCGAATAATGCACTGTGGCCATGAGAGAGAGAGAGAGATATTAGCCAAATGACCCTAATATAGAGCTGTGGCCATGTACAGAGGGTTGCTGGGCTACAGAGTTGTCAACACAACGTATATTATACATACATGTGCAACAATAAAACCTTTGAGCCGGTGTTGCTATGTCACGTTCACTACAACTACAGCCCTGCTCATGGGCCACAGCAGAAAGGAATGAACGTCATTTCCAGAGTAAACCAAGCAAATGGAGCTCGGTGCAAAATTGCAGTCCAGCCATAGTCCTACCCTGTAACAGGGTGTGACTATGAATAAGCCGTTCTATTCTGACTTCCTTTGGTCTCCATCCTTCCTGTTTGCTTCCGTTTGCTGTGAATGTGCAGGTTGCGACCATAATCCTTTATGATTTCACCAACCCCAACGGGGCATTCAGCAAGAAATCACAGATTGACGTAAGTTTGATGGTCGTGGACCCGTGAACCTGCATTGTGTGACTATGTGATGGCAAGCCAACTTTCTTGAGTACTGACCTTGATACAACGAACTTGGCTTGAACACCTTCAGTCTTACTGGCAATAGAGAGAGAGTGTACATAACGGATCTGGCTATAACGAAAAAAAGGCTATGAAAATCGGTTCATTCCGAGTTTGCGCCCAAAGTTTTTCCTGCATGGTACGAGAACATAATAGATCTCGTCGGCCATGCTTTCACGCACCCCGTCTACAACAGTGTACAGCTGCTGTGTACATGTACATCCATCACTCTTTGGGCACTACGGCAATGGCAACGGAAGTAATTTTCGTTGCTGAGCTCTTGCTCCGTCGAAAGCTCGTACGGCATTTGTTACTCTGGGTCGTAACAGCCAAATCTTCTGTATTTTCGTTGCTGAGCAACCGCTCTCTATTGATTGGCATTGGATGTGTTATTACACATTCTGGACCCAAGATTTAAATATTCTCAAAGGACCAGAATACACCCATGTAAACGAACGCCAGGACTTCGTCATGAATTCCGTACTCACGATCCACTCGACCGAACTCTGGATAGGGTTCACGTGAACAATTACAGTTGCGCTCACTGAAATCCGACCCGGAGTGCAAAACTCACGCTCTGGACCAGTTCCGATGATATCACTGTACTTGTACGTAATTATGTACATATATCCAGCCGCATTTGTACCGCTTCCAGGGCGTCAAGGGCCGTTTACGTTGAGGGTACCATAATATGCATTTTGGGTCACATTTCACCGAGCACAACTGTACAAATCACTACTATACAGTGCGTATGCACCAGACAAGAGTGAGGTCAAGTCAGCGCACACCAAATGCGTAAAAAAATTTGGCGGTAGAATTGGAAATTCCGGTTTCACTTCTGGATGGCCGAATTTGGTTTCTGTGGATTCTGATGACGAAATCTGTGTGTGATCGAACGGTGTTTGTATGGTGAATTGGTAACAAGTTCTAGAATGGACAGAATTGTTTGCCACCTCCCACTCTATCGGCGTGTATGACTATGACCGTTCATGCTTATTGCCCGCTTGCCTGTATGTATGTCACTCCTCTGTGCAGGTCAGACAGAGTGTGCGACTTCTCAAGGACATCCAGACGCACACACCATCCTGCTCAGCAGGTGTTGAATCATTATTGAATGCACTCCGGTAAGCGCCCCTAAACCTATAGCTTCTGGATTGCACTCGGTCGCCGAGTGCGGACAGTGCGTTCTTGTGCTGCAGGCTTCCTACCCGCAGTCCTGCTGTACTCCTGTGTTTGCTGCTGCTGCTACTGGCCTCTTTCTGCCCAATTAGTTCTACAGTGAGACTTCAGTTTACATCCACCTCGGAAGGCTGATAAAGTCTGTACTTTATATCTGAGTTCCGATGACTGGTACTGTATAGACCCATTGCACATTGCCAAATATGGATAACATGAGTAATGCATGTGAGCACGCTGGGATCAGGTATGCACTGTTTAACACCCCAGGACGACCATGCCCAGGTGGCTGTGTGGGGTGTTCATGGTACAAATTACGTCATTGCGCAATGGGTCCATTGCATCATGCAGGGTCCTAAAAGTTAGACTAAGGTGCCCATGATACGGTCAAACTCAGTCAGGGTTCTTTATGCTGAAGTTTTGCTATCTGTTTGTGCATGTGCTACGTGTCCCACTACAGGTATACAACAAGACATCTGAACGATGAAAGCACGCCCAAACCAATCAAACAGCTACTGGCAACATGATCTGTATCGAAGACTTTTTGACATTTCAGCACTATGTACATTATAATATATCCAAACGGCAAATGTGAGCTCTTCGTTGCATACGTTGCCTGTTAGCGTAGCATAGTTGATGATAGGATTCTTCTCATTTATTTTGTTCTTCCTGTCCCTGTTTTTTCCTCTACCAATCTTGTCATCGATGTCTTCGTTCTTGTCAATATGCTCTTCTGCTTCTTATCGTTCATACGCATGATACTGATTGATGATGACGACAACTGCTTCTTGATACCTTGTTATCCAAGAAACATATAAAGCGAAAAAAATAAAAAAAATGATTCAATGCTTGTTGAAGAGTTAGGTCGGGCTTTTGTTGATAGGGCACTCTGGATGTCTCTGCTGCTGCAATGCTGCTGGTTCCTTGGCTAGGTTTTGGTTTTCTGCGCCTCGGTGAATGTGCCGAGCATGTGGCGCGTGTTCAGCGCCAGCATGTGGGCGGCCTGCATCATGCTGCGCCGGAACTCATGCTCGACGGATGTGTCCTGGTACTTCATGGCCAGCTGCATGGCCTCCACCAGCTTGGACATATCGGACGTCAACGTCTTGTGGCACATCTGTACCTGCACGGGGGACACGAGAGAGATACACACCAGCCTGTGAAATCTACACAGCAGACATATACCGTACTTCCGCACATATAAGCGCATGTGCTTATGTCCGGATATAAGCGCACCCCTCGATTATAAGCGCATGTGCTTATATGTGAACACTATTGGTGAAAAGGCGGGAGCGAAATATACCACTAAGTAGTGTGATGATACCATTGTTTAGGACACAGACAAACCTGTATTGCGCATATAAGCGCATGGGCTTCTACCCGAACATGTTTACACAGCCAAAGATCTTTTTTGCAGCAAATTTTCACTTATAAGCGCATGCGCTTATATGTGGGGAAGTACGGTACATGTATGCACTCACAAATCGATACAAGTTGGTTCAAGTCAGTAGGGAGGTTTAGTTCCCACGTAACGGAAACGCGTACGTGGGTGATCCACGTAAAGTGGATGAAGGGCATCCACGTTGCGATGTTGTGTTTAGTCACACGGAACAAACAAAAGCCTGAAGCGAAAGGCCCAAACCTGGTCAAAGACGAAGCTACCCGGGCCTAAGAAGCTCATCGAATATTTTGATTTCGTGCTTCGGAACTTTCTTCAGCTGAGCACCCTCACAGCTCGCAAAATGCGCTCCATTCTGATTTTCACCCACGTTCTGGCGGAACGTGGGTGAGCCTCCATACACGGTATGTCGTGAATCAGAAAACGTCTGTACGTGGGTCACTGAGTATCACGTGGTACACACACGTAAAGTACCCACGGATTACGTGGGACTAAACCTCCCTAGTATCTAGGCAGACAACACGGCCAACTGGAAGGTGAGCTTTGATGATGAGGGTTTCGCCCCTTGGCTGCCTGCTCCAGTCACCATTCGGTTCAGGGCCGATTTTACGTTTGTGCACGCTTTGGTATGCCTATGGTATCATACTGTCCCTCCAGGAACTTGCGATTCTGCGGTCGCGCGATTTGAACAAAAGTCCGCGATATTTGAAAAAGCACCCGCGATATTCGAGTCTTTCTTTAATGGTTTTAGCTCTTCAAGCTCGACACATAGTGACTTGTGAGACCAACACCAGAGTGGAGAAGTTTCTGGGCAAATCAGCGGCTGACAAGTCAAACAATAAGGCTAGCGTCGAGTGTTATCCGAGGATGGAGGAAAGCTGTCTCGCAAGCTCCTGTCAGGCAGTTGAACACAGTCGCAATCGAGGACAGAGCAGCACACGTTTTGTTTTGTCATGCATGATTTATGCTGTACGACTCGTACATCGTACCGCACGACAGTACAAGTACCAAAATCAGTCGCAATTTTCGCAATTTTACCACAATATTCCGCAAATGTTTGACAAAATCCGCAATATTCCCCGCAATTTGCGGCATTTTACCTCCCAACTTTTTCCACGATATTTCCGAAATTTTCTCCGCAAGTTTCTGGAGGGACACGCTATTGCGTTCGGGGTCAGCAAGTCAGAGCTGCTACCGTGAGTTGCAATGACCACGGTTCACTCAGAACTTCCAAATCCGAGATAGAAAAGCAGATTGTGTCAAGTACTTTGGTCTCGTGTTGCCTCCCATCCCTACAAGTAGATGCCAACGTTTTTTTTTGCTCCCGGGCTCAAAACGAAGCCCCCAGTGACAAAGAAAAAGAACTAAAAAGAGCTGTCATGATGCTGACAACGGGTCGTAACGGATGTTTCTGCATGTGGAGTTGCACACTCCGGGGAGTATTTTACCGGATAAGTTGACCCACACTACTTGGGCTCTCGATTTACTAGTTCAATATTATATTCGACTACCCCGCATAAAAGGTCGACTTATAACCGGGAAATACAGTATGTGCTCTTGGTGAAAAGAATGCAAGAGATGAGGGATGCAAATGTGCAAGTTCTCTTGGCTTCAGTAGCAGTCCGTCCCACAGGGTAAAGCAGTCCGTCCCCACAGGATAATGCGATTATTCTGCAGATGCCCAGTTCGTCCGCATTTTCCTGCGGGGACAACAATTCATTCGCCATTGTTGACTGCACAGCAGCTAAATGTGTTGAAGTGAGTTGTTATCACTGAAAGATCTGCATTTACACGTGCTGAAGAAACACAGATTTGTGCAATCCTGTTGAGGAGTGCCTGGGCACAGTTCGTACCAGGGAGTAGTCCAGTTCCCGTACCATAATGGCAAGTTACTTGAGTTGTGTACATGTGATCTTGATCCGGCTACCACCGGAGCTGGCCTGGCTGATGTGAACCCCCCCCCCCCCCCCGAAAACGACCCATAACTTAAAGTGCTAATAAACAGCGCCCCTTGTGAGCAATCTTACTTGATTCTGTCGTTCTGGGGCAAGAGATTTAGCGCGGTCGTCTATAATGGCAACGAGCCCTCGTAGCTTCTTACCAATGTCCTGTCCACACACAGAGCAGAGTACAGTCATGTATGTATGCACAGACACAGACACAGACACAGAGCACAGTTATGTACACATGCACAGACACAGAGCAGAGCACAGTTATGAACACATGCACAGACACAGACACAGAGCAGAGCACAGTTATGAACACATGCACAGACACAGAGCAGAGCACAGTTATGAACACATGCACAGACAGAAGTGAATACAGTGTACTCACAAAGTGGGGGCAAGTAAAGGCCGATTCATACTTCATTTCGCGTACGGGAAATAGTTGAGCTCAGATCCACTTTTTTGTGACGCAACGCGTTTCTCGTACGCGAAATGAAGTATGAATCGGCCTTTTAGTCTTACATCTTTAACAGAATAGTACCGTGATCAGACATTGAGCTTTTTTAAGGACGCGGCACCGTGCTAGCCAGTGGTGCTCACCCCAAGATAGTCAACGGGTCGCATGTCAAAACACATTGAAACAAACGTATACGGAATGTGACAGGTTCGTCTCCAACAGCATTTGGAGCGATTTGAAGCTTGTTGTTTTTCACCCAAGCCTCCTGGCAGCCTCCTGGCAGCGGCTCTGACTCGACACGAGTGTTGGACATCAAGTTCGGACGTGATCACAAAAAGTGACCGTTGGTCTCACCTTGAAAAAACTCTAACGTTATCAAAACATATCTGAAACCCTTAACATAGAACGGTAATTCTTCACTCCTTCTACACTAATATGGTCCTGTTCCCATTATTGCGTGCACATTAGAGGGTCGCTGCTGAACTCACCACAACAGACTCCACGAATGTGGCATACTTGGCCATCTGCACTTTGCCATTGAAGGTGACCACTGCCTCCACCACACTCATGGTCGAGTTGAGAACCAGCACGTCCGGTGCATCCGCCTCCTGTACAACGCACATAGCCACATACACACATCCATACATCGTGCCATGTACGGTCAGGGCCAAAGAAATCCGACCAGCGAGCCAAAAGTAGTGCCAAGGCTCATGCGGCCGCTGCGGCCCTCAAACGGGCCACTATGGTACGCTGCACTCTGTCTTTGAACCGTGCATAATCTAATGGAAACGGAATGGAAACGTGGCGCCGCCTTTGGCTCGCGGGTCGGATTTCTTCGGCTGCGACTCTACTTTGAGATAATTATACGTAAATGGCGCGTGAGAGGTGTAGTCACTGTCATAACAACAAGTCTTGATTACGTGTGAATCCGTTGAGTTCTTTGCCCATTGCGGTTCTCACATTCTGCTGATTGTAATAAAAACGTTGTGTCAGGTAGTATTATAACGTTACATAAGGACATGCCTCGCATAAGGAACAACAGACAGTTGCTCACTAACCTTCTTCTGCTCGCTGTCAGCCCCATCTGAACAAAAAGACAAGGTCACAGATGCATGCACAGTCAGGGAAAGCCAGCAGCTCAGTGCGGTCATATGACAACAGCACTGCCGGTAAGAGTGGATAGAGTAGCGGTGCTCTAGAGTCTAGACAGAGATTGCCATTGGATACTACAGGGCACAAGAGCCAATGAACACACTGTAATTATCTCCAATGATAGTCCTGATATTGAGACTTACTGGTTTGTTGCCGGGTAGCCTCCACCTCTGCAGCCTACAGAAGACAGAGAGAAGAAGCAAATGACCATGGCTGCATGCACACCCTAAGCCAATCCAGAGGTGGGCCGCAAAGCACCGTAGCGCACATGACAGGCTGTGCGTATAATCAAGAGTCCATAATCCCCCAGAGTGCGCAGCTTCACTTATCAGATCTGGGACACACACACACACACACACACACACACACACACACACACACACACACACACACACACACACACACACACACACACACATAGTGCTAACTGTTACTCAATGAAATCAGAACGCGTGAACCAAGTTTGCGTAGTCCTGCACCAGTTCACATCCAAGTGTTCGCAGGTCTAGAGTTACACAGCGCTGCCCGGCTAGGTATTCACTAGAGTTACACAGCGCTGCCCGGCTAGGTATTCACTAGAGTTACACAGCGCTGCCCGGCTAGGTATTCACTAGAGTTACACAGCGCTGCCCGGCTAGGTATTCACTAGAGTTACACAGCGCTGCCCGGCTAGGTATTCACTAGAGTTACACAGCGCTGCCCGGCTAGGTATTCACTAGAGTTACACAGCGCTGCCCGGCTAGGTATTCACTAGAGTTACACAGCGCTGCCCGGCTAGGTATTCACTAGAGTTACACAGCGCTGCCCGGCTAGGTATTCACTAGAGTTACACAGCGCTGCCCGGCTAGGTATTCACTAGAGTTACACAGCGCTGCCCGGCTAGGTATTCACTCGTTTGATCAGATTTCATTGAGCAGCACTGTACATATCCCATGCAATGCCGTAGTACAAGTAGTACCTCTGATGGATGGCCATTCGTCGCTTCTTCACTTTTAGCGTTGTTCGCACCAGGTCTTTCCTCACCCTGAAGCAAAAAAAACGGCGATACAATGTTTTGCACCAAATAAGCCCAGCTAGGCATGGAGAAGCTTCGAACAAATTACATACGCTTGATTACACATTTTGGACTCGGGCCAAAAGTACTTGAATAACCAGAAGGAGCGGATTACGGCAATGTAAACAAACGGGTTAAAATTCGTAATGTTCTCCAATCGAGAAAGCTGTGGAAAGAGAATGATGAACTGATAATGTAAATGCCTCTTTGAGTACATACAGCAGGCACACAATTCATGATGTTGAAAGAGCGCAGGCTGCGAAAATGCAAGTGGGAGATTGAGAAATTGTGCCTTCACTTCAGAATCAGTGGAACTGGATTCAGTGGAGTCTGACGACGAACTCTGTGCCACCAAATGCTGCACGGAATTGTGACAGTGTGTGATTGCGTGTGCGAGTGCGTGTGTTGCGTGCGAGTGTGGGTGGGGGCACGTGCTTGCATGTGTATGTGTGTCTGTGTGTGTGTGTGTGTGTGTGTGTGTGTATGTATGTGTATGTGTATGTGTGTGTATGTATGTGTGTGTGTGTGTGTGTGTGTGTGTGTGTGTGTGTGTGTGTGTGTGTGTGTGTGTGTGGTGTGTGGTGTGTGGTGTGTGTGTGTGTGTATGTGTGCATGCGTTCATGTGTGTGTGTTCATGCGTTCATGTGTGCAGTGCTACAAGAAGACAAATACAATACACTGGTATGCTGTTTGGATAATAAAGAAACATGGTGTTGACTCCGGTCGGCTAATTGAAAAAAAACCCTGACAAACGCTAGCACACTAGCACATACTAGCAGCTACCCTTGTAATGTTAGCACACACTAGCAGCTAGCCTCGTAATGTTAGCACACAGCCATACAAGAAGCATGCAGCTAGATTCTTACCAGGCCAAACTGAGTCCTGAGCCACTCGTCATCCGCCGCTGCCTGCTTCTCCTGCACCTTGCTCATCGTATCGCGCTTACGACTTTCAAATGCATCTCGATGCTCCTGCAGATGCGGATAACACATCGAAGAGTCGATGGCCTTTTTGATGCAGTAATGGTTCATAGACAGGGTAGGTGGGTAGGAGGGAATTCCCCCTCCCCCCCCCCCCCCTTCTGACACGTGCACAATCCCGTCTAGCTGTCTAGCTGTACAGGTGGTTATCACCGTGAGGGACACTAAAGTATTGTAGTACAGATAGCAGCAGTGCATTCGTACCTTCAACTGCAATGCTGTCTCCTCCAGCCTGGTTTGCGCTGCGTCCTTTGCAGACACAGCCGCTTGTGGTTTGGTGACAGCCGGTGCAGCCTCTTCATCAGAGAACAGGTCCAGACCCTCGGGTTCAGGAAGAACTTCGACTTGACTGGACCGCGACATGCCACCTACTGGAGTGGGCGAGTTTCGAGCCTCAAACGAGGGCGCTGCTTTAGTGGCGGTTGCTGGCGCTGACGGTGGCGTTGCTCCACGTGTCCCCGCTGCAGCAGAGTCTGGCTCTGATGCGGCCGTTTTCGGTGCAGCAGGCGTTGGTACAGGTACGGCTGCTACTGCTGGTGCCTGTGCGGGTTGACCATCGGACAGAGCTGCCGCTGATTGTCTTCTGCTAGTACTCACTGACTGATCTGAAGCAGCACTGTTGATTGACTGTGCACGGGAAGCAAGGAGTAAATTCACAGGAGCAGCAGAAGAAGAAGAATAACGGAGGAACACAAACAGCAGGCATTGTCAGCAAGTGCTACCCAACACCTCAGGACTGACAAACAGTGCAGGTGGTGGAGCTCTAGTAGCACGGCTGGTTGGCCCAGACTGGAGAGAAGACAAGGTCTAGGGTGACATTTTGCAGCCAGAATTGTAAAGTATACCATTCTCAACACTATAGTATACCCGTCTCAATATCATAGTATACCCTTCTCAAATCTCTCAAACACTGTGCTGTAAGTCACAGTGTAAGTAAGATGTAGGCTGCTGTTGCATGCACGTCATGAAAACTGGTACTGCCTCATGTCAGCTACATGTGCACCGTGCACACATGGAGCTGTGTTCACCACCCAGCATCATATATGGACAGATAAGCTGGAGAGAGAGAGAGGGAGAGAGAGCATTATTGCACTCACACAGGTGCATAGCAGACACCCATTCCTGCCCAGTCCAGCCTGGGTTACCCCCCCCCCCCTCACACATGCAAAATATCTGGAAAGCAACTGGCATGGCCTGGTGATAGTTCATAATCATGCCTCTCACTCACTGTTAGATGCTGTGCGTCGTTCCTAGCAGGAAATAGCCATACTAAACATACTGCTGCTATGCCTGGGTATGTTTCCTGTAGAGGATCCCCTCGTGCTTGCCAGATGGCAAGGCATGATTATGTTACCTGTGACGCTGGACAAGTTCACGCATGCGGGAATTATTTTGGAAACGCTACACACACATTTTCTCTTGCTCTCACTCTTTCCTTCCCCTTAATAAGCGAATAGTGCAACACCTGATGGTGCTCAGCCGACACATGCCTATCAAGTGGTCTAGTCTGCCTAGTGTTGCAATAATTATCATTCCCCAACAATAGCAGTTCACCGGAAACAGCCTTCTGGAAATTTTGCATCGTGGATCTGGAAGCCACTGTTTGGGGAAGATGAAACCAGCATTCAGCCAGTCGCGTTGTCATGTTGGGTCACTGCTAACCAGGATCTTCACCAGCTGGGCCCAAAAATCTCCAGCACTTTCCACTTCATACTCATATCGGTCACACATCAGAAGTAGAGGGCAGCATGAAGCACACAGGATGGGGTAACGTAGATTGGATATACAGTAAAACCTGGCAACGCGACCACTCGGATAAGGCAACCACCTGTCCTAGAAGACCACTGGAACTGGGACCGAAGGATGCTATTTCCAGTCAATTGACCCTGGATAAGGAGACCACCTGGTAACAGAGACCACATTTTGAAGGTCCCTTGAGCGGTCGTCTTGGACAGGTTTCTCTGTACACTGTACCACCAACACTACTTAGTGAGATAAAGTCACTACTCGGTATTTTCAACCAGGCGCTATTCAAAATGGACTTGCTACGAGACTTGGGTACTACGTCATAGTATGATTTAGTCGTAAGGCTCAATCTGTGGCTATAGGCAAGGTTTTCATATCCCATTTCCATGGTACTGCAATCCTCACAGATTACATTTGGCACAACTGCCCCCAGTTCAGAGTATGAGTGCTATGCAGGTAGGCCGGAGATTAGGAATACGGACACACACACACACACACACACACACACACACACACACATGCATGCCGCACTCACGCACGCACCGTGACACACACACACACGCACACACACGCACACACACGCACACACACGCACACGCACACACGCACACACACACACACACGCACACACACACACACACAAATGCACGCACACACACACACACACACACACACACACACACGTGCGCACACACAGATCAGCTGATTCATGTTCAATGGTACATAGTCTTACCACAGGACGTGGTCTATTCATGGAGGCTCCGGAATGAGTGGCGTAGGCGTATGGGTTTGAGTCCAGGTCATCGGGTGCAGGCGGTGCAGGCAGTGCTGTGTCTTCATCGTGCACTGCACCCGAGGATGTCGTCGTCGTGCCATAGCCATCCGCAGAGTCGTACGTTGACGTCAGGAGACCGATGCTGGTGCCGCTGCTGCCCCTTGCTCGGTTGGCCGACGTGCTACTTGAGATGGATGATGAGGAGCGTCGTTCACCTTTCTCCGGCATACCCCCACCCCCCGAGCCGGGTGAATCGGTATGTCGCGAGCGCAGTGCGATACTGACACGCTCGTCCAGCAGTGATGTTCCAGAATCACCACTGCCGGGCAGCTGAGCCGGAGGACGGCAGTCGATCGAGGACCCTGGTCGCGGCAAACTAGCCTGTGGCCGAGTATCGATGGATGTGGACCCTGCTGCTGGTGCTGCTGCTGGTGGTGGTGGGAGACTGGCTTGCGGCCGCGTGTCAATGTCCTTGGGAAGTGGCGGACTGGGAGTTGTATGTCGTGTGCCAAGCAGTTTGTCAAGGTTGTTTGGCGACGTCAATACACTAACGGTGGAATCCTGGCCAGCAGAGGCGGTAGTGGGTAGATTCGCTCGTACATCTTCCCTAGACGAGGGCTTAGAGCTATGCTGCAGCAGTGGTGGTGTGCTGCCCCTGCGACCCAGTGAATGTATTCCAGTCTCGGGAAACACGGCCGCGGGCCGGCTGATCGAGTCGCGCGAAACAGGCGCAGCATTGCGCGGTACGTGTGCCGCGGCCTCGGCGGCAGCGGCAAACATGCTAAGTGGCCGATCTGCGGCTGTAGTACCCGCAGTCACACTGCCGCTGCCACTGCTGGAAACGCTGGCCGAGCTGCGACGTGGTAGTGACGATGAGAACTGATTCTGACTGAGCGGAGAAGGAGAGGCTGGTCGTGGCGAATGCACATGTTCTGTGGAGAGGAGGAAGCAAGGTGAACAGATTAATCAGAGTCAAGACACATGATTATGGTGCACTGTTTCCGTGGTGATCAGGGTGACACCGGTATTACAGTTCTCGGGACAGAGCATGGATGGTCAGGCTAGTTTGGGGTGACTTATAGCGGACTAGGGTGCAACACCATGCAGTGTGTCTCAGTGCAACACCATGCAGTGTGTCTCAGTGATGTTCAGGAGGACACTGCTAGTTTCTGTTGTGCATTGTCATTTAGTATGTATTCTGGTATAGCACAGCCACAGTATTCCATGTAGCTTCTAAATGTAGGTGTTTGGACATGGACGGAGAGTTGGGTAGTAGTTTCCTGCCATATTGAATACTTCTGCAATATTGGCCGTTTTTACCTTTGTGTATTGACGTGCCTCAGATGGCGACCACCCGGTGATCGTCTGAGCGGGTATCTGCGGGTTTTCTTTGTTAACCGTGCAGCGGAATTGTTCACTGTATTGTTTATTCCAATTGTTTCCTTTCGTCTGTGTTTGGCTCCTGATGTGCTGGCTGTGTGCTTTCAACCTACCATAAGAATCGCTGCGCTCCCATTATTCCATCAGTGATGAAGCATTCTTGCAGTTGTTGCTAGAGTCGGTGTTACGTTTATTTCTTGTACTTAAGTGAAAAGATCGAAGAACAACACCTATCGAAAGGCGTGTGTTGTATGAGTGTCTACGGCATTATTAGCAGTTCGAAACTGATTAGAAGGGGCGTTCTCCATCACTCCGAGGCCTTGTTGTGGATTGCCGATAGCGGATTCGGCGGATCTCGTGATCCTCCATAACAAATATTTCACCATGCAGTGTGTCTCAGTATTACACCATGCAGTGTGTCTCAGTACGACACTGCTGAAATGTGACTTACGACTCTAAAGTGCATGTAGAGGTGTGTGTCTGTGGGGGGGGGGGGGGGGCATGAACGCGCGAGTGCGAGCGTACGTGTGTATCAGTTGATGTAGAACAATCACATGCCATACAACAGGGACATAAGAGGAAGCTCCCGGGGCAAGGCGTGAGAAGAGGATGCTTACCTAAGCTAGTGTGACTGCCGTGATGCTTGACAACTGCTAAGTGCTCATCTGGTGTGTCGGCTATCACTGCAGGCTGTGAGCTCACCATGGGCACAGGGGTGCGGCTCACGCTATCATTGTGTTGGCGCTCAAGGGACGATGGAAGGGTGTCCATTCCGTTACCGGCCATGATCTGTCAACAAACACACCGAGCATACGAGTCGTCAGCAAACAGTGCTTACTTGTAGTGAGCTGAACAGCCGCATAGAAAGGACTTCAAATCAAATTCACAATGCACAGAGCTGGTCAGACTACAAGCAGAGTCACAAGCCATGCATGCACCGAGCGCAAAGGTTGACACAAGTGAGTCGCACAATCACCAATACATGTACTGATCATGCAACACCTGGATACAAATCGGCATGCAGACGCACACCGCAAAATGCATGTCACCAAGTCATAAGAACACATAGCCATGATGCACACAATTAGCTGTCTAGTTTTCGTCTACCTTAGCGGTGGTCTTCTTGTCCAAGCTTGGACTTGAATCACCTGCTCTGCGAATATTGCGCCTTGCGATCAAGTCTTCCTGGCGCTTGGTCTCGTCGAGAAGATCACTGTATATCCACAACATGGTACACATATACAATAAGAGATGGTGCCACATTGTGTACCGGTCACCATAGCAACCTGCCGAACTGCCCACTCCTTTTCTAACCACTGTCGATGGCATATATACTCGCTCGTACGTTATCTCAAGATGAAAAGCTGCATCTTTACAAAAAATCACACGGGAAAATTGGCACTACTTGTTGAATTCTGGAGAGAACCATTCAATAGTCCCTTGCTAGCCCATACCCCACAAGCATGTGCGTACAAGTACAACATCAACACAAGAATTCCCATGACTTACTTCATTCTTGTCCTCAGCTCCTGGAAGGTTGGCCGCTCGTTGGGTTCGTACGCCCAGCACTCTGTCATGAGCTTGTACAGCATCGGCGGGCAGCCGTTGGGCAGGGGCAGCCGCTCACCAGCCTCTATCCTGCCCACGACCTCGTTGTTCTTGATGCCAGTGAAGGGCTTGACGCCACGCATCAATATCTCCCACATGCACACAGCTAGAAACAGGAAACACGGTAGGGATGTAGTTCATTAGCAGTTCTGCTGTGCCGGGGGTGGCAGTATGACTAGCAGATTCAAGCCACTGTATGAGAAGTGATTGACCTTTCCCCTTTGATCATACATGCATACACTGATGAGATTATACTCAATCTCCAGTACATGCGCTATCAACATGTACTGGCTGGCGTTGACTCAGCACGTGGGTCCTTGGCATGCATGCCTAGAGAAACGTTGCATGAACATGACACACACTCGCACACACACACACACACACACACACACACACACACACACACACACACACACGAGAATGGGGGGGGGGGGGTAGGGGTTAAACAGAGCTTTCACATTGGTGTCAAAAACGTCTGAAGTTCCTGGCAATTTTAAAGATAACTGATGCAGCGTGCAGTGTGCTCCAAGTCTATCCCATCCATCTGCACTGTGAATCTTCCTGTGGCTCAGAGTTATGGCAGCATTCGGGTAAGCGGCTTCAAGGAGCCTTACCAAACATCCAGACGTCACTGGCACCTGTGAACCGGCGGAAGTTGATTGATTCAGGAGCCATCCACTTGATGGGCAGTTTGCCCTTGCTGGCTAAGAAACCCATACACATACACATACACATGCACATAGCGCACACACACCAGAGCATGGTGGATGCATGTCGTGTCAGCTACTGCTTCATCTGCTGCAACAGGGTCCGGTACCCAGCTACATCGAACTTACCGCTACACATTGATATTTCATTGCCACAAATATACACGTCCAAAGTATTCTAGCCATCCACAAACGCACATCTACAAGTGTCATATACCCTGGTACACCGACATCCACCACCATTTCTGGCTGCATGGTCCCGCATATGGTTCCATTATCATAATAATAATAATAATAATAATAATTGGGTGTCAGTGATCCAAAACCCTCAAACCAGTTAGTAGCAGTGATCCATGCATCCTTTACCCGTGTCGACTGCACACGTCACACCATGCCTGCACACGTCACATCACACCCACACACGCACGCACGCACCTTGTCATATGTATGTGCGTGTGCAACGATACCTTTGTAATAGTTGTTGTCATCCACCCATCGTGACAGACCAAAGTCGGCCAGCTTGACACAGTCAGATTTTGACACCAAAACATTGCGAGCAGCAATATCCCTGGAAACACAATTCCACAGGAGAAACAAATCAATTAGAGAACTTTTAGAGATGATTCCTCTCCGAGCTGCACTTACTGCACATGCTGTCACTTCCTAAATGATCCATTCTATGCTGTATAACCTTGGCAATCATCATGCGAACAATAGCAGGCTGGGACAACCTGACTACATTCTGTGTCAGCCTGAACCAATACGGGCCAACCTGACCTCAATCCGGGCAAACCTGAACCGGACCTCAATCCGGGCCGAAACCTGATCCTGACCGCATTCCAGGTCAACTTGAGCACAATCTTGGCCAACCTTACCCGCACAATCTGAGCCAGCCTTATCTCAGTTTTGAAAGCATAAGGAGCATCTTCACACGAAGCTGCACATACCTGTGAACGAACTTTTTCGACTCCAGATACGACATGGCTGAGCTCAGCTGTGTGCAGTATCCCAGTAGCGTTAGCAAACTGATTGACAGTCGGTTGGCATGCAGGTAGCGTCTCAGCTGAGCACACACACAAGGAGACAGCAAATGACAATAGTAATAAGGGCTAATTCATAATAGGGGGATTCCAGTCAACCATGCAGAGACATGATTCACAGGTTCGCTTATGCAGAATCAGACTGAAGGTGAATACATAAGAACTAGAGGACGCTAAAGTCTGAAAATACAATAGCCAATTGCACCAGTGCCGGCAGTAGCAAAAGGTGGTGTGCGCCTACTAACATAGCTAGCGCTACGAATAACAAAACTGGCCATGCACGCAAGAACCTACCTCTCCAAGTGGAGCATACTCCATCACAATGAGCGTGGGCTCATCTTGCACTACACCCACAAGGCGAATGATGTGCGGGTGCTCAAACTGACGCATGATTTCTGGGCAATGGCAAAAAAATATATAACAAAAACTAAAAATCAACCCAGGGACATTTCAAACGACAGTAGTCACACATTATCATGGTAGTCAGTCGCTCACAAAGCACCAAACGTTGATACAACATCCTCTTACACATCCAGCATTATGATATCCTGTTGTGAACATTGCTGCAAACCGTCACATGTCCTTGTATTATGCATTCTGAACTATTCATACGTCATTGGTCATACCTGCTTCTTCTAGGAACTTTTTCCTCTCCTCCAGAGGAGTATCGGTTTTGCAAACCTTGATGGCAACCTCTTCTTCAGCCTGGACCTACAATGGAAGAAAATCCACACAAGAGCAAAGGATTTCACATAGGTGAGAAAATGCAAGTACAAATCATTACGATGCACCCGTTTCAAGCATTCCCCATAGAACGGGGTGTAGCATTCAAGAACTTGCAACAGATTCCACACGTCAAAGCATAATATAACTGGATGTATGTTTAGTTGGCATCAAATTAAGATTACCGCAATGGAAAGTTGAAGTACAATGCAGTTGTGCCATGCCTGCACATTCGGGATGACGATTACACCAGGTTGTGCCAGGATTAAATGAAATCCTTGCACAACACGGTGTAATCATCATCCCGTACGTGCAGACATGGGGCAACTGCCAGTACATACCAGGTAGCCACGGTGCACATCTCCAAACTGTCCTTCGCCAATGATCTCACCCAGCTCGACATGAGCACGGTCAAGGAGGTAGTTCCGAGCTGCACAGCAGTCAGGGATAGCACAGATACCACAGCAGTCAGGGACAGCACAGATACCACAGCAGTCAGGGACAGCAGAGATACCACAGCAGTCAGGGACAGCAGAGATACCACAGCAGTCAGGGACAGCAGAGATACCACAGCAGTCAGAGGCAACACCCAGGCACCACAGCAGTCAGGGATAGCACAGATGCCACAGCAGTCAGAGGCAACACCCAGACACCACAGCAGTCAGGGCTAGCACAGATACCACAGCAGTCAGGGGCAGCACAGATACCACAACAGTCAGGGACAGCACAGATACCACAGCAGTCAGAGGCAACACCCAGACACCACAGCAGTCAGAGGTAGCATACAGACACCACAGCAGCCAGGGCAACACACAAACACAGTGCATCAAACCCTGAGAGGCTACTAGCACTGCACATTATGTTGTCTCAAACCCTGTACGGTATAGCAGTCTTTCAACCGACCAAATCATTTACTCACGGTGCTATTGCTAATAATTACAAGTATTCTGATTCAGTGAAAAGTGAAATTGCACAGTTTAGAGAGGCAGCTGTGTGCGTGTTTCACCATGTATGTGCGTACTACTACATAAAATTAATAAAAAAGTAGACACATACTTGGAAAGATAAACTCATCATCCCGCACTTCAGCATAGTCGGAGGGATCTGCTGAGACAGGAGCAAAAAGAAGGAGCACAACATCACGTTGCTATGTTATAGGCCGAAAATGGGGGCTTGAGGGTAGTAGCTAATATGTGGAGAGTCTTTAGAGGTGCGTGACTGACGGTAGCTCGTACGAAGACCTATTTCTGTTGTAGATAGCATTACCTGTCATGTACTATAATGGTGTGTGCATGCGCCATCACCAGCTGGCACAGGCAATATGCCGCTTTACAAGTTGATTGCTTTCCATAGTTGAATTCGCGGGATTTACAGAAGCATATTTTTGGCGATGCGAAGCCGAGGAATCCCCCAATATTACCCATCACACATCTCACACCGCCATCTCACACCACCGTCACAACTGGCTAATCTGTGAGCAAGCTCAACTTCTGCGATGCGACATGCAATTCAGATCTTCTTTGCTGCAAAAACTGTACGGAAGGCTCAAGACTGGATTGAATATTTGTGAAGGTTTCACTCAGCTACACAAATGCCATGTTACCACTATCTGCCACCCTGGTAGCACAGGCATGGTGGTGGCCTGGCACATGCGAAACTTCCTAAGCTGGTTGTGTTTCTCAACGCAATTGTATAGCCGGTGGTAACGCGGACGTGCAAACTTTACTTTTTTTACACAAATGCCATAGTGCCGTGCGCCCCGGCATTGAGCTTTGAGGCACATCAACAGGGCTACGTCACATCGCCGACTTCTTCTGTGAATGGTACTTCGCGAGTTTGCATCGCATTGCGGCATCGCAGATCGCGTCGATCGTGCATTGCATCGCCAATAAGTGCTTCCGTGAACCCCGCTTTAAAAGCATGTACATTTGCGATGAACGTATTGATACGCAGTAAACACTAGGTATCAATGTGCGTGGCTGCACATGATGAACTATCGACTGGCTGTGCATTTACTTTTACTGTTACCGTTAAGTACCGCGAGAGCGCCTCACCAACTTCTCCTTTCGTGGTCGTGTGGTGGAGGTCGCAACCTGTCTGCAGGTCACACGACACGTACTTTGTGTATGGCACGCTGTGCAGTAATCAATTCGTACTCAGTTTACCTTGGGCCTCCACACAAGAATATGCTAAGTATGACCTTAGAGTGTACTACGGTTCTCCAACTGAGTTTCACTCTGCCATACAATTTCCCCTTCCCTCCTTGTAAAATGTCACACCCTTTGCGACGTCATAGCGTGTAGCTCTGAAGAGGAGCTCACGGAAAGTAGTGCAAATTGAAAAGCGCAGATGATACTTCAACAGTTTTGGAGAGCGAAGTAGGCAGAATGAGCGACTCCGAGGATGTATCTTCCATTACGAGTCATGGTTGAGACATGTCAGACCCTGAGATGTTCGGTTTCGGCCGAGAATCACGGTTCTCTGCCGAGGAGTTGGCGGCGCGAGCCGCTGGAGACGAACCTGCGCTAAATGAAGAAGAAGCTGCTGTTGCAGATGAAACCGATATAGCGTGGCCTCCAGAAAGCAGAGTTGGCAATACGGAATGGTGCGAGTGCAGTAATTGTTGTTCGATGCTAACTCGCTTGGACTCGATCTGCTGCCATGATGCTGCTGTGACTTTGGAGCTGGTCCGAAGCTCGCATGTTTCCTGCATCTGTAATCACTCCGATTTTAGTGCAGTGGTGCTGCACCGTAGAAGGCAAAGTTTGGACTACTTGACCTTCAAGAATTGGGTGTAAAAGAGAAAGTTCAGACTACCTGACCTCCTGCCCTGGGATTGTGTACCGTCTTGGTCACAGGCACCCAATCTGCAAAGTACCCACCTATACACGGCCTACGTACCTGCGAGTAGTGCACTCCGCAAACACGATTCACGTTGACGACCTTCGGCACGCAGGATACAAGCAAGTATTGGACCGCAACCAGCGATCATACTTTGGATTTACACGGACATTAGTGCAGGAGATGTGCTCCAAATGCCCTGTGTGTCAGCTAAGTCAGCCACATTGACGGACAAAGTCATTTCCTACACCAATCATCATGAACCACTTCAATAGGTTCCACTGCTGCAGGCTGTGCATCACAGAACTGCATTGGTGACATGCAGCGGCACTCCAATAGTTTGACAAGGCCAGTGCTACGTTCTGGCACTCCACTGGACGCCGGCCGGATCAGGAAGCTGATCGGCCAGAGCTTAGGGAGCAACCTGCCAAGAAGGCGAAGCCGGCCCAACAACAGCCGAAAGAGACAGTGTGCTGGTGGTGCGGTTCGGGCGGGCACCGGATGAAGGACTGTACTGCCCTGGTGGTGAGTGCCGACGGCGGTCAGCCAAAACCGGCAGCTGAGGGGGAGACGTCATTATCGGTGGATGAGGCGACTGACTGGGCGGCCATGACAGCGGCCACGGAGGCCGCTGACGAGGCGCTCGCAAGCATGCAGACAAAGATGGAGCTGTCCGAGGACTGATGGTGTCGGCTCTAATCCACACGCTCGCAACATTGACGCGTTACTCTGCCAGTGGAATGCATGCCTGATTGCTGTGGCTTGCTTGCTTAGCGCTGTTCTCTGTTGATTCCTTGCATAACTATACCGAAGAACTTAAATATCCCATCTCAAAGCTGATTGGGTTGTTGTGTGTGCAGGGACGGGCCTCCCCCAAAAGACCAAAGATGTTTGTTCGCAGCTGTGTTCGATTGGCATGGCTCATTGATGATTGGGCTGCCTTTTTTTTGCGATAAGAATAGCATACTGCATGATGAGCATACCGTTTGAGAAGAGAGGATGCAGACACGTCATACCTTTCCAAAGATGGCTGATGCTAAAAACGACAGCGGACTGGAATCCGATTTGGATTTCCCGGTCATCGTTATAAGCGATGACGATGATGACTATTCAGAGGATGAGCAGCAAGCACCAGGACCAGGACCAGCACCAGCACCACCACCACAACAGCCACTACAGCAGCACCAGCTGCAGCTCGATCTCTTACCAATAGATCAGACATGTAAGTTGATACGGTTGAAAGCACTTTTAGCGGCGGTATTTGTATTACAAAGAAACATCTCGAACATCGATGCAAAAAGAACCTGTCAATAGCATGCACTCTGTACTGCATTCTACCAACTCTCATTGCACACTCCACACAGTATATAAACCGCAGTTCACACCCGCAACTGTATCACAGTTTGGTGAACAGTGCTACCGCTACTCCTTTGAAACATGAAGCGGATGCATAGTGCAAGCGGCGGCGGCGGTGGTGATAGTGATGTGGGAGTTGGTGAGGATGACAGCTCTTCACCCCCAAAATTGAGAAAAGAATCCGCACTTACTTTGACTCGTACAGCTCCTCGTGGATTCTCGAGAGAGTATAGAGCCAGTTTCATACACGTGCAGAAGGACGTTCTTGGCGTTCTCAACGATCTATCGCCAGAGTATGAAGCAATGGTGCACGGGCTAGGCATCCAGCAGTTCAAAGCTGTACTGGTTCTTTGTGTCACTGTTGAGCACTCACATCTTCGGTCCTCTACTTAAACTGTTTGGGTTGAGAGCTGGTGACTTGCAGAGTCGCATGTCTGAACCCTCATCGCGTGACCTGTTAATGCAACGCGGCGGCTTTCCTTGGGCTCTGGCGGGACTTTCATTGCTTCCGATGCTGCTGGGAAAAGGAAAAAATGGGTGGTGGTGGTGGTGGTGGTGGCGGCGGCGAGAACGTCATCGAAAGTCAAATGAGGCTGACTCGTGAGCCGGCCATGCAGCGTGGCGGGCTGACCATACCCCCTGGTCTGCTTGCCAAAGGTATTCCACTGCTGAAGTCCATTGGCATCCCCCTTGCTATGGGTGCGCTTGCCTCGGTGGGTGACAACGTTGTTGACAAGGTGTTCGGGTTTTCCTTTGCTCGAGATAGCATTTTCAAAACGCAGTTTTACTAAAATTCAAAAATTATAATTTTGATAAAAGAAAACTGCCCCACACGTGATCCATCAGCTCAAACGCGGGAACTCTAGCTTCTTCTTCACCCTTTTTTCAGCGCATTATAGATCTTATTGGGAGGGTACCGTGGTGTTGTGGGTGGTGATAACAACAGCAAGAGGTCCCAGAGGATTGCAGGGTCAACGAGGACCGCAGGGACTAGTGGGAGAGCGAGGAGAAAGAGGAAGACGGGGCCGTGTGGGTGAGCCAGGTGTACGTGCTATGGTTCACACTGTCAGCGGAACACTCCCGGAGACTCAAGCAAACACAGAACTGGTGCTCACTGAACTCCCATTTGGAAAAAATGTGGATGCCGGTAATTGGATAAGTGGTAATGAACGATTCGGTTTATTTGCTATTTTGAACGCGGCGAGACTAGAGACTAGAACTGTCTGTTTTCGCTTCTTTATCCTGAACAAGTGATCTCCCTGCTCTGACAAGAGCGGTTGCCAGGTTGACTATGTCTGGGCTAGGTCTAAGTGAAGCTGTACTCCTTCGGCCGTGGCCATACTTGTCAGCAACGATCCCAGGGGGGGGGGGGGGGGGTAGCTACGATGACCTCATTTCCGTCATGCAGGGTTCCAGCTGAAGGGGAAAGGGAGACACATCCCCACACCTGTCCTACTCTGATAGTGCACCCCACACTCACTTTTCGATTTTTGTGTTTTTTTTTCTTCAGTTCACACCACGAAAATGCGGCCACAAATACAGTCAAACCTCTTTAGGACGAACACCAAGGGACCGATGATATTTGTTCAATTTTTTTGTGTTTTTTTTTCTTCAGTTCACACCACGAAAATGCGGCCACAAATACAGTCAAACCTCTTTAGGACGAACACCAAGGGACCGATGATATTTGTTCGCAATAACGGGAGTTCTTCTTATCCGTTTGTTATACCCAGTGAATATCCAGTAATTTATCCAATGGAGTTACGAATACTAGTTCTTCGTAAGCAAACAGTTGTCTTATCAGTGTTCTTCCTAACGAGGTTTCACTGTACGTTGCATTTCGCGTAACAAGGCAATATTGGAAATGAAAAATATGGTATTCCCTGGTTTGAGGGAAAGACGCAAACGGGAAAAATTGACTGTCGCTTCCAGGACTCGAACCAGGGACCCTTGCTTGTAGCCAGCGAAAAAAACATAAAACTTAAGGGTTAACTGTTTCCCTTGCCCTGTCCCCTACTCTATATACCTGGCTAGAGCCCTTTGATGGATAGTTGGATACTAGTACTTGTACAGCCTAACAAAACAAGTCAGCCATGGCCAACACTTGTGCAGGCCTCACTAGCCAGTCACACCTCCCCTAGGGTAGTGAAGGGGGGGGGGGGGGAGGTACTAGATGGTGGGGGTACTAGATGGGGGTACTAGATGGTGGGGGGGGGGGTACTAGATGGTACTAGCGGGAGCTCTCACCAAAGTTTGGAGCCAGACCTTTCCTCTTTCCACGCGGGTGCTGAGCACGACTGGAATCAAGGGTCTGGCCAGCAGGGAGATAGCACTGAAGAGGTGGCTTCTCACTGCAAACACATACACACACGTACATACACACACAGGCACATACATGCACACAGGCACACACACACACACATACACACACACACACACACACACACACACATACACACACACACACACATACACATACACAGACATACACATACACACACATACATACACACATATATGCACACACAGACACACACAAACACACACACACATACATACACACACATACATACACACACACACACACACACACATGTATGCACAATGTCAAGGGTGGTAACAGGGAGATACAATGAGAGTGATCGAGAGAGAGAGAGAGAGAGAGAGAGAGAGAGAGAGAGAGAGAGAGAGAGAGAGAGAGAGAGAGAGAGAGAGAGAGAGAGAGAGAGAGAGAGAGAGAGAGAGAGAGAGAGAGAGAGAGAGAGAGAGAGAGAGAGAGAGAGAGAGAGAGAGAAAAAGAAACCTCATGGAGGACATGTGCCATTGCCAGGGCAAACACAAATAAAGAGAACGCTAACATTGTCAACAGTTGAACAAACCTTTCAGGCAGGTCCCGCTCTGCCGGTGTTTCTAAAATGGACATAGAGAGCATACGCAAGACAAACTAAAACATCACAGTTGAGATTAACTAAATTACTTAGCGTCCAGCAGAGATATGTAACAGGGTAAGCCGCAAATTTAACCAAGCCCAGGGTTCGGGTATTTCCTTTTTCACTCACTAGTACATGAACGCTGTAGAAGCAGTCTTTGCTGAAGCGGGTAAGTCCAATTTTGCCCATTGTGAAATTGAACATTCACAGACGATCATTGACTTCGTGGACATGGCTGAATCATGCACGCACCATGCAGTCTAAAAAATATGGTGTCAGGAAATTTCAAATTTCAAATTTTTGCCACCCGGTTACCCATAAGGCCAGTAGATTTGGACAATTTCAATTTTTCGCTTGCAATACCGTACCATCTTAGTTACGTATTTGGGGCAATCCTGACCGACTTGCCCCAAATAGCTTAGAGCTCTTGGAAAGTGCCAATGCCGGAAAGCATATGACGGATAGTCTCCTACTTGTTGCGTTCACCAGGCTCGCTTACCTGCCAAAGAGGCCTGGGAATAAATAGAGCGTTCAGTGCGTCCATACAAGATACAGTATCCGTCAATAAGGGTGGCAATAGTGTAAGCAGAATGTAGGTCTGGTGTCTCAATGATAACAGGCTGGTGACGTCGGTCATGGCAATGATGATGGTGACCATGATGACAGACATGCCAGAAACAGCAGCAGCCAAGAGTCCAATAACGCACACATATACACACAGCGAAGGCACACACACGAACACGCACGCGCGCGCACATACACACACACACACACACACAGGACATAATTATAAATAAAACACCTCTTTTTAAGTTATCTACTGTGAGGTTCTACAGAGTTTGAGATTCTACAGCTTCAAACCACACACAGATACCTATGCCATGTACACTGGGTTTTAAATGCGCTCCTTTACATTGAACAACGGGTCAACAGGGATTAGGTATGATCCTCTCCAACCACCAACAAGGCATTTTCTGAAATTGCCAGTGCTAGCTCTGAGCTATGGTAGATGGAAAGTATTTTCTGTCACAGGTTAACACTATGCTTACGTCATTAGGGCGGTCAACTTTCAGAATTATCACCGAAGTACTTCCGTCGGCGGTGCGCACAAGCTGCACGTTGTCAACGTCTTCAAATGATGCAACTTGATTTATCTGTAATAGGCGAATGGTGCACAGAAGACACGCACGGTTGATATCACGGAGTTGTACCCCCCCCCCCCCCCCCCTACCCACCTCTCTATACCCCACACACATCAGTATCCCTGACACAGACCACCCCCCCCCCCCCCCCCCACACACACACACGCACATCAACTGCCTCAGACCCCTGCAATCTCCAGCCGAAAGTATTAAGCTGAGATACAACTTCGACATGCACATGTACCTCAATCGATCTTTCCGCCATGTAGCTGATACCACACGATGGTCCGACCTTGACGTGAACTCCAGTCTGCAAATCAGAAAGCAACACAAACTGTACGCGTTACCAACCACATGCAGCGGGCGCCTTAGGCCATGCCAGCATTTTACATAGATCATAAGTTCATAACTAACTTTAGCAATCACATGCTCCCACCTTAATTAAATTATGCCAATGCACAATTATATGAGTGTTTAGTATGGAGTCGAGGCAGGCAGGCAGGCAGGCAGGCAGGCAGGCATAGAGGAATGGACTGAGACCATGATAAAGAAACAGAGGGCGTTGGAAGCCATCCAACGTTTTCGCGAGGGAAGTGAAGGGAGTATAAGGGAAGTTGGGTTTGACACTTGTGCCAGCAACTGTGAGACACACCCCCATCGACCCCAGCATTAGGTGTCACGCCTTCTGCTATACCCGGAAGTGGCAGGTAGCAGTCTGGCGTGAGCGGGCAAAGGCCACAAAAGGGTTTGCTAGATGAATACTGTATTATTATGCAGTGGCATCAGACAGACTGGTGTCATCACTCAACCCAGAGCATGCACGATGATGTCATTTGCACATACATGGTGATGTCATTTGCATATACATGATGATGTCATTTACATAACCTCTATATGAGGATAGCAACCAAGAGCATTCATCCATGCCAGTCTGGTTTGTGATATAGATGAGGCGACTATCATGATGCACATCATCAGTGCCACTAAACATTAGGAGCAGCAAACTTCTTCATAACACGTGGCACAGACTATGCCCAATGAGCTGATCCAGCATGCAACCGGCAAGCTTACCCCAATGGAGCACTGGAAAGTCTCCGCATCAAGGCGATAGTAGCGGCTCAACAAGTCTACAAACTTGAACATGCACGAGTGTTCGTCAAGGTTGGCGTACTGACGGAAGTAATTTGTAATGGTCTTCCTCAACGCCTTGGGCTGCACACACACACACACACACACACACACACACACACACACACACACACACACACACACACACACACACACACACACACACACACACACACACACACACACACACACACACACACACACACACACACACACACACACACACACACACACACACACACACACACACACACACACACACACACACACACACACACACACACACACACACACACACACACACACACACACACACACACACACACACACACACACACACACACACACACACACACACACACACACACACACACACACACACACACACACACACACACACACACACACACACACACACACACACACACACACACACACACACACACACACACACACACACACACACACACACACACACACACACACACACACACACACACACACACACACACACACACACACACACACACACACACACACACACACACACACACACACACACACACACACACATACACACACACACACACACACACAAGCAAATATAGAACACTGAGAGGCTGAGAAAGAGATTCTAGGCCATTGGGCAGCTGCTGGAGCATTGAAAAGCGTGCACCTGATCCCGATTTAGAAACTCCGACCAGCCATTCCCATCTGTGCTTGTCGTTTATCCTATGATGATAGTGACATGATGCTGGGGTTGTACATGCATTGTAAGAAATGACGGAGCTAAAGTGAAGCATGCAGACGCCATAAAGGAAGGAAGAGTTACAGTAGACCAACTTAGTCAAACTTTGAATGTCCCAGGGCCCCCTGGCACAACGTCCACGTCCACGATGCACCCATGAATGACACGTTGGCAAGGCAAGATGCAGCTGTACAGAGTATGTTCATAGCCGAGATGTATACACATGCAGTACACTGAGTGTATGGGTTGCAGGCTAGCCGCCATCACCACCGGGGCATAGCACACATACCTTGAGGGAGTCCACCACATACTTGGGAATAAACTTCTGCAGGCCAACCTCTTTCCTGCGGAAACGTTGACATACACATTGCGATGCACACATCAGTAGGGAATACTGGTAACAAATTACTAACAATGGTACCCTTCATGCATGTACAATACTGGCATGCTCCATCAATAGGTACAGCAAGACCACTGCCGGTCTGCAGTCCCAGTTGAGCCTTCATTGAAGCAAAAGACATCACCCCGGGGAATCCAGTGATTGTGCACACCAGCTACCCAGTGGCACAAAATGCACACCAGGGTTACAAGGTACCACCAAAGTACAGCAATCATTCTCATGCATGAAACTACCTACTGGGGGGGGGGGGGGGGGGGGGGGTAGTGTGTGTGTGGGGGGGGGGGGGAGGAGGGGGGAGAGATTGAGGGTGAGGGGATGAGCGCCATCTGCTTTACCTTAGTTCTTCTTTTATCAACAGGGAGTGTGGATTGAGTACTGTTGTAACTGATCACACTAGTAATTCTCCGAGTCAACCTAGCTCACAAGCACCAACAGTACTTACTCAAGAAAGTCAAAGTTTGACTTCTTTGTCAACGCTACCTGTGGCATGTGCTTGAAGAAGCGCCTACACAACACGACCACAGCAGCAGCAGCAGCACCAATACAGATCACATGACCAGGGAACACATTCGCTTAAAATCGTATTCATATTTCCGCTAGCTACACACAGGAACAATTTCATTAAAAATTTTGAATACTGGGTCAACTGTCAGAGCATTTCCAAAAACGTTTTCAATCCACTCTCTACACTGGCTACGGCAGAATGAATGGAAGAAAGTCAGAACAAGCCTATACTTATATCCAGCAATAGGTGTGTGGCGAGATTTAGTGCTAATGATACCTGATAGCCAATCACATTTTTTCGGAAAAATTAGGTCTTTTGCCCATTGACTTGAGTTACGAAATGAGCAACATGGCCACTGCGTGATATTATACTCTTGTCTCCAAAAATCCGTATTCAAATTCCATTAGTGTCGAGTACTAAGTTGCAAGCCCAGTTCACATCCATGGTACAGTCGTCCCTCTCTAATCCGGCACTTGTTTATCCGGAACCCTTGCCAACCGGCGCACTTTCTGACGAAATCGATTTTTTTCGTTCAATTCCTACATCTTAATCCGGCACTTGAATTCCGCCTCCGGCAGTGACTTTTTGAAACGAATCGCTCAAACTGCACGTAGTTTGATTTCATAATCCGCCAGTCGTAAATCGCGTACCGTACAGGTGCACTCCTTGCCAGGCCGGGCTAGGCCAGTCTGGTCAATGTTGTCCAGGAGACAACGGCAGCAGTCAACCATACTTTCTTATTTTAGCAAGGAGTAGTGCCCTGCCAATTGTCAGGTGTGTGTGTGTGTGCGTGTGCGTGCAAGAGTACATGTGAACATGTTCTTTGTTTTACTTTATCACTTTATCACTGTGTATATTCCTGGAGAAAAGTTGAGAATATAAAGCCGTGCACCAAATACTTGGGTCGACACGGAAAAACCCTGCGTTTTGACGTACGATACATGCATGCAATAGGGCAGGGCCGGGTCAGAGGGCAAGATTTCTTAATCCAGCACCCTCGTTAATCCAGCAGAAAACGCCGTAGCAAAAGGTGCCGGATTAGAGAGGGACGACTGTACAGTCAGACCTCGCTTAACCGCACACATCTGTTTTCCACAAAAATATCCGGATAGGCGAGGGAACCGGATAACTGAACACACATACTGTATATGCATGTGGCATGTCAAAAGCAGTGACATCATACATACATGTAGACAGGTCCTATGCAGTACAACTAGCGTGCACAGTATGTAAAACAAGCGAGAAAAATGACAAGTGCATGCAACTGAGTGCTGTCCGCACACACCCAGCAGGTCAAGGACCTCATTTGCTTGTACAACTCCTTGATACTAGCTTCTGCAAGCGCTAGCCAGCCACATGCAACCGGATACGACGAAGCATTTTTTACACATTTTAACCAGTTTGTACACAAAATCATGCACCGGTATGCGGATCGCGAGGTCCGGTTATGTTGTATGCATAACATATGCTGCACATCGGTAACCAGCAATTTTCTTCCGGATGGCGAGGGATCCGGATAAACGAGGACCGGATAAACGAGGTCTGACTGTATTTGTATTAGATTTCTCAGTCCTAGCAATATCAGGACAAAGTAAATGTTGCTAAAGACTGCACCATGATCTGTGAGACTATTTTGAGCCCTGCCACCACTGTAAGACTGATCTTGATCATACCATGCACCAGGCTCTAACTGTCACATGTAAAGCATCTGCATGAACTAAGCAGCAACTCTGAGTGCCTGGCTCTTTGAGGTTGCAGACTTAGCACACTCTAATACCACGGCAGCAAAGTAGACAGATACATTTGAAGTTGTATAAACTGGGAAAGAAGAAAAAAGAATGACGGAACACATCACACCAAGCAGCCGGACTTACCTCATCTCTAGGCATCCCAGTTGCAGCATGACATCAGCATCCACTGCTGACGGGTCTCTCATGAAGTCAACTCTGATCTGCAGTGCATGCACACACGTGCACACACGTAGACGCAGACATACGTACACACACAAACAGAGAACACAATGTTCAGAGGAACCTTGCCAAGATGAACATTGATAAGACAAACGTTCGCTTCGCAAGAACAAGACTATGCATGTCTCTCTTGGACGGACAAAAGAACTCCTCTTAGGGCGAACGAATTCCATCTGCTCCTTGCTGTTCATCCTAAAGAGGCTTGAGTGTACACGTATACTGGTCGCCATGCTAGAGGCAGAGGCCACCCATGAGAGAAAGTGCACAGTCTGGCACAGACTTGACGGCTGGAGCCCTTCAGATGCTACAAGACGGGAATGGTCCATGGACTAACTGGATGTGCAATCAAATCCACAACGGTCAGAAGACTGCGACGATCTTCTTGAGATAAATCCAAATGACGAGACGCTGTATGCGAGGGAGCACAAACATCCCTTCTTTGCTAAGGGAGTACAAACATCCCTTCTTAGCTAAGGGAGTACGACCATCCCTTCCGAGCTGAGGGAGTACGGATATCCCTGCCGAGCAAAAGGCGAGATGCTCAGTTCACGACCTGCATGTGCACTACAGTAAGCACGGCTTGGAACGTCAACAACAACGCCCGTACGTGCGCACCCCCCCCCCCCCACACACACACATGCATGTGCACACACAGACGCATGCGACCCATCCCCACACACATACACACAGATATGCAAACACACAAACGCACACACAAACGCACACACAAACACACACACACACACACACAAACACACACAAACACACACACACACACACTAACACTCACACACACTAACACTCACACACACAAACACTCACACACACTCACACACAAGTACACACAGTCCATAACCCAAATGACAGCCTTACCTGGTCGTAGAAGTAGTGAAACGTGACCTGATCAATGTCAAGAAGTTGCAGAACATCATGTGCCAGAAACCGGATGCGCAGTACGTAGCTAGTGTATACGGCAAGTGGTAAGAAAACAGGGGAAATGCACAGTAAGATCAGGCCAGCATAAACCAATGCAGGGACGGGTTCTTACATGTCTCAAGTAACTTACAATACTGTATTTTGATCTTGTGGCTCACTCAGACATTTCACCACCACCGCAGTAAGCTCTTGACCGGCTCCTGATCCTGCGTACAGCACAACTACCAAATTGGCGAGGACACTGCCCACATCCGTCGGTCAAGAATGCAAAGCGGTGGCGAGAGAAGTTCTGAAATACTATGGCCGAGAAGTCTGCTGCAATATCTCAAATGCGGCCTACTCTCCATGTACTGCGCCGTATGACACAGCATAATGTTCTGAGATACCGTAAATCCAAACTCCATCTTCCTATTCTTCACTGTACGCTTTTTTAGGCTGTACCTGCAGGGTTGTGGGGGAAACCCCTTTGAACGCTTACGGTGGAATTCACAATGCTACTATGGAGTCACTCTCACAGATTATAACAACTCAAAGGAAACATCACCATCATATACATATAGGACATGCAGAGAGTCTCGCCTGAGACGTACCTCCACTCCCCTTCGGTGCATACTGTCTTGAACCTGGACTGGGCTTCGGACAGTGTGATGTCATTGGACAGCCAGTAGAACTGATCACCGTCGGAATTCTCTACACGCATGGCACAATAGTGCAGCACTTTCGTCGCATCAGCGCCCAGGCGAGAGAGCACAAGTCGGCATACTTCCTGCAGGGAGCACAACAACAGCAGCCGCAGCAGTTCAAATCAGAGTGTCTCAGCAACTTTGGTCACAGCTCCTGCAGCAGGTAAAGTCTCGTGATACCTATGCTGCAATTTGTTCCATTCTACCCGCGTCTACCGTAGTTGAACTGACGTTTCATTGCTACTGCTAGCCTAAGCTTCATACAGCTCTCTCCAGGTTCCTGTAATACTCCCATTTTCATTCCCATTTTTTCTTCTTCATTTTCTACTTCTTTTCTCAGTTTTCCCCACAATGGCTGGTTAAAATCGCCCGCATCACATGTTTATTGGCATTAAGTCATTGCGAAATAGAGGTTGCGACTTCGGCGATGATTTTGTTTAGGAATGGGTTTGCTCCCACACTGGAGCTCGCGCTATTCCGCCGACGACTTGACACTTGACTGACTCACGACTGCCATCCAGAGAACACGAGAAGTCCATCGAACCTTCGACTCGGCAAACCTGCAAGAAAGCACCACTCACTGCTCAATACACAGTGTTTCGGGGAATTCACCCCTCATCAGTTGAGCTTGAGTAAGCTGAGGAAGATTGTGCCTGAAGAGCACCACTTATATAGTGCTGTCCAGGCACAAACATCACCAGGGATACAAACTTACAGAGACACTCCTCACCGTCCAGGAGCGATAACTGACTCGCGCTGCTATCTGGTGTTCACGAGGTGTTTGTCGCGCTGGAAAGTCATTGCGATTGTGGAAAATAATAACTGCTGCTCTGGGTACTAAACCTGCTGGACCATACAGTGAGAGAGTGACGTTGGATCCTCCTGTGAAGTTATGAACCGTATGCAGTGTGTGTTTAGCTGTTTACACTTTTTTTATGCGCCAGGTATCCTTCTGCGGCGCTCCACTGTTTATTTATTTCTTTGACTGGTGTATAGTATTAGTATACCTAATGAGGTGTGGCAACAGTAGTGAGAATGGCTTGGGAACTGTGGGGGGGGGGGGCTGTATCCATGACACTGACCGGGATGAGCGATAGCCATGTGTGCTGTACTCTGCTGGGCTACAGTACAGATGAGTATGGCAGCTACGTGTCAGTTTTAGTGCGCAGTGAAGGCCAACACACACACACACACACACACACACACACACACACACACCAGCACACAGACACAGACACACCGGTTGTTGTGGCTAATTTTGTGGCTAATTTGTCACGGAAAGGTGGGGATCTACATTGGAATTCCAGATTCATTTTTCCCTGACTGTGAAATTCTTAACTGAACACATGATCATAGTGATCAACCACTGTTGAAAAATGTAATGGTAAAGCTCAAGAGAAGATACCTCTGCACCATTGCCGGGCCACTAATCATGTACTCATTGTGTCACCCTGCCTTATAAAAACTTTTGGGCGAGGCTGGTGTCACTGGCCCCTAACATAAACAGTCCAGAGACAGTTGAGCCAGGCAGCCACAGCCCATGCATGGCTAGGTTTGGTATGCCTAGGCAACACCGTGCTGCATCAGCAGGTGACAAGACCCAGGGACAAGGTAAGGACCAGTCCAGGCCCTGAGCAACAATGGCAAAAGTAGCTCATCCAGAAAATCGGACAAGCATTCCCTGTCCAAGATCACAGAGTCCACTGTTGTTCAGAGTCACACTCGGAACTGCACGACATTGTGCTAGGATTAATTTTTAGTCAATGGCAAGTACTACATACGGCAAGTACTACACAGTGCAAGTGGTTCCTCCTCACCCAACACTGATTGATTTACTAGCAATTGCAAAACCCAGTGAACAACACATGGGCTTGGAAAGAGCAGACTCTACATTATTTACAAAGCAGCAGGGGAACACTACTGGCACTGATTTTTCCAAGAGGTCATGTCGCAACCCTGCGGACAAAGGCATCATTATCATGCCCATCAAAGTGACTTGGGGGTATTGTGTTCACACCTAACGCTACTGCATGCTGTCAAAGACAATGCAACGTTGAACACCAGCCATTAATTATTTTTTCAATAACTTTCTCCTGGCCGTGTTGCTGCTGATGCAGTAGAAAAACAGTTACTACAGCACAGTACAGAGGACGCGTACATGTAATGGCGGCCGCCGGATCAACCAATGACTTCATTGTCTGTGTTCTAAATCTAAACTACAAACGTGACACGAACACACTTATAAACAGTGGACCTACATGTACATTGTACATGATGAAGTCGAAACTAAAGAGTTGCTACACTCTTTCCACTGCAAAGCCTAAAAAAAGTAGAGGTAACGTTAGCCATAATTTTAATGAGCGATTTCCTAGCACGCCAAAGAACTGCTTTTCCTTCTCATTCGCTCGTGCGTGTGCGGAGCTGGGGAATTTTGGTGCCAAAAATACGAACGCCAATTAATGCAGAGGAAAGTCGTTCAGGAGACAGGACACCAGATCCTCCCGTGTCGACCCAGAACTTAACCACCGACTCGAAACGTAAGTGCTGGCACAAGGGCGGACGCTGCTTTGCGTCCGAACGCAGACAGTAGGAAAAATAGACATCCTCCAACGAAACACAAGAGCACCACGAACATCGACCTATCCACGAACGTCGGCGTGATGAGAACTAGCTGACCAGCGCCAAACATGTACACGACCGCACTGACTTCGAAAACGACTCTAGGAATGCTGAATCAAGGGCTGTGGCATTGCTAACCTCCAGCAAAAATGGGATAAGAGAGTCGTAAATTGCCGTTTTTAGACACCCTGATTAGGAGCAACAGCAGCAGCAGCAGCAGCAAATCGACTTACCCGCATTGAGGTGTTGGCTGGGCATCGGAACGACCGAACACTACCGTTGACCAACTTGATCTTCACCATGGGACGCTCTTTGACTGCATTACCTGCACTGCTCGCTGGTCGAACGTCCATTGTAGCGGTGGCAGCAGAGAGCTCAGCAGAGACACACAGGACTCTCAGAAATCTAACGAGCCACGAACAAATCCACGCGCCAACGACACGCCAGTCACATCTAGCGAGCGTTCGGAACGCTTCCGCGTGTTACAACCACCTTGCGGACGTGCCAGTGCTACTGCTGTATGGCGACGTCGCGATCCCGTCACCCACATTACATCAAGGACCAAAATGCTCCACACGACCACACTCCACAGCCCTTTCAGACCTGCAGCTGCACCTCAAAACGAGAGCGGATCGGAGTAGCAGCAGAAACCCGAAAAACACACACAAGCGGCCAACGTCAACTTCCTTCACTTACTACGCCGCCGCTGCTGCTCAGGTCCAACAACACTCGCAGTTCAGAGACGTAGTACAAGCGATCGAGGGAGCTCGAGAGCAAAGCCACTCGCACTAAAATCATTACAGAAACGCTATGAATGACAATGCCAATGGTCGACGGGTCGCGTGTGAGGTCGAAATAGATATCTACCGACCGTACTTCTACTGCACTGAGTCTGTGGAACCGAGCACACGATTTGGCCACAGAGTCACCGCTCCCACTCCCAGCTGCCTGAACTCTGAGTCTGACTGAACTCTGAAGCCAAACCTATACGCCGGGATGAAAACGACCACAACACGTACTGTTGCCGTGTTGATCAGGACCTCTGGCTCTAGTCTAGCCACTGATGAGTGATAATGAAGGGAGGCAACTAGCTAACTAACACTTACTCGCATCCAGCACTGCAGCAGTGGCAGCAGTGCAGTGCTGCTGCTCTACTCGATCGCAGCGACAGTACAAAATGATTGTAATGAAAGAACGAAACTGCACTGCCACTGCCGGCAGCGTGGCATGCACGGTGCAGGCATGGAGTCTGTAGTCTGTATGCCACCGTCCGTGTTTACAACCAGAAAAGGAACTGGGAGTCTGTACTACTGGGAGCTACATGCATGATGTAGCCGCACCATCTGACACAGCTGCACATAACACTAACAGTCAGTACAGAAAGTCTGCGTCGAAGTGACGGTCAGACAACAATACAACTATTACTTTTGTTACAAGGGTAGAGACTAGACTGTAGAGCAGAGAGAGAGCTAGAGTCTAGAGTAGAGAGAGAATTTGTTTACACACATAACCACGATATTGCTGTGCATCCACAAAAAAGGTTCCCGTCCCCTGACCATGCTGACGGACCGCTGTGCTCTCACACTCGTGCTCGACAACGCTCATGTATGATGTACGCGTGCGTGCTCCCGGAGTGGTTGGGTCCGGATTCTGATCTTGATAAAACGTTCCCTTTGGCTTTGAAGTAGTCCCACACGGCCAGTTCAGATAGCACTATGACTATGACTATGAATGAAGCAGAATGTATGACTATGATACTCCTGCCCGAGTCCTGTGGGTTGGAGTGTCACTGTCAGGGGACTCCCGAATCCCGATCCCATTCCTGACCTAGGCCAATAATTATAATACTAGGCTTCACTAATAGAGCGGTCACACTGAGGGAAAATTTGAAAATAATCCGTGGATAGTTGCCGCTGAGCGGAAGATTTGAGAGATTTAATCCACTCGATGAAAATCAGCTCGAGGCCTCGCTTTTCCGCCGCAGATTATAATCATCCGCGGCTTCCACTGGATTTCTTTGAGTTTCCTCGTTTTTGATTGCGTTCTGAAGTGGAGCGAGGCTGTACTGATGTAGCTCTGGCCCAGGAGCGGGGTTGACAGACAGCCAGAAGCGAATGGTGACAAAAAAATTGCTCGCGTGAGTGAGATTATTTTCATTGTGCGTATCCAGTGCACTAGTGTGACCGTGATGAAAAGCAGAAAATAGATTATTCCCGGTTTATAATCTGAGGATTGTTCCCTTTGGGTGCGTTCGAATTGTCACTCTTTGACTTTTCGAGGAGTTTCGTTTTTCTGAAGAGGTGGCCTTATTGGCCTCTTCAGAAAAACGAACCTCCTCGAAACTCCAAAACCTCATCCGATGGGAGAGGTGGATTAGTTCCGAAGAGTTTGGAATAGCTACTGTACTTGTACTAACATATTTTCGGTTTTGACAGCATGTTACAAATAATTACAGAGGACTGAAGACAAGAAAATAACATCACAAAATCCTTTCCAGACGTGATCCCTGCAGCGGCAGCAACGCGACAACGTGAACAATACTACGGCGGCAACACGACGATTTCTACAACACAAAAAACGAAATTTTCTCAAAATGCAACCAACCCCTAGAGTAACGAGGGTCCGAACCTGGGTTTTCCCAATACGGTTCAAATGGTCGCAAGACCGGGACTCTGCCAACCGGGTTATGGTTGTAGTCAGGATCTAGGAGCACTACTGATCGGACGTCATCATCGCTATGACAATTCCACTGAAAAACTCCAAAATGATAGAAACCGTTCTAATGGGACACCGTCACACGTCATACTAATCTCTTTAAAAAATTTGTTCGAACACACACAGATGATGAAGACAATTCGAACGCGCCCTAACTATCTCGATCACCCTGCTTCTTTTTCATGATCCATTGCTTCTTACCTCCCCAGGTAATTTCCATCTACATGTAGCTGTTTCTGGCTGGTATCAGTTCTATCACACTTATCGATCGTCCTTATTGGCGTCACTGCCGTCACACCATCGCGGAATAAAAGAATAATATTTAAAAATAACTAACAGTCTAGATTCTGTGCCCCGGGCCCCGGGCCCCTGGCATAATGTCAGATCAAGGCCAGGAAGTCGTATGGACCCGGTTTACACTGGTTTCAGTATACGACTCCCCGGTCTGGTCAAGACCCACACATCTTCACGACACTCTCCAAACTGTCTCTGGGCTACATCAATCACTAAAAGAAAGAAAAAAAGAGATCATTTGAATTTTCGGGCAAGGCCCATGTTCAGGAAGATTGGCCTTGCCCGAAAATTTGAATGATTGTAAGAGAGGGTCCCTGGTTCGAGTCCTGGTGGTGACAGTCGATTTTTATTTTACCGGGTACTAGCAAGAGTACATGGTTTATGTACTATTGGTACTAGTTTTAGTGATTGGTGTAGCCCAGAGACCGTTTGGAGAGTGTCATGAAGATGTATGGGTATAGTGGATGGCTACAGACAGTACCGTAAAAGTCCGTAAATAAGTACCTGCCCGAAAGAAATACCCCCTTCATTCTTTTGGCTCTGTCTGTTGAAGTCAAGTCAAGCCCGATAAACATACTGCCCGAAATAAGTACCGGTACGATGCGCACATGCAGCACATAGCATGTACATCAACATGACAAATGATTTCTCCACTACACACAAGTCAGGTCCAAAAGTTAGTTCGTGCCCGAAAGTCAGCACCCACCCGAAAGTTAGTACAGGTGTGGTCACTAAATTCGAAAGTAAATACGTACTTATTTACGGACTTTTACAGTACAGTGGAGTCTTGGCACTTTGAGAAACCCTGGTCAAGACTGTAACAAAAAAAACTGAAAGATGTGTGGCTGGGAACTAATGACTGTACAGTCAATTCTCAGCTAGGCCTAGCCTACTAACAACAATTTTTAGTCCTGAACTTTGTTATTATTAGCGAGTGGTACACACCGGTAGATGTGTATCCTGTGTGACCGACAGTACACTCATCCATAGCATAGGGACATCTGCTCTGATCTGGTCCCTGCCGCATGGATTTCAAATACATGTACAGTGTACAATGTAGTAGTAGAACAGCTATCACTACTAGTCCAGGTTTGGGGACAGGTGTACATGTACATCACCAAATAGCACTAAGTCTTGTCTTTAGCAAGCACATGTACAGTACCGGTAGGTAAGTATACGGTTGTACATTATGGTTAGGGGCCGTCCGTAAATATCGAACTTTTTTCACCAAACGAATTATTTCAGTTTAGACCCAACCCCTCCCTCCCTCCCCCTCAGAACGTAAAAAATGTTGACATACATGCATATACAACGGCCATGTACATGAATCAATGTTTTCTGAAACGAAATTGGTCAACCCCCTCCCACCCCATAACGAAATTATTTCGTTTTGTGAAAAAAGTTCGATATTATTTTATGGACGACCCCAATAGTAATACGTCACATTATACGTGTAGTGGCTTTGATTTGTATCAAGGCCATTACATGTATTACTAGTGATTATGTATTATTTTAGTGTCACAAGTGACCTTGGTTTCCAAATCTAATGGATGATGATGCACATACATGTGCAGTCAGTTCTGGCCAGAGCAATCCGCCCTCATGAACGGCGATCAAGTGTGCAGAGTGCTGTGTGTGGTTCCAGGGCCACGTAGACCCCCCCCCCCCTAGATTTCTCTGGCTAGGACTGTACATGCTCAACAGCAAACCTGCATCCTGCACTGTATTAATTTTGCAGTAACATTTGTAATACATGATAGCACCCCCCCCCCCCCCGACACTCCCTGAAACAACGTGGAAGAAGATCAGATTACGCTCGGACAATACAAGTACTAGCAAGCAGCACAATGAATGCCAAAAGTCTCTCTAAGTCTTTCCAAGAAAAGTCAATTCTTTCTCAAAACCCACAAGCCGGGAACAACGGAAACCCAACCAAGTGCAGGCGCAAGGCAGCAAACACACACGCAACCTACATACCTAAGCCTACTAAGAAAAAATCCTAAAGTCTACACGAATGCCACTGAAAAGCCAGGTGACCAGAACACAACGAAAATATAATTATTAGAAAACCTACTGCACTACCGTAAAAAAACACTAGACTAGATCGAGGGCGATGGACAATGCTGAAGAAGACTGAGGGAGGGTAGAGGGTAGGCAAGGAAGAGACCAGCCACAGGGGCAGAAGGGACAAACGCAGGGCAGGTAACTAAAATTTCTGCAAAACCACTAAACAGCAGAAAAGAGGACAAAGCTGAGAGAAAGACGGGGGGGGGGGGGGTATATTACGGCTGGTGTGGCGTTGAGTTTTCATGAGTAATCACATGAAGAGGATTTTACTTGCAGCTAAAACGACAGAGTCCCCTAATAATCCTGAATATAAAAATCCTAAAAATCTGAATACCACGAGCTACACGGCTTACTGTGCAAAACGGCTGCCGAAGAATGTGACATTGGTTACGTTTGAGAAATCAGAAGATTCCTGAAGAAGAGCACGTGCACATGCACACACACGCGCGCGCGCACACACACACACACACACGAGCACACACAGCAGAGTACATGTTGATGTAGCCATTGAGTGTACGGTGATAGTCTGCATGCTAAAATAACTGACTGCATTTGCCCTCATGACCAAGAGTACATGACCCAAAGAGTGCAGATGGGGATACAGGGAGTGGCGCAAGACGGAGAGCAACCCCATCCTCCCTCGAAACAGGTGACTGTGTTTGAAAAGCCATATGCGCCACAAGTACAATTTTGAAGGATCAACACATCTTCAAATGATCAGAACTCGCTTGATTTCGGAGATGAAAATATGTATGGCAGAAGGAAACTCTCAGCTGGCGATACAAGCAATTGCCAGAAAGGTAGTACACTCAAACGCCTCTTATCCGGACGCCTCAGATACGGGCACGTCTCTCTACCGGGCACCTTTAGCTTGAGTTCCTATAGCACAAATGCTTCGAATTTGGGTTTTTTGAACTTTTTCCGTATTCGGAAGTGCTTATTTTTCACTGCCAACCTATGTAATGCACACATTTTTATCAATGGGTTCCTTTTGTATCCTGAACATGTGCAATACGTTCCAAATAAACTTCTTCAAAAAGTGATATGATACATGGTAGATGAGTTATTCTGAGATACGGGCAAATCTGAGATACGGGCAGTGCCCGGTCCCAAGGTGCCCGGATAAGAGACGTCCGAATGTAGGTAGGTGGGGCGAACAGTTCTTGAGTTATTGGAGTTGCATTGCTCATAGCAAGCATGTTTTCGAGCAGTCCATCAAGTATGAGTACTGCCATGGACGCCTGCAGGCTGTACAAGCTCTACAGTACTACACTGCACAGCTAGTCAAGGTCAACCACTAGCCAGCAGACAGGAATGCTTGAGTTAGACGATGGTGCTTGACTCTGCTGCATGTCTGGGCTGAGTTCGCTTGCCTATAGAACTGGCCGGTGACATTTCGCATTGTTTGACTTTGGGCTCAGCGTGTTCCTCATCACAGTTATCCATTGAGCTTCCCAAGAAGCCAAAGATCAAGGAAATCACATGCTGGGAGCCGCCATGAATGGTATTTATTTTTCACCTTCCCACGAGTAGAAAATAGAGGTCAGTGTAGTGGAGGTGGGGGAGAGAAGCCAGTGACAGTAGTAAAGAAGTAATACGACAAGAAGAACATAGCAGGCAATGGCCTGGTCCTGGTAGTGTTCACCAAAAAAAAAAAAAAAAAATTTCACGGTTCGCGTGAGACTCGGCTGGAAGCCGGGTTTTCCGCATCCGTAGGAACGCCACCACCCTTCAAGGATCAAGGCGCAGATGCAGCTCCTAAAGCGGTGGGAGGTGAGTAGATCAGCTCACCAGCAAGTGGTCAAAGACCGAAAATCCCATTCACTGCATCCATGTTTTCCTCGTGCCAGGCCACGAGTTCCCAAGAAGTGCAGTATTTGAACGTAGGATTAGTTTTCAGCAACAGGACCACTCTCCGCCGATTACCAAGGATCCTGGCTTTCATCAGTGCGGATTGGCATTTAAACGTGTCAGGGCGCTGTCAGCGAGAGCACTGAAAGTCATTGCCACAAAGAAACGCCATACGTAGCGCCTTACCTGCTTAGATCCATTTCTTGTGTCAAGGCTGATTCAAGTATTACTTCAGGAGTATGGATATCTGGGAGAAATAAACAAGAGTAATTATAGGTAAGAGAGAGAGAGAGAGAGAGAGAGAGAGAGAGAGAGAGAGAGAGAGAGAGAGTGTGAGAGAGAGAGAAGGGTGGGGAAGATGAGGAAGAGCAGACTCTTAGAGAAAAGGAAAGAAGTGGGCCCAGGGACTAGCTAGACTAAAATGCTGAACTACTCCTAAAGCAGATGTTCCAATTGTGCAATTTCAGGAACCACAATTGTAGAATGAGCACCCCCCCCCCCCCCCCAATGCTGTTCGTTCGAAACACAATACAGCGAGGCATGGCACGTTTTCAATGACATGCGTCAGCACAGCAAGCAGGTGTATTTTCATTGAAAGCAATAGAGACCAGAGGCTGTACAGAGCCAGGAGTACAGCAGCAGCAGCAGCAGTCACCCCAAAATGTGCATGTGCAGAAAATGTGTAAGCACCCAGCTCTTACCTATTCCATAGCGTAAGAACGGTTTGCACAGCTTCACGTCCTGCGCAGTTGACAGCACTACCAGCCGGACATTACCCTGCATAAGTGATACCAGAAATAAGTCACAAGACGGTACCGTTTCACACAGTCATACACCACTACTCAAAACCGGTCCCTCGGCTACCAATTCTTCCAAAAATAATGTAATCCAAATTTTCGGACCGAAAATTTGGATTTTATTCTTAGAAGAATTGGTAGCCGAGAGCCCGTTTTTGAGTGGTGGTGTATGACTGTGTGAAACATGAAGTGGCTACAGTGGAGTCTGCACACCCTTAACAAGACGGTACCAGTGTGAATATACATGTGTATGTGATCCGTCAGCTTGTGCGTATGCCATAATTATAGTGGAACACCCGCATCCACACATAGACACACAGGCAAGCAGACACACACAGACATACAGGCAAGCATCCACACACAGACACACAGGCAAGCAGACACACACACAGACACACACCTCTGGACTGCTCCGAAGCAACTCCAACTCGTCTTCGCTTGGCATTGTCTCCAGCAGCTGAGAATGGGAAGGAAAAAAAGAGGAGAGAAAACAGAATACTGTTAATGCCATTATTGATTATTCTAACGAGACTAACGATTTCCTAAAATTGACCGGTTTACATGTACCAAAGGTAACGATTCTCACTCATTCTTGACACTCACCGGCTCAGACACAAGACACTAGAAAGAGTTGAAAATAATATTATGGTTCTGTCAAACAGGTACTTCAGTACCGAACATAAAGTCATAAAAGGTACATGAACTAAAGCTGGAGTGCTGTGACTGCTGTACTTCAAGGTACTGTATAAGCAGAAATATTCGTCTGGAATTTAATTTCGTCTTTTTCGTCCAAGGAACCTTTTTGGACTTTATTAAGTGCCGGACTAATGTCGATTTGTCCAGCTTTTCTATACACTATTATGATCCATGGACGAAATTTTCAACCGGACGAACTCCCTTTCTTAGGAGTTGGACGAAATTTTTGACCGACGAAATTTTCTGCCTCTACAGTACTAGTATTACTATTAGCACGGATCAGAGCAAAGTCATTCAGCAAGCCTTGAGAGCTGCAGCCGATACAGCGTGCAATAGAAAGCCTCTTTCCTACGGCAGTAAGTTACTACGTACCACACCACCGGCACACTCCACAACAAGACGCATGTCCTTGGCCGGAGGTTCAACACTGGACGTGCAGTACACAGTCAGGCCTTGAAACAGAGGACGATTGCGTATCGCACGACGATGCAGACTAGCCGCGAGTGAGAAGCCCATCTGCTGCTCGCCTTCGTGATCTCGCAACGTGTACAGGCCTTCGTCTGAACAACACACATCGTAACAACACACTCAGTGTGCGTGTGCACATGCACACGCGCATGTAAAAAATATTATAATTTCCCGGGGCTAAAGCTGCACATATCTTTCATGAAAATTGGGCCAAAATATCACCGACGCCTATACCGGAAAATTCATTTCATACAAAAAAAATACAAACTGGAGAATGGCAATTATCCACCAAAAGGGGTACGTACGGCTTGTACAATGGCGGGGCTTTGACCATGGAAAGTACAGTTCTGGTGCTAGAGAGCTTGGTCCTCTCCAAATTCAGCCTTTAGAATGAAGAAGCTATGGTCACAGAAGCACAGTGCTTTGCTTTGACTTACTGAGGAACTTTCCTTCCAGTTTACTATCGCTGATCCATTGTGGGTCGAGTATGAACTTAGCGACGGAGACGGCTGCCATGAACTTGACTGTGCGAGCTACGCGGCGTGCCACCAGGTGGGTGCACTCTCGCACATCGGTTACCACGGTGCCGCCAAGCTGCACAACTGACTGTAAACGCACGCACAGGGAATGTTTGCAAGCACACACACACACACACACACACACACACACACACACACACACACACACACACACACACACACACACACACACACACACACACCTTTGACCTTTGACGCCCATCGCCAGAGGCGATGATAGCAATGCTACGGCAGAAGCCATAGCAACTTGTGCTGGGATTACACCATTCAACAGCTTGCAAGGCTGAAGAATTGACCGTCACTATTCAGCCTGGTCTACACCATACAGCTATTTGGAGTGACATTTTCTGGCCAGTGAATCCCTATTTTTGGTCTTTTTCATTTTTTTTTTCCCCCCGCACACACATCACACCACATACTCCGGCATGCACTGGCTGTTGGTAACCACCCAGGAGAATGAAAGAAAAGTCAGGAAGAGTCTGAGAAAGAGAAGAAAGACGTGTGTGGCATAATCGTCGGGAATCGAACCCGCAATCTATCGATTGGAAATCGCTGCACATACCACTGCACCATATGCACACACACACACACACACACACACACACACACACACACACACACACACACACACACACACACACACACACACACACATACACACACAAACACACACGCGAGCGTGTGTACATGCATGTACACACACACATACACACACACACACACACACACACACGAAAGCAAAAATGACTTGTCTTCTGAAGTTGCGCGCAGCACGGAGAACAAGAGCATGGCTTGGACAACACTCGTGCGAGCATTGTGTCAAGTCTGAGCTGAGCCTATCACCAAAGATTGCTCTGGAACTTGGAAGAGTGGTAATGCACCATGCTGTAGGAAGTGTGTACAACACACAGCATTTCAAAGGCACATTTCCCACACTCTTTTTGAGCACGAGATCCACTAGTGCTGGCTTCTACAAGTGACATTGGTCTACTGGTGGCTTCAGATAGCAGCCAGCATGCCAGGAGATACACTGGCATTGCTAAGTGTGCAACAGTTGTGGCCAGCAGTGTAAAGCCAAGGTGGGTGCCAACCAAGCCGCATAGCCTTGCCAATGGCATTGGCTTTGAGAGGAAAGACCCTAGCTGGCTGCCCAATCCCCACAGTACCCACTTCAAAACTTACCTTCCTCAGATCCTTACTGAGCGCTGCTGGGAGTGTGGTAAACATTACTCGACGAACAGCGACTCTACAAGTACCCATAACAACAGCAGCAGCACAAGCAGAGTTAGAGGAAGAGGTACAAGTAGAGATACAGAGAGAGAGAGAGATACAGGGAGAGAGAGAGAGATACAGAGAGAGAGAGAGAGAGAGCTCTGCTTGGGCAAGCTAGCACAACAGGCCTGCTTTACAGCAGAAGCCGTTCCAGTTTGTTATAGAATGATCGCACTACCATAAACAATAGGTGAATAGGTGACATTATCTGTGTTCTGCTACATGTACTGCACTATGCAGCATTCATTCATTCATTCATTCATTCATTCATTCATTCATTTCTTGCTCGCCTCTTCTTGTCTACTCTTCAAGTCATCTCTTGCCCATGCAGACACTGATCTGCAGTTTCTCCACACACAGTGCCAGTTTTAGTTCGCGATTTGCCAGCAGCACAGACCAATTTGCACCTGGAAATGTTTGCGATTAGAGTCCATTTCATTAGTTTTTGTCGTACAGTTCTACATTTCGTGCCGGTTTACTTTTGCGATTCCACGCACATCGCGAAAGCAGCACAGGATTCAAGATCGCGAAGGTTTCCCTGATTATTAGTAGGAGTTATAGCTTGCAAGTCATCAAGCAGTGCTAGAATTTAGCCCCGGTCTAATTTCAATAAAAATATGATTTTTTATCTCCACCATCCATGTGGTCAAGGGGTTCTTCGCTACTACAGTCGTGGACATGGAAATCTGGTCGATTGACCAGGGCCGGCGCCCTCAGCGCGTACAGAACCCTCGTTGCATGCAGTGCACATGTTGATCCGATGCGACCAGCGCGCATGTCCATGGTGTACTGCTTAACCCACCACGGCTGCATGACCAGCGCCCTGGGGCCGCTAGACGTGCAACCGGATTTCCATGTCCACAACAGTACGACAACCGTTTTATTGAAGTAAAATATTAATTCTTGTTATCATCTTACTTTTCCCTCTTTGCTGGTGGCGCTGACGTCTGCAGACAGAACAGGGGAAGGAACACAAACACAGAATGGTACTTCAGTAGGTGCATACTACAAATTGAGAATTTTCAAGCCAAATCAGTCCAGGCCCAAAGTCACACATGCATGAAGTGTCCATTGGATTTGCACTGCATACTACATGCAGTACTGAGTACTTGCAATAAAAGCTTTGCAGGTTGAACCCCCCCCCCCCCCTCTCCGGCATAGATTTGACAATGTCAAACTTCACATTTCACAGTCTTTGCCATTATAGAAATCAGATCACATAATTCGGGTGTCTTGTGTTGATCCGCATTTGGACAGGTGTCCACCACATATCGCACATAATTCGGGTGTCTTGTGTTGATCCGCATTTGGACAGGTGTCCACCACATATCGATTTCCTCAGATATAGTTTACGGTGGAAGGTTTGCCAACTACGAGTATTCTCCTTTCACACCCAATCTCCCACCACACACACACACACACACACACTCACGCCACACACACACACTAACCTGGGTCTCGGGTGATGACATGACAGTCCTTACAACGTTCACCTGTAAAAGCAGCAGAACACAAAACACGTGCGAGCACCCACCCACAACCACAACCGCACATACAGCCACAACCGCACATACAGCCCCCCAGCCATAGACGGGTGCGCGGGCACGCCCCACACATGCACACGCACAGAACGTAGCCATTACAAGGTGCATCCGTGTGAGACTGTCACCCAATAATGTATGCTGCAGCTGCAGTCAGGAAATTCATACCATCTACAGAATGACAGAAAGTAGCCAGTACCACAGTAGACCATGATATTATGATGACTGTCCATACTTTGCAGTAGGGCTTCTCTCTTGTGACTGATCACCTGTCTTTGTGTGGAACATAAACTCAAAGAGTACATCGCCTTTGCTTACCTTGACTTCCTTGGGTTTCGGTATCCAGGCAGCTGTGCGAATGTTAACACAAATGGCACACGCGCATGGCCGTGTAGGCAAAAAATGGCACATGCACGTACGCGCGCACACACACACACACGCACGCACGCACACACACACACACACGCACCAACGCACAGATAATTATAAAACAAGGAGCCGCTGAACCTACAATGGCTACACCAGAAGGAACCGAGTACTTTTCTCAGCCAAAAAAGCGATGTCAGCAGAGTGCAGTAATCCGTGCTATCGGTATCATAAAAAACGGGCTCTACAGTACAGATAGGAGGTAGGACGGCAGTTCAATGCACCACAAGCACAGCTGACATACCTAACAAAGGACGTGCCCACTGCTGGCTGACGTTCAGCTCATCCTCACGACCAAACTCTTTGTACTGGGGTAAAGTGACATCCGGAATTGTATTGTCTACACACAGCAACAAGCAGTGCATGGCATGGTGGTCGACGCAAGCACGGGCGTGACACACACACACACGCACACATGCAAACACACGAGAAACCATGCCGTAATGAAAACAGGTGAACAAAGGAAACAACTATATTGCAGGCGCTCTGAGACTGACATTTCCCTAAATATTAAATTCATGCAAACTAAATTATACCACTGGCATGTCTCCACGACATTGGTGCCAGCCATTTTTTTCTGTGATTCTGTGATTTTCTATGATTCTGTGAAATGAGTTGTGACTTTTGCAGTGCCCAGGGAAAGAGCATGTGTGCTCACCACTTCTCTTTTAGTCATTTTGCAAGTGGAAACGGCGTCCGCCTATCCGTGTAATCGGTGTTGGACACGCATCTCCTGCACCTATGGCTCTTCGGTCACCGATTCTGCGGACGGGGGCCTCCTTCCCGCGAATGTGGTGACCAGTGGTGACTCTCATGAAATCGGTGCCCCACATATTTCCTGTACTTATGGAGCTTTGGTCCCGGATTTTGCGGATGCATGCCGGCGGGGATCTAATCGCAAAGTCGGCATCCTGTATCTATAGGCTTAGGTTACCGAAAGTGGCACCCTCGTGAAAACTGTGGAATCGCAAAAAAAAAAAGGAAACGGCCTCTCTTTCGAGAATTGGGAGGCCTGTCGTCAGTTGTTCTTTCGGTGTTGTTTCAAAGCGTCCTGAAGATGTCTTCTCACGGTGGTCATCCGATGTGTTATGGCGAAGTTTTGCAGGCTTTGCAAACGCCACCCTCATTTCCTAGGGGCAAGAGCAGGTGTTATGCCAATGATCAAGGCCCATGGCAGTAGATCGCAGACGACGACCAACGAAAGGAGATGTTGCATGCATGCCACTTGTATGGACATGTCTGCACACCTTGGCCATTAGAAGACGAAAAAACTACTAGTCGTCTAGGTCAGGTCTGGGCAGTGTGCCCATAATACATGGATTTTACTACGCAGGACACACCTACAAGCCGTGATGTGCCGCACATCCAAATCCATCACAGCGTGAGATTTCACTAGGTCATGTCGTCGAGGAAGCTTCCCGACAAGCAAGTAAAGCTGTGCGACAGTATGGGTCCGAGTCTTCTTCTTCCCCATCTGCAAAAACAAGTAGCCTGCATCTACGGTGAGCCGTGCTGGAGAGCGATATGCATACAGAAAGCTGTGTGCAGCAGTGAGAAACCTTAACTTCCAAGATCTGCACAACACCATGCTACGGCTACTGTAGTAGGAACTCTAGCCATGATGTGGTAAGTTTGTTGTGCGGTTTCGTATTTCTCATACATTCACCTCTACATGTATGTCACAGGACCGGAGCAACCAGATTTTGATTAGTCCGTAACCAACAGTGTAGCGTCAACATGGCTCCGCCCAATGCGGTCTGCTTGCAATAGTCTTCACCGGTGAGCAGTCGGTTGGAAAAGATCCATCCACGATATGCTACAATCAGAAGAAGATGTGTGGCCATTTATTGTCTTGCATTGAAACTGATTGTCGGACTCCATTCCCAAGACGTCAGCATACGGGGCGTACAGATCACCGGTTCAAGAACTCTAATGATGAGCACAGAGCTTTGTGTATGTGGAATGCCTCTTTAATACGTTAGATTCTCTCATCCGCTGTATGGATTGCTTTAGTGCCCTTGCTGTACACGACGTGGTCATTGCTGTTACCGACATGAACAGAGAGCGTCCAGTATAATTATGGTGAACACCTAGTGCATGAGGTGTATACGAAAACAGTGAATAGGGCTTCGAAGTGCGACGTCAGGTTGTTGATAACTTCGCAGCAACTGGGTATAAAAACCATGAGTAGCTGGCAGATTACTGCTAAAAACCAATGCTGAGCAAAGGGACCCTAGGTTTGTTCGTACCCAGAACTTTCGTTGGCATGTGTTGCCAGGTGTGTGCGTGTGACGTCATCACTCCGAAGCCCTATCGCTGGTACTGCAGGCCTTCTTGGTAGAACTGGCGCTCGTCTTCTTTGGCTGAAGCTAAAGAAGGACACCCCTCGCACTCCACATGAGAGTTGGACATACAAGATCATGTCAATCTGGGTGTTCACGCCAATCCCGGTGTTTATCCCACTCTTCTGTTTTTGTTTCAGTGCAAAGCAAACATTCTCTCCACGTTCTCCACGGATTCAACAATGTTTCCGGGATCTCAAGGATAGCGCCACGGACAGTTCATATGCAAAGAGACAACTACAACACCTGCACATGTGTTATGCTTGAAACCGCTACTCCAGCAGCAAGCACAATCCCCCCCCCCCCCCATAGTATTATCAGTACAATGTATTACGAGGGTCTCGTGTTTGAGTCCTGGTGGTGGCAGTCAATGTTTCTTCAGACTTTTCCTGTTTTCAACTCCCTATAACTTATGAGTACATGTACAACAGTACAAGTATTTGGTAAAAATTCCGTTCATGCCCAACCCACTCCTACTTGTTTAAACAGACACTTCCAAGGTCCAACAATGCTGTAACATAGGCTCACACACACACATTGACGGTTTTGGATGAATTCAGCATAGTGGGTGTAATTTAAAAAAAGATGGAGTGGTTTATATCAACAGCTCGCTCATTGAGCCAGTGCACGGCACTATCATATTAAATACTAGCGTGCACTTGGATAAGGTGTAAGCCCGGCACTCTCACGTACGGCTAAGTCTGACACAACTCACGCATTACTAAGTCGGACATCCATCTGCCGTTGACGACGGGAATTCCCCACTCAAGAGCGCGCTTGTATTTCATGCCTTCAGGCCTGTAAGGGACACATAAGAAGTGTGTTACCGTGGTTACTTCACGCACCCTTGGGCCAAACTTGGATACATAAATAGCACATAGGGCATGAACCTTGTGGCAGCATTAATGCATACCCAACACAGGACTCAAACACATGCATGCAAGCACACCCACACGTGAACACACCCACACGTGCACATGCACCCACAACGCAACCCCCCCCCCCCCCCACACACACTCCTATATCCAGCACATACATGTAGACTACACACATTCCCATCAAGACCAACCACAGTATACTATACAGACGCTAAACATCACCACCAAGTCTGCATCAGGGCACAACCTGAGCAGCCACCTTACTTCTTGCAGATGAGGTGTGTGTTCCTGCGACACAGCGTATTTGTAAACTCGGCTCCAGACATCTGTACCATGTCACGTACAGAGTGCCGCTGAGATCCGACATACCCTGACAGGGAAATGACCTGTTTGCAGACAACACACACACACGCACACACACGCGCACACACACACACACACGCACACACGCACACACACACACACACACCACTACCACCACCATCACAACAGACACAACCAAGCCGAAGCAGCAGGACCATGAGATGGTGCACCGGATAAAGCAAGGTTGTAACTAGTTAGGTACATTGTTTCTAGATATGACAGGCTGAACAAGTAGATCTGAGGCGTGCGGATTTTGTTGATATTGGGTCACAACTCACTAGTTCCAACAAGGGAATAATCCCCCCCCCCCCCCCCCCCCCCCGCTTATCACTGCCAGAATTGACTAAAATAAAGGTTGAGTTACGTGCCGGTGGCAATGCGCAAGTCACAAGGGGAAGCCAAAGATGCAGTGTGCAGTGTGGTAAGGCAAATTTCTTTCTTCTGTTCCCTACAAAGGTCATGTCAGCCGGCTGCGCAATTTCTTACCATGCTTGGACAGCCGGCAACACAGTCGTGGAAAACTGTTGGGAAATGCACGACGAGCATTGGTGTGAACATCTTCCCGCACTCCAGGACGTCATTGAGCCAGTGTGCAGCAACAATCTTCTTTCCGTCTTTCAGCGCCTGAGTGAACACAAACACAAAATATGTGAATAGTCGAACCTTGCTCGATCGCACACGCATGCCCTTCATGAATACATCTGAATGGGTGATGGAACAGAAAACGAACAAGACGGGAGTATTGAGTGTAAATTTTAGACGTGCTTGAACAGATGTTCACCGCAAATATTAAAGGTCCATTCACAATACCACTTCTTGCAACGCAACAAACAATTTGTGACACCCGCGGCGAGGCAGCGACCGCGGCACACGGTTTATTATCTTTTTTGTTTTTGCGACATCCCTATGTACTAGTAGTGCACTGCACGCGTACCCAGAGCAGAAACTGCACTCCATTTATGTACGCCGCGGGCTGCACGTCGCAAAAGTAAACTTTGGTAAACTTCTGCGACAATGGCCTTGCGACTGCTACCAACAGTACGTGACAGGAATTTCCTTGTCGCAAGGGCCGTATGTCGCAAGTTGGGTCACAGAAATTGATAGTGTGAATGGGCCTTTAGATTGGCCTAGCCCCCTGGGTACTCAACTCTTGAGAACGTCTCAGTTGCGACAAGATTCCGATTTTGTCAAGTTTCGCCCCATTTTCTGTGTACCAAACTTCACACGACACAATGTAGACCACTGCACCTGCTCATAAATCGGTCCAGCCTGATACATGGCCAGGACGTGTGTGCACTGCTGAGAGTACTCATCCAGGACAATACCACCACTGTCCATGACTACCTGCACGCAGAACATAGCACACACAGGAGCAACGTAAAACAACAACAACACAGACACACAAACACACACATGTGCACAAACACAAACACGGAGCCATATGCATGCATGCATACTTATGCACTCTCGACAATGCCAATGTTCATAAGCTGAGTGTGCTGTGGGTGTGCTCCCGGAATTCACCCTGAAACATACTAGTACTAGTAGCATCAAGAGTACATAACCGCCATAGGGATATGTACTCTTAATAGCACCCATGCATAGCAACTTCAAGCAAGTATCCTACCCGCTTCCACTGATCCAAGGTCGCCGCATCCATGTTCTGCTGGTAATCCGTGAAGATGAGGAAGGCACCTTTGAGCACATCTTTAGAAGCAGCAGCAGCAGCAGAAACAGCACCACACACACACACACACACACACACACACACACACACACACACACACACACACACACACACACACACACGGAGTCAGGAGCAGCAAAAAAAAGCCAACCGCGTAAGCACCATTACATTGTATTATCGTACAGGTGCGGCAAACCTTGAGCTGAGCGACCACTCTAAAAGAGTTGACCTGTTTTCAGAGACGGGTAGTCTCAGGAATCAGACTGCTTCAACGTTATCATAAAGTCATGCATAACTACTTGTACTTGGCTTGAACAGCAGACGGAAATTTAAAGTCTGCACAGACACAGAAGCACGACTCGTGAAAGTCAGGCTTCTATACAGAATATACAGTAAAACCTGGTTTAAGCGACCACCTCACGGTGCAAGCAAAAGCGGTCGTTAAAGCCAGGCGGTCTTTAGAACTGTGCGTGCATGGAAACACGGTCGTTAAGAGCAGGTGGTCGTTAAACCCAGGAATCGCTTACACCAGGTTTTACTGTACACGTCGAGAGTGCGGGTTCGCAAGCTCGTTGGCTCACAAGATGTGCAGCGATTACGTCCAGCTAGCACCCAGGTGTGCGCATGCCCACGTGACAAGTTCACTGCAGGCCGTGCACACAGAAGCTGCGCTTCAAACTCAGGTGTGGACGAGAGACAAATTCTCAGCTCTGCACAGCTAATACTGGGCGACAGCGATCGATCAGGTGGTAAGGCAGAATCACTGTCGTGTACGTGTAGCCAGTAGGTGAACAGTAGCAGTAGTACCTCGAAGTACATGAGTGACAGGGTTCGCAGCCAACCAAGCACACCAAATTCCAAACTTTTTCCAAACCTTCTCCAAATCATTTTTAAGAATTTCCAAACCTAATCGTGCAGGAAAAATAAATTTTAAATCTCTTCTGAACGACAGCACAATGTTGTAAACTTTGGGATTCGTTGTGGTGCCTCACATGCTCGCAAAAAACCCAAGCACAGCATTTAGTTTACGGAGGAAGTAGTTTTCTATGCACGATGGGTTGGTCGTGAAGCACAGGTCTGACTGCGTAAGTGCAGTGATGCAACTACTGCATAAACACACACTGCATTGGCCATCACAACAACTTTCAGCACGAACAATGTCACCAGTACTTGCACAGCACTGAAGTAAAATCCGCACGGCCAAGTTACCACTCAATAGCTAAACAATTTTGTTACGAAACAAAACCTCGTGCGACACTTTCGGTGCGTGTACAACACTGTACTTTTTAAATCACTGAACATGTCAAGACACTTTGTGAGCAGAAACTGAAGATCACAAGAAATACATAATAATAATAACAGATCCACTGCAAGTACCTTTTGCGATGGCTTTGGTAGCTGCTGATTCCGGAGTCTGGACCGTAGTCTTGGCTGGCGGTGCTACTTCTGCCCCTCTCACTGAACCAGATGGGGTAACGGACTGTTTAGAGGCTGAGACAGCTGCCTGCGACTGCGTTGGCTTGGGGTTAACGGTGCTGCTGCTGCCATCTTTACTGCTGTCGTGGGCTGCAGCAATCATAGTTGTTGGACTGACAAGCTTTGTAGGTGTGACGTCGACGGTAGTGGACGATAGGTGACGAGTATGCCGAGCATTGGACACCCTCTCATCTTGCTTGCTAATGGATAGGGCAAACCGTGGGTCCAGGAATGGTGGACTGTTTGACTGGCTGATGCCACCGCCGCTATTGTCAATCGACACAGCACCAGCAGCTAACATAGGATCGGGTGGCTGCAGCTGGTGCTGCATCATCGGAGATGGTGTTCTTGACACATACGCCGGGTTGTAGTTCCCTGCTTGTGCAGGCTCTACAGGTGTCGAGGAGAGCGGGGCAGAGATGCACACCTCTGGCTTCACAATCACACTGGATGCCGCGCTGCCATCGCTCAAAGCCGACGGATCAATCGTGTCATCCATGTCAGCTGATGCGGCACCATCTGCCAATCCCTGGCTAACAGTAGGACCAGCGGCAAGCCGATAGTCATCCAGTGGTAAGAGCTTCCCTTCCTGGATGCTGTCCAGTACCCAGTCGGGCGTGATGACTGCTATTTGGCCGTAACGCTTACAGGCGTGAATGAACTTGGCCTGGCCAGGTGTCGGGAAAAGGCAAAACAGAACAGAATGAAGACGAATCAGATGAACAGCAGGGCCATTACAAGAAAGGGCAATCATAGTCAATAGATGACTTGCACAAAGATCCGAGCCGCGAGTGAGACGGGGCAAGTGCACCCTGGGCCTGTGGCCTGTGCACCCAGGCTACACTGCGGGCACCCTACAGTACACCATGGTACACCGTCTGTAGTGTACTTTTTTTGTCAGCATGAATGAACGGTGCACGGCATGTACATGATGTACATGTACATGATCAGTACCGTCACTGTCTTCACGACTTCAGCAGCTCACGAGTCATGTGCACTTGTAGGGTTAGTGGAAGTTCATGACTGTATATTATTATGTGAAGAGAAGCCAGGCGTCCAAACCAACCCAAAATACTCTTGCCATATTTTTCGGTGAAATAGTTATAAAAAAATTGTCTTACTAAACAACAGTGAGCATAGAAGCAACCTCGATGCACCCAATAATATGGCATCCGGGAACAGCAAGTGTTGCACGAGGATCCCAAGAACACGTCAAGTTCCATGCTACCCGCCGCCATCAAAAGAACGAAGGATAACTGTGCTAGCCTAGTTCATATTCAATGTAACGCTATCGGTACGGGATATAGGAGCCTGTTGGGAAGGCGTGGGTGAGCTGTTAAAATCTTGTACGGTTCGCACAGCACAACATACATGCAGCAGTTATTGCGACGGTTAACGTCGATGGACGAGAGTCATAAAGCACAGTCCATGGGGGTTGACGTTTCTGGGCTTCCTTTCCGAAAGGAAATTTTTATTTCTTCTCTAATAAAGCAGAATCATGCTGATTATACCAGTCTGTTATGAAGACAAGAAAGCAGCCATGGACATTGTGCCACACTAAAGGAACGACAGGTAAAAGATGAAGCACTTCATCTGAAAACTCAAGGACTATCCATAAATACAGCAAATGATAATCCTAGCCTGGTAATGTCCAACTCCGTCATGTGAGCCATTCGGTGGGAAGCATAATGTTCGAAATGCTGAAATTTGAACAGTTGCAGGTGTGCTCGTCGCCACACAATGCCATCGCCAGTTCACATTCGAAATGTAGCCATTTTTACGCTTGTGTCCCTGTACACGGCATGGAAGGCTGAACAGATTCAACTCTTCCATCGCTTCCTGATCTGTACAGTAGTGCGGTCGCGTTCCCGTTCCCGACACTCACATCCGTCTCCGCTAACCAGCATCATGAGCACTCCAATGGTTCCCGCCGCTCCTTCCGTATCATCCCAGCGCGCCCCGTCAAGATGTGAATTACTGTAGGCAACGGAGCCAGTGTATGATGAAGGCGAATGCACTGTTTGATGATGCTCCAACAAATCCTTTCACCGTTGTATGGAATTTGTAAGAAGAGTAGTGGCTCAACTGTAGGTCCAACGCAGAAGGTACCTCACAGCGCAGTTATGTTACGTCCACAATAATGAACATACTCAGCAGACTGTGATGTGTATCAGACACACTCTGGCATTATTCGTTCCACATTCTCCCAGGAGGAGATGAAATGTAGTTCAATCATGTCTTCAGTACATGGGGTACCGTTGCCTCGTTGCAACTAAACAGGTATGCAAGTTACTTTCCCATGAGACCCAGCCGGAGCAGCATCGTCGTCATTACCAGCTAATCATGAAGAGGTATAATGTGACTTTCCACCACTCCCTGATTCAATCATAGTTTGCGAGCCTGCGCCAAACTGCTTTCTCACTAGAGCCAGGCATCGGATACATATGGCTTCAGTAAGGTTTACAATGCTATGTCTCTGGCCTAGATCCAAGCCTAGATACAGCTGCTCAGAGTAAGGGCTGATGAAATGTTCATATCGGAACAAGTGAGACTTCAACAGTAGCTAGTACACATCAGGCCTGAGGACTTCGCAGCGTTTCTCCAGCACACTTGTTCTCTCCCTCAACTCAGATACTACTTGAAGTACTACTAAAGGCCATCTGGCTCTCATACTCAGTCCTTCCACCCTTCATTTTCGTGGTTTAGGCTTCCACTCGTCACTCGGCAGGTTCCTGGCCTCTCCGCAGTCTGTCCTCAGGAGAGGGTCGCTCTGGAGCTAGTGCAGCCGATTGAAAGGGAATCGAGTTCTTTCTCAGACGTCCACAAACTTTCGTTGTGCTTGACTTCGCTTCCACTGCGGGAAAGTAGTCACACTTCAGGACCACGACGTGCTTGTTGCAGCCTACACCAATGATACTAAAATAAATATTCCCTCATTTTTCTGCCTCCCGCCCGGCCGGCTCGGAAAGGAACGTATGGAATGGGAGCCTCAGTTCCATCTCTCGTCTGCTAGTTCATTCAGGAGCGCAGCAGCGCTTCGGCATGACGATACAAGTCGAATCAAAACAACTCTACTCTCTAGCCAAAAAAACTAGCTCAGTGTTCGTCAGGCAAAAAGCGAAACTTCGAAAGTCACGAACTCAAAAGGTGGGGAAGTCAGAGTCAGAAGGTCCACTTGCCCCGTCTCGAACCCAGACAATCTTTGTGCAAGTCATCTATTCGGAGTGCAGGACATGGAGGTGCTGAGACACTTTGTTCCACTAAACTCGATATGGTATGGACGGTGCTCGTTTCCTCTTCCTCAACTCCACATACAGGTTGCAAATACAAAGAGAGGCCACTTACAAAAAGACACCAGTTTTAAAACCAATACTTTGTTTTTAGTGAGAGTCGTGGGGAAAGAGCAAGCTTGCTCTAGACCACTTTCCACTATATTCTCTCTACTTTTAGAATGTACTTGTAACAAGGTGCCTAGTAGTCTAAGTCAATACTGATGCTGGGTAGCTGCTAGGGACTTACACCGGTGGGTTCAGGGATAAGCAAGTGTGTACAGGCACTGTCCAGCTGGAGTTTCATACGGCCGCCATGATACGTCAGCATTCCCCACAGATGCAGGCGGTCCTGCCTAGACATCTGAACAAACAAAACAACAAGTCAGTCGTGCAATTTTGGATCAACTTTGGTGCAATTTGCCAAGGTACAGCAGCACTTAATCAAAGTGGTGCATGCCAGAAAGAACAAGGATCATGGCATGGTTTGGTTTTTCAAGGCTTTAGAATCTGACGGAAGTGTAAAGTCTGATGTAATGAATATCCTGTCTCTAAGAAATCACCTATCATAATTCAATGGTAATGCTGTTTTCTCCAGAAACTTGCGATTCTGCAACTGCATTGCTCTCCAGGATTTCAACGGAAATTCATGCTATCAAAGATAGTGAGTGGGCGGAAAAAAAAAATGCCAACCCAACGATAGTTCACACTCTTTCGGTCGAAAACTTGACAGTTGAGCAGCTGTCATGTTCTGCGAATATCAATTTAATTTTTTATCTTTCTTGCCGATCGTGCAGTCAACATCTCGTGCTATTGCACTGGCTTCACTTACCTAGCGATCGCTAGTTTACTTTTCCGCAATTTGACTGTAGGTTTACCAGCAATTAATGCTGCTTTATTTAGCATTTCCCCATAATAGTTGTACTTGGTCCGGCTCATCGCAATTGTCGCTTATCTTTCGCCACTAAGAACAGGAGTTTTTTTACCGCTCTGTGAAATTTCCAACAGGCATAGTGAGGAAGCATGATACATGAATACTCTCCGCCACAAGAAAAAAATGTCAGCAATGGAATCAGGTGAAGCGAGTCGAAGAAAGGAAGCAAGGTAAGCAAAATGCACGAAATAAATCAGCGAAGGAGCGCGTTCTTGCACTCACACTAGTAATACATGTCCAGAGTTCACTCAACTGCATCTCTCGAGCTGCGCCGTTACATGACTCGTCATGAGCTGACATTTGCTGGTGTCTAGCTGCTGGCGTAGACTAGTAGAGTATCTCTTGCGTTCTCAGCCTGTCGTATGGCAGCAATGGGAAGTAGACAATCATAGAGTTCTGGCAGGACTTTATGGCTGAATCAAGGCCGAGTGCATACGGCCAAGGGCGCAGGCCAAGGCGCGTAGCGCCGAGGCCTGCGCCCGCGGCCGTGCGCACGAGGCCTTGATGAAGGCGGAAAGTCCTGCCAGAACTCTATGATCGTGTTTCAGGTTTCCACTTACATCCTTTGAGCCGCGTAGACGGTATAACTATAAGCGCGATACCACATAGCCGGGTGGAGGTTGGGGACGTGGTGGCTAGACCTGTTGCCTTTTTTCTTTGCTCAATGCTCAAGTCAAGAACAAGTAGGTTGGTCGGGGACGTGGTGGCTACACTATCACTCCTTTGCTGACACGCGATGATCTTATCAATTTTCGCTTACATCAGTACATGAAGGCCTCGTGCGTAGATCTACTGTGCTACGCGCCTTGGCCAGCGCCCGGGCCTTGGGCCTGCCTGGCCGTACGCTCATCGGAGTCATGGTCATGTTTTCACTGGCATTCTTTGAAACTGTATATAAGCGCGATACCACCTAGGGGTGGAGGTCGGGGACGTGGTGGCTGGATCTATCGCTTTTTAGAAGAAGTAGTTGCAGAATTGCCAAAGCTCATGCGTACGGCCGCGGGCGCAGGCCTCGGCGCTACGCGCCTTGGCCTGCGCCCTTGGCCTTGATTCATGGTCAGGTTTCACTTGCGAACTGTATATAAGCGCGACACCACCTAGGGGTGGAGGTCGGGGACGTGGTGGACGGATCTCTTGCCATTTTTTCCAATTATTTACTCCTCAGGTTAAGTCGTCCTTTGATGCTCGTACTCGTAGACTGTATATAAGCGCGATACCACCTAGGGGTGGAGGTCGGGGAAGTGGTGGCAAGAACTCTTGCCATTTTTCCCTTGGCCTTGAAGAAGATCTCTTGCCATTTTTTCCAATTATTTACTCCTCAGGTTAAGTCGTCCTTTGATGCTCGTACTCGTAGACTGTATGTAAGCGCGATACCACCTAGGGGTGGAGGTCGGGGAAGTGGTGGCAAGAACTCTTGCCATTTTTCCCTTGGCCTTGAAGAAGAAGAATGTTTTGAATTGTTTTCAGGTTGTAGCTGTTTAGTTTTGTCACTCCTTTACTGACACGCGTACAAACCTGTTGTCAACATCGCCATTAGCTTGTAGAATACTGGATTGCTTACTACATGTAGCCACCTTTGCTACCTTACATCATAGTACTTGTATTGGAAAGGCTTCCTGTCTGAAGCCTTTCCATACTGGTACTCGATGTTCCAGTTTTGTGACACGAGAATGGCACGAGAATTAGTGTACCGCTGAGTGTACCGCTATACACGTGGTCGACACGTAGTCGACACTTTGTTGATACTTTTTTGACACGTGACCCCGTCAACGGTCTGCTTTGTGCCAATGCCACTCAGTAAACGCCGATGTCGCGCACGACAAAGACGACTATCCCGTACGCGAAATAGTTGAGAACTGCATGACGTGGACCTGACGGCAAGGACAACTGCGAGGAGGCCCCTTTCGGTACCCCTGACGGGAAGGAGAACTGCAGAAGTCGACGAAGTCGAACGAGGAGGCCCCTTTTCCGTACCCCATACTGCAAAGTGCCATTGATGGATACCTTTCGCACCTGGAACGACCCCTTAAACGCTGTCGCGGCGACTATCCCGTACGCGAAATAGTTGAGAACTGCTGACGTGGACCTTTTGCACCTGGAACGGCCCCGTAAACGCTGTCGTGTCGGCGGGGTGAATGTACAGGGTACTAGGGTGAAAAGAATTGCTGCAAAGACGTCCCCTCTACTAGGCTCTAGGCCTTTGCCTTTGGAGACATCGTCGGCGAACTGAATGCGCAGGGCGAAAATAATTGCTGCAAAGACGTCCGCTCTAGGCCTTTGGAGGCATCGTGGGAACTCCTTCCGGTACTGTACAAACTGCTGACGTGGCCGTGGACATGTACATGGAGAGTCATGGTGGGACTTCATGTACATGGATACATGGTGGGAATTCCTTCCGGCACCCCCGTACCGCAAAGCCAACGGTGGGGAAGGAGAAGTGCAGACGTGCAGGAAGACGAACGAGGAGGAACCAGGACGAGCGAGCAATGGCAGGACTAACTGGACCGTAAGTAATAGCTGAATTGTGCATGACAACTTGACATCCATGCGGCACTCGCCACTGCATATTTCTTGTCCACTAACAATGTCTCTCCTCTGCCCCCTGTGTGTCCACGGCCCTGTTTCTGAATTGGCCCGATGAATCGAATGTCTTCCGCAACTGGAACGGCCCCGTGAACGCTGTCGCGTCGGCGACTGAATGCGCAGGAGGGAAAATATTGCTGCGAAGACGTCTCCTCTAGACGACGGTAAGGCACCCGATTGATATGTTGCCAGTGTGTGCCAGGGTATCGCGCGATGGTGCATGAGGAATGATGAAGGGTACGGTGGGACTGTAGACCTGTTACCTTCTACTAACACGTTATCAGGTGGAGAGTGTCTTGTACTCACGTTATCAGGTCGAGAGCGTATTGTAGTCACTCTCTCTATTCCTGTACTTCATTACGTTTAAGGTGTACGTATAACTTCTCAAAAAAATGTAATGGTCTACAGTCGTGTCGGAAGGGTACGGTGGGACTGTAGACATGTTACCTTCTAACACGTTATCAGGTGGAGAGTGTCTTGTACTCACGTTATCACTATTATCAGGTCGAGAGCGTATTGTAGTCACTCTCTCTATTCCTGTACTTCATTACGTTTCAGGTGTACGTATAACTTTTCCAAAAAAAATTTAATGGTTCACGTCTTCAGATAGAGAGCGTATTGCACCCACTGTCTAGTCTCTGTAGTGCATTGAGATTTTGTTGATCGAACATGAAATGGATACACAGACAAAGCCAGACAAAGTACATGGCGAGATGTCGCCAGAAGAACGTCTTCAGGTAGAGAGCGTATTGCACCCACTGTCTAGTCGATTTTGTGGATCGCACATGAAATGGATACCCAGACAAAGCAGGCCAAGTACATGAGAGAGTGGACGATGTGCAGATCGACACGGCCTGCGGGTACTTCATTAAAGTTACCCGTGACATAACTAGGATAAAAGTTAATCACTGCAAAAACATTGCCAAGTATGTGAGCACTTTGGACTTGACAGAAGAGTGCACGGGCGACGTTGACAAAACATACCGCGGTGACTGTCACTATCATGACAGCAGGGCACATCGCACGCAGCATCGCAGATCGTGTCGAATTGCGCATCATAATAATTATTGCAAAATTGCTCCTGTGCATGCAAGTGGATTTCATTGCACTTCTCAGTTTGGGAAATGCTCGATTATGACAATTCTCCGTGTGAGTGCACTAGCCCTGAACAGACATGTAGGTGAACCGTTTGTGGTGTCTCATAGCCTACCTCACGACCTTCTGCTTTCTTTCTTCATCACTTGTATCTTGCAGGTATATCATCCCGTGACGACCACATTGAAGTCTGAATTTGAAGTGCGAAGATGCTTCAGCAACCACATCGTACTTTTCCATTGCTTTCATTGTGCTTCTACTGTGCATGTGTGTAACTTGTGGGGTAAACATGTGATGACATTGTATGCTGGCGACACGGTCAGATGTTCATGCGTCTAACGTACACATGCATGTTATGCATTGAAAAGGGTTTGCCACTTGCGATCCTGGGACGAGTATCAGGTCCGCTTTGTCCTGTGTGGGCTGTATCAGATTGCTGTTCACTTCTCTATCTGTTGGATATGTGACTTTCTGCAAGTTTCTGGTGTATGATGGCCACGTCCTTGCTTGTCACTTTGTATGATATTACATTCTGTATTCGCTGCTTCCATGGCATGGTCTGCAAACTGCAATCCTTGGGCAAATGTCATGTTTGCTATGTTGTGCTTTGGCCGTCAGCTTGTCTACACGCTGTAGTTGAATTATTTTTGTTTCACAACTGACTTCCTCAAGTACGGTGGCCACTGCTTTGCATGGCATTATACATGAAGAATTTCCTGTTTGTGTCGTGTGCATGTGCGTATGTGTGCGTGGCCACGTGTGTGTGCCGTGTGCATACACATGTTTGTGTATCTGTGTGCGGGGTAGCGAGGCGGGGAGGGCTGGTATGTATCAGTGTGTTATTGCAGTCGCATGGCTACATACAGTACATTGCGTGCGTGGTCATCATGTATTTGTTTACCTTCGGGGTTGGGGTGGGGAGGGAACGGAAAAAGAGCTGAAATTATCCATATAAAAATCGCTCTGTGAGCGGTTCTGAAAAACCTTTACTGGTACTGCCCCGTCGTAAAAGTAAGAAATCAGAACTGGCCCATTGTCCCCCCAAATGCGAACTGATCCACCTAAATCGCGAATGACGGGACCCGAACGCACCAGTAGCACGAGGTTCCTACCTGTGGATGCAGATGGGGACGTTGGTCCAGACCATAGGCCATGTACTGTACTAGCGGTAGGCTTCCCTATCAAAATAATAAATTCTACTACTAATACTGGTATACCCTATGATAATTGCCGTGATCCTGTGCCCTCCCGACCTCGTGCTACTGGTGCGTTCGGGTCCCGTCATTCGCGATTTAGGTGGATCAGTTCGCATTTGGGGGGACAATGGGCCAGTTCTGATTTCTTACTTTTACGACGGGGCAGTACCAGTAAAGGTTTTTCAGAACCGCTCACAGAGCGATTTTTATATGGATATATTTATTACATCAATGAACAGAACTGAGCATGAGGTCATGTCTACGGTACGGGCAAGGTCCTGAGATGAACTGAGATGGCAACGGAAAACTGACGCAGACCCCTGCACTGTAGAGCTAGGCTGACAGCGTGCGGGCCTTTATCGGCTCATCAAGGCCACCGCGGGAACGTCGCTCATTGGCTACAACCATGGAAACGGCACTGTAAAAACCTGAAAGGAACAGTTGTGGCTGTCACTTCGGTGCTTGAAGGAACTGTGGGCAGTGTGACCTGTGTGTCACTACAGTGTGTTTCAACAAAGCCTTCGAATAAGGCATACAGGCCCCTCCAGACAGGTGTCATACGCTCCGCTGGATACACTGGCCACAACTCTTGTAATGCGGCTGCTAGGTCCACCAAGAGAAGGAACAACCAACACGTCGGCCGGGCGCATCGCATCAAAAACACCTTTCTTCTTCAGCATGACGCTCATACTCCTCTGCCGTGCACGCGTGCCTGTCACGCTCTCCAGGCCAGGATGTCAGTTGCCCCTGCTACAGTTCCGGTCTTGGGGTCGCTGCGCTTGGCTTAGTTTTGGCAACACAGACAGTGAATGGCCAGATTCCCACTTCCCAAAAAAGTCGAATACAGTCGTCCCTCTCTAATCCGGCACTTGTTTATCCGGAACCCTTGCCAACCGGCGCACTTTCTGACGAAACCGATTTTTTTCGTTCAATTCCTACATCTTAATCCGGCACTTGAATTCCGCCTCCGGCAGTGACTTTTTGAAACGAATCGCTCAAACTGCACGTAGTTTGATTTCATAATCCGCCAGTCGTAAATCGCGTACCGTACAGGTGCACTCCTTGCCAGGCCAGGCTAGGCCAGTCTGGTCAATGTTGTCCAGGAGACAACGGCAGTCAACCATACTTTCTTATTTTAGCAAGGAGTAGTGTCCTGCTAATTTTCAGGTGTGTGTGTGTGTGCGTGTGTGTGCAAGAGTACATGTGAACATGTTCTCTGTTTTACTTTATCACTTTATTACTGTGTATATTCCCGGAGAACAATTGAGAATATAAAGCCGTGCACCAAATACTTGGGTCGACACGGAAAAACCCTGCGTTTTGACGTACATATGATACATGCATGAGTAGGGCTGGGTCAGAGGGCAGGATTTCTTAATCCAGCACCCTCGTTAATCCAGCAGAAAACGCCGTAGCAAAAGGTGCCGGATTAGAGAGGGACGACTGTACATCGCGATTCAAAGCGCTAGTCGCGATCATTTTTTCTTTGGTGCCTCCTTTGATCTTGCCATCACGACCTCCCAAGCAAAAGTAAGTTAGATATCGTGAGTGGACTGGGTTTTAAATGTCAAAAAGTGCGTGGGGATAAGCGACAATTGCGATGAGCCGGACCAAGTAATATTTCCCTGCAGGTTTCTAACGGGACAAAAAAAAGCAATGCACATACAAGTACACATACCTGCGACGGACAAGCCACAATCCCAGAAAAGAGCTGTGTCGTTGAGACCAAATATGGTGCACATCTTGGGAACATAACGGTCAAGGACAGCCACGGCACTATTGACAAAAGGTGAGTGAAATAACGGCTCGTGCTTCGCGGCAGCCATGCTTTTCTTGCCAAGACGCAATTACAGTCAGGCTGTTGCAGACTAAGACGACGGAATAAACAGGACACTGTTAGTGTGATGTCCATTGCCATAATCTCACCTAGCAGCACAACAAAGCAGTTTGCAATTGCCTTCCCCACCATATCTTACTTTAACAGCACTACCAGGTCCTTATCGCGGCCAAGTTGACCTACATGTACATGTAGAGGCGGCTGAAATTGTGCCGCCATCGGGGAGACTCGAATCCACGTGCACACATTGTCAGTGACTTATCACAAGTCAGTCAGCTATTACTTGATCAACTCGCTTCCCCGCGGTCACAGAATTACACCTAAGAATCCCAAACTATAGGGTCATAGGTGACATGGCATCGCCGACCCAAACACCTGTCCACAAACACACGTGCACACGGGAGCAAGACTAAGAGGATACGGGAGAAGAGTACTGCAAGCAGATGATGCCTTGACCCAATTCACCTGCACAGGATGAAAGAAAAAAGAAAGAAAGAAAGAAAGAAAGAAAGAAAGGAACTTGAGCGTCAGCTTGCAAAGGATTCTCTGACTCTACCGTAACTCCGCCATCACTTGAAAAGGACACTTTCCTCGTACCGCCCTTGGTGCCACCAACAACTATTCAGGAAAAAAATTATCTGAATCCAAATACCCGCCAAGGCGGGAATCATAAAGAAATGATGGTGACACCCAAGGGCGAAACGAATAAAACTACATGCACCCTACAAACACAAGACGACAGTGGCAATTAGTAGGGTTAAAGCCAGGGCTACAGTAGTGACACACTACACATACATATCGCACTATTCTCACGAAAGAATAACACAAGATACGAGGGCTCTTGACAAGGTTTTTTTACACTTCTTTATAAAGTTAAATGGAGAAATACCACACTGTACTGTACCACCACCGCTACACAAACAAGAAGTGAGCCACCAGTGCAGTGTCATCTCAGGCCAGGTGCTGAAAGAATAAAAGGGCTGAAGTAGCATGGCATTGCTGCTGGTCTGAATGTGTTTAGCGCTGCAGCAGATTTCATTGCGCTGCGCTTGTAGGGTACAAGTTCTTCTTCTATCAAGAGCACAGGTGGTTATACTCTTGGAGAACAAGTACCTCCCGAGTCACCAATGTATCACCTAAACAACTCTACCATCACAGTCTCCTGATCACACCATCAGCAAGTCACACACTTTGACTTTGGATTCTTCTACATGACTGTATTAATTTTTCCGGATAATCATGGTTTTTTTCAGCAAGTCACACACCTTGCACAAACACCACAGTGGAACTCGAACAGGATAGTACTAAAACCGACACAGCCCAAAAACGCATGTACATCGATTTTCCACGCTGCTAAAATTCAGCGCAATACAACAGTGACACTGTCAACCTAACATCCCAAGTATAGCACCACACCCAAGACCACCAACACCTCAGAACCCTCCACCCATTTCCCCTTGTATACTGGCTTGACCAACACCATCCCCATTTTGCCTGATGATAGCACAGAGCATGACGCTCTTAGAGTTGCAATACAATAGCCTTACTGCACTGTCATACTGTGTACTCTTGGTTATATTCATTTCACTGTTGAGGGTCACAAGATTCCCTGGCGTTCACGTGGGTGAAAGTCTAGACTCGGACGAGTAGCTGATTGTTGTTGGTGTGGTCACGGACGAAAGGAGAGTGCATAATCATCTTCTTTTTTCAGCAATGAGAAGAATGCGAAAGAAAAAAAGAAAGAAAAACAGGGCATAGCCAGCCGACTTACAGATACCACCGGAACATCCAAATCATCCAGCTCCAGCGAATCTGAAGGAGAGCTACCGATGACATGGGTGACCATATCGGTAAGGTGGAACTCACGCTTTGCACCACCATTTTTCAGCAACTGCTTCACCTGTACCAACATAATTATGAACAAAGCAATACACCTCAGGATATGTGCAGGTCATCACGCACATTGCAATACATGAGTGAGAAAGAAACCTTACACACCCGCACACATGCACGCACGCACACACACACACACACACACACACACACACACACACTCAGACACACACACACACACATGTGTGCATTCCCACTTTGCTAATTGGACAATGTGAAGGCGCAATATCTTTGGGAATCTGCCATCCCTGGTCAATGGGAGAACTAGAAGTTGAAAGTTGGGAGGATAAACAAGATGATTGTAGTAGCAGTGTAGTTCCATACATACAAACGAAAATCTGGTGGGACAAAAATAAATTAGGCATCATTTTTTATATCTATGTTTCGCGTCAGTCCAACTTCCAGAATCATATGCGAGAGGTTGGAAAAATATAAAAAGTTGACAAGAAAATGCTCATCGGAGGTGTATAGCACTGTCCAATAGCCCGTGCATGGTGTACATTCGAAAGAGAAATCGTGGATCAACGGTACTTTACGGTACATGTTCGATTTATTATTATTATTTTCTTTAAATCAAAACATATGCGTGCGTAGTTGCGGACGACGCGAAACATAGACATAAAAAATGATGGCCTAATATCTCAACTCAGAGTTTCAAACTCTGAGTTGAGACTAATATTAATATTTTTGTCCCACTGGATTTTCGTTTGTACTGAAGTTCTGCATGTCGTGTGTAGCACTATGACCAATAGTCAAGGTTCATTTGTAGTTCGATACATAATATTATCACATGTCACATGACTGTTTCTTTGGATCAGGCCAATCACTGATCTGTACGGGCGGGCAATAAATCAGTCCAACGCCCGCGTCCAAAGCCCGTCGTCCGTGACAACCCTGATAGTGACAATGGGCGCGTGAAATCCACGGGAGTTGAACACGGTGACTGTGTACATGTGAATGCGTGTTTGAAAGTGGCGATCTCAGCTTTCTTATTCTTTCCTTTCAAGTGCTGCAGCACACGAGGCCGACTTTCTCTTTAGGGGGCGTTCGTTTTTGATCTACAGGTTTGGGTAGAAACTACTTCTTTCGGTAGAGGTGTTCGTTTTTTGAAAAAAATTCTACTCAAAAGGGTAGATTCTACTTTCCTCTACCGGCTCTACCAGGAAAAAGTTGGTAGAATCCGGTAGAAGTTGGTAGAGCTACGGGATTTCCAGCAAGATCAAGGATTTGTACACAACTCCATACAAAAAAGGAACATTTCACGTACACATCGTGTAAACTACTAAATCAGGTAGAACAGCGTTCGTACACTTGCCTCTACCGTCTACCTCTATCGGTAGAGTGACTCTACTCTACCAGGTAGCTAAAAACGAACGCAGCCTAAGTTTCGATTCTTTCCAGGGAGTCGTAAAAAGTATTTTATGACTCCCTGATTCTTTCAGGTTAGTGTATTCAGTAATGTTAGGCTGAAAGTGATAAATCCATTATGGCATGGTTGGTCGGGCAATAATGGATTTCCAGTGCCCTCCAAGTGAGCCCTCCCAACAGCCAACCATGCCATAATATAATTATACTTATGTTATAACGTTACCCAACCCGCAACAAATAATTATTTCCAGCTGTGTATTTTTCTTCAGCGTAATAAACAATAGTCAATACTGTAGTTGAATGCATGTGTATTCGCTAGAAGTAGACAGTATTAGAGGCCAACAATGCAATACATGTAACCCAAGAAACATAATTATTGTAATCTTATTCGAGTAAACAGCCTCAAATCATAGGTTATCACTGGTCTCCTACATGTACTACAGAAGACCTGGGTGAATCACATACCTCATCGTTTTCTTCGCCTTGAAGATAATAGACGACGGATCCAAACAATTTTGATGACATTCTGGAAAAGAGGAGTCTTCAAGAGACCACCCGGGAGAAAAGGAGAGTGTCCTATTTCAACGAGTTACCACTTATCCCCGACGACATACTACTGCTTCAGACTGAACCAATATTTCCAAGAACAAAACCGTCCTGGCTATGATTCTACTCACACCCAAAACTCACAATCAGTCGATGGAATGAGGCCCTTTCATAGTTTGGCTTTGAGGGTTTCAAACAGGGAGTAGGTACTACTCCCTGGTTTGAACAGCAGCAGTCGACTCGATAAAAGCTCTGAGCTTCACACTCACACGAGTCACAGCCTTCACTTCCGACTTTACTCTTCAGTCTACAATTATTTAGTACAAAGACAAGGACAGTAGATCTACGTGTACTACAAGTCGTAGATCTACAAAAGACTACAAATTACAATCCATATTCCCGCGCTGCGGAACAAACCATTCAAAAAACTCTCTTTTTTTTTTATAAAAGTCCATTTTTATCGATTTTTATGGATTGATTTCACATCCCAAGCACTGTCGATGTCATCATGTACGTCCGCATGATCGATCCAACAACACTGGCATTGGCAACTCCAACCTTGTTGAACCATTTCAATCCCTGATTTTCAATCATCCGCCTCAGTCAAAGAACGCCAAAATGATGCGAATGGGTGCACCCGGTGGTCGCGGATTCAGGGCCTTGGAAAGGTCCAAAGAAGAGATTGAAAGGGAACGTGCAGAGAGGATGTTCACAGTCAAGTTGTTCTTCACCATTGCAACTGTTCTTAGAGCCGGTAAGATTTTTGTTCCCTGATTTTAATTGGACTAAGTAACTACTACCAGCGCCTATAAATAATGTTCATATAGCAGGCTTGGAATAATGATGGCAAAGACAATGGGAAAGATAATTTTACATTCAATATCTATGGAGTGGGTATTTTGTTCATTCGTTTCCTGATACAGTTTGGGGGATTTCCCTTGTTTACTATTGCATGACATCTCCAGCTGGTATTTGTCTCAGGCTATCGATAATAATTACGTGCACCATGAATGGTACGACAGAAGATTGGTTGCAACTCCTAAGTTTCACGCTTAGCGATCATCAAGCAAGATAACATAGCTGCTGCCTGGTGATCATTTAGCTTGAAACTTTCGACCGACCGTTCCGACTTCTGTGTTAGAAAGCTTTACCCTGGGCGTTGAGCTCTGTTTGAGCTGTGGAAGTCGCCTACTGTGCCATGTACTGTGTATGTTAGTGGTACTGAACATATATTGCAGCGGCTTGAACGAAAAGTTGGGTCGAACGGAATAAAACTCTGAGTCTGTCTGGAAATGCATTTCTCAAGATATGTCTGTGAGCCTGAGTTTATATCGCTTGCCTCGCACTTTGGCCTTTTGTCTCTCCTGTTGTGCACCCTTATGGGTGCCTTTGAGCAAAGTCTCGCCAATTTTTTGTTGGGCTTTTATAATAGAATCGTATTGGTCCTGCCGCTTTTCCTGTGGCCTGCGACAACTCAAAGAAGGTCACGTCATCCCTCAATCCTGATTCTTGTATACTGATCTCGCCCGCTAGTCTGACTTTTTCTCTTTTGCCTCGCAATCGGAAAGGAAGGAATGGGGAGAGGATGGACTCTTTTCCAGTGTATTGTTGCTGCTTGGTGCTTTGGGTGATAGCTTTGAACTACATCTCAGGAAGTGGCAGGTAAACAGGTTCATAACATTCCTTACCAACTTATGGTGGCTGGTCAAGTATGTGTGTTTGTTTGTGTGTGTGTGTGTGCGTGCGCGTGCGCACGCATATGAGAGAGAACTTAGCTTTCCCGGAACAATTTATTTCCTTGTTTCCTCGTGTGTGTGTTTGTGCAGGTGGTTGGGCGTTTCAGACATTTGTCGCTGCATGATGATGCTTCAGAATCTCGAATGTATAAAGCCACTACTCAGCCAGTGCTCAGATTGGGATGAAGCGAGTTGCAAACGTTTGACAGCAGTACCGGATTGCTTATCTTGTGTCGATGAGCTCCTTTCCTGGCTTCGTGTTTGTAGGTTTTGTCTAATTCCCATCAGTGATATGGAGTTGGGTGTGTCAAGAACTTTGATCATTACGTAACTGTGTCGACCGTTGCCTATATGGGCTCGCCAACAAACACTGCTGCTTACTTGCAATCCCATGCCTACTCAAGTGCACTTGTGTGTGTGTTGATTTTTCCAATCGCACCACATTTGTATTGCAGTACTACTTCTTGAACCCAGCACATGTACCTGCTTACAGTCCCTTCGACGGACAGCCAATGGTGGTGTTTCATTATACACGATGTGCAAGCCATACTTTGGTTTTTGTACAGTGAGAATACAGGCTTTGTTGTTGTTTCTGACAACTCCCTACAAAATTCTTCAAACTGATACACTGGATATGCATGTTCATGCACATGTGTGTGCACGTGTGTGTGTGTGTGTGTTTGTCTGTCTGTCTGCCTGCCTGCCTGTTGGCCCTGGCCTGGGTTTCCAGTTCAGTGTACTCAGTTACCGAGGCTGTTTGGTAAAGTACATGTAACTCCAACTTCATTTCAAAATACCAGTGCATCTAGTGTCTGCTTCTATCAAAGCAGCATGCCATAGGGTGTGCATAGGTAACTGGTTTGGCCGTTCTTTTCTGATGTGCTCCGTTTGGTGTAGACCAGGTGTACATTGGGGGTCGATTCACATGGCTTCGTGGATTAGACAGTTTTCTGGCGCTAGTCTTGATCTGTTTCATTCTGAATCAGATCCGCTATCGTTGCTATAGGAGAAAATCTGTGGGTGCACATCCCGTGCATTTGCAGATTTGCGTGCTTTTCTTGCGACGGGCGTATAAATGGTACAGGGTGTGTGTGGGTGCGTACAATCAAGATGTTGCGGGTTCGGGTTCAATTCCCGTGCAAGTACAGGGAGCGAATATGTACTTCTTTTTGTCAGATTTCACCTGCCTGCGTTACTAAAAATATTACAGTGCAAGTACCATCACCATGATCTCGGCATCAGCGTAAAAATACTAAAAAGGTGGAAGCCAGAGGCCCGGGGATGTAACTCACTAAAAGGGAGCATGTCACATACGGACCGTACTGAAAATGTAATTATGTGTGGGCCAGGGCTCCCGGACCGGTCCCTGCAGTGCAGGCCTGACGCCTGAGCAGGGGCGTGCTCGGCCCCCCGGCAATTTTCTGTAATTTGTTTGCAACCTTTCTTGAATTTTAGAGCATATTTGCATACATTACAATTGCAATTACCCAGATTGAAAATTTTTGGGGGGTGCACGTGCCCCCCGTGCCCATCGCCGAGCACGCGCCTGCTGAGTACGATTATTTTTTTGTAGTGCATGCTGTGCATGTGCCTTTGTGGTGGAACCTCTAGATTACGGAGGATTAGCAAGACGAAATTCGCGTTCGCGTTCGCTCTCCAAGGAAAGTCGAACTCAGTGACGGAATTCGCGTTATGAGAAGGATTAGCAAACAGAATTCGCACATGCATGACGTTGACACGACGTACATAATTGTGTACAGACAGTACAGCGTGGTAAATTTATGACTGCCCTGACACGAATCCGCGATCCGTGTTCCGACTACTGTAAATCAACAAATTTTGGCCGGTGAGAAACTTTGGCCGATCTCGAAATGAAACTTTTGGCCGTCATTTAACTTTGGCCGATTTGGGTTTTCAAAAAAGAAATCGATTGGTATTTGTTGCCCTCACATATGTACATGCAGCCATGGCTCAATAATGCATCATTTGCCTCTATGACAAATTTTGGCCGGCGATTTACTTTGGCCGGTTGGTACCCAGCGGCGAAATCAGCGAAATTAAGGGGGGACTATGGTTTCGCGGGGGCTGAGCCGACAGGGCCCATCTAATTTGGTCATAACTTTGGAATGGTGCAAGATTTCTACACCAAATTTTCTGTGCAGCTTCCTGGAATGAGTAGACACGGGAAACAGCATCATTGGTCATTCTAATCCATTTCAAAGTGAAATAAATGAGAATCCAGTTTCAGGGACCGTGGGCGATAGAAATGACAAAATAGTGCGCAATATTGTGCACTCCAGATGAGTGTTCATGAGCTGAAATGCATTGGAATATACTCAGTATATATGCCTCCAGTGCACCTGCCTAAGGATTTTACCCTTGTATGTACAAAAAGCCTGCAAACAACAACAAAAACACGGCAATGCGCACAAACGGTAATTTTTTACAAATTTCAGGAGGGCTAAGGGTCACCAGTCTAACAAAGGGACTCTAAAAGTAGGCATATGCACTGCAGCTTGACATGCAGAATCAGAAAATCCACACTTTTATATATCAAATACGAAAGACCTGACCAGGAAATTGCGCGGAAAGTGGAAAAATAGCTAAAAACAGACAAAATAGGCACTCCAAATATGTACCTTTCATGAAGTGGCAAGAGTTTATGTCGTGTGCCCACCCTCTTCTCAACATGGCCAACACATTCTTCTTTTGCAATTGGTACACCACCATACGAGTCTTCCTTATACACTCTGTTATAACCCTTGGAGTCTCCATCTCCAATGTAGGTGGTGTACACAAGGCTGCGCTTCTCCACTGAGCGCTTCCATACACCACTCGCAGCTTCACATTCCATGCCAGGTGCAGATGCCTTGGTGTTAGCCTTGCAGTAGTGTTGCTCCTTCCATTCCTGAAATTCCTGTGCTGTAACAACTCCACGCTCTTCCTCGTCATTCCACAGGGCACACTCGTGGCAATACCGACTCTTCACTTGCACGTCTAGAACTCGACCGGTGCGCCATGAAATGCAAGCAAATACACCGAAGAGGGAGGAGTAGCCGCGTCGCATCCAGGTTCCGGCGAATGTGACGGCAATTTTGTCGGTGTTGTCCAGTTGCTTCAGCTCAACAGCACATTGGAGCATGTCCTTCTCAGCAACATTGGAAACAGCGGCAGTCATCAGCTGCTTGTGGTGCGTGTTGTAAACTTATTCTGTCACTGGTGGTGGCAAATTCATTATTCCACAAAATTTTCTTAGCGCATTCCATCCTCTGCCAATGCGGCGCATACCCAAGACAGACCGCTTGTTCACCTCAAAACTTCTGCCAGCCTTCTTACTGAGTGGCGCATTGCCTAAATATCCACAGGCATTGCACTCAAGCGTCAGCACAGTACCAAGGCCTCGTTTCTTTGATTCTGCGAGCCGAAGAGTTCCACTTGAACATTTACGACAAATTGCGAAATTGTCCAGAAATTCTTGCAGGGAGCTAAGGTCAACAATGCGATTGCCGTTCACTCCACAACAATCAGCAGCGTCATCGTCGTCGTCATCCTGCTCTTCATCAATCTCACTCTCGCTGTCTGACTCGGTGAGAAAACCTTGTTCAATATCTCCTTCAAGCAGCCAGAATGGCACATTTTTCAATTTTCGTGCAGACGCACTCTCTGGAACGCCAGCCTCCAACACGGTCTCATCATCGGGTCTAGGTTCCTCAGAAGACTTCTTTGGGCCAAAATACTTCCTCTTCGCCCTACGAACTCTCCGGCCTCCACTGCTGGAGCTCTGGCGAGGGTTTCCCATGATATGATCCACCTAAAATGTCCTTGCACAATTATTAATTTTTGTCTTACAATTATTTGAATTTTTATATACGGTACCTCGCTCAAGCCGTCAAGGACCTGTCATTTACGGCTGGCTGTCAAGCGCATGCTGCTGTGCATACTTCGCGTTCAACGCGTCCATGATAGTTTTGTGTCACCATAGAAACGATTTTGACAGTGAAATCAGCCAGAGTTGGGAGAACTAGCCGCATTCCATCTGAATTGCAATTAGCAAATTTGAACATCTAATTGAAATTCTGTTGCAATTAATTATTTTGTGCAACTTTAGATGGTATATCTGTGCAATGCATCAACGGAACTTGCTCAAATTTTTTTCTCCAGCCCTTGAAAGCAGGTGGAACCGTTAGCAAGCACAAAAAGTTAGAATTTCGAAACTTCATTTTTGACCCCACGAAACCATAGTCCCCCCTTAAATCGCCAGCGAAAATTAGTTGATTTACAGTATACGTTTCCGAACAAAAAATGCGAAAGTTCGCAATCCAGCGTTTGCGAACGCGAATTATTTCGTCTTGCTAATCCTCCGTATCTGCGTATGCATCATGCACGTATTTTTGTAGTCGTGCTACCAGATCTACGTGCGCACACCTCGTTGCGCAATGGCACGCACATGCGCGTGCATGCGCATGATACAGATCCGTCATGGTGCGCACGTGGTGTGTGCCCACATGGCCGGCCATGTACAAAACAGTACATGCGATCGCGCCCTCAATTATTTTTTTGCTGGTGTTTTGTGCCGAATAATGAATGATTGAATGCTTTTGAAAAGGAGAATTGACAATTGTTTAGAATGTAAGATCTCTCCTCTTGCTCACCATGCTTAGGTATGCATGTCGTCCTGGTCTTTTGGCGCTGAAGACTCCAGTATTTCGACGGTCTATTAGTGGAGTAAGCGAGTCATGGAAAGGCATCTTTCCCGAGGTCAAAAGGCCTCGAGTCTATTTAGATTTTACTCTTGAAGGATATCCGGCTGGATCCGTTGTAATCGAGCTGTTCTCGGACATTGTTCCAAAGGCTGCTGAGAACTTCAGATGTCTCTGTACAGGGGAGAGAGGAGAGCACCTGTGGTTCAAGAATACGAAAATCTCCCACATGATGTTCGGCGTGTACATGGTTGGAGGTGACATTCACCATGGAGGTTCAAGTGGAGGAGAATCGATATATGGTCCACGATTTCTGGATGAGAACTATATTGTGCAACATCAGCATGCTGGAATCGTGGGCATGATCAACTGTGGTGCACCGCATACCAATGCCAGCCAATTCTACATCACCATATCACCTGCTCCATTTATGGATGGGAAGAATGTTGGCATAGGTCAGGTTGTTGAAGGACTGGATGTTGTGAAGAAGATTGTCCGTGTAGCAGGTGTGCCGGAGGTAAAGTCAGGATTACTGTCCCGTGTAGCAGGATCACGCAAGCCCGTGCTCATTGAGAGCTGTGGACAGCTGGACACCTAGAACTTTCATAAGACTTTCTATAATTAATAATATTGTTTACTTGAGAACACATGCACATGAAATTGGGAGTGTGTGTGTGTGTGTGTGTGTGTGTGTGTGTGTGTGTGTGCGGGCGCACACGTGCTTGGGTGTGTGTATTTGCATTGCCAGTACAGAGTAGGTGTACATGTGGCACACCGTCCGTTCATCACTATGAGATTGGAAAGATTAAGTCCTTTTTTTGCATTTGTCTACTTGTACGGTTTACGGCGGATTCCATCAAACACAACTGGACTGTCGGTTGTTAAAAGTTGGAGTTACTTCGAAGTATGAATGCTTTTCCAATGAGCTGGCCAGTTCATCCCATATATGGGTGTCATTTGTGTGTACTTTCTTAGCCACGTTATGCATGCAACACACAGTGTGTTGGTTATTTTTAAATACGGGATGTATTTCACGTTGCAGCAAGCGTACGTGGTTTCATGTCTTGTTTTTGCCATGTGCTGTGGCTGTGGCACATTATGACATTTCATGCCTAGACCAGCCAATATGCTGACCACCTTTATGCATGTTCAACAGTGCTGCTCAATCAAAACCATCTTTGCACACTGCACCAGGGAACATCGCAGTTCGGCAGGTCAGGGGCTGCACAGTGCCCGGTGCGTTATTCCCTTGTGTGGATTTGTTTGTGCAACACTTTAGTATTAGTGAGGGATGGCAACAGAGGATCAATGTGGAAGTAATACGAAAATGCAATTCATGTTCGAATGTGCAAACATTTGCGCGTCTGGAAAATGGCGTAATGCATGTGGTACGAAATGACCCAGTCTGTCCCCGAGGGAATTTGCGGAAAAAATCGCAAAAAACGCGGGGGGAAAACGCGGCATAATATGGCATAATTTGCGGTGAATTTGCGGTAAATATGCGGTGAATAATATTGATGTGCGGCAATTTTCAGGGAGTATGTAGTGAAATCAATCAGTTACAAGTCTCTGGTGTAAGCACTCGTCATATTTGAGTAAAAAGCCGCCAAGATGAAACGTTGCTGACCGAACAGTGCACTGTGTGTACGTGTAGTGCAACAAAAAAGTTAAAAAAACGCGGGAAAATCGCGGAAAACGCGGTCTTTTAAAAAATCGCAAAAAACGCGGAAAAAAACGCGGCCGCGGAATCGCAATTTTCCCCGGGGACAGCCCAGTTGAGCAGGATAAGTAGATTTACCACCCTTATGAAAATTGCCAGGTTCAGACTACATAATAGTATGCTCGGTTTAGCCTAACCAGGGTGGATCTTATGTTTGCTAGTTTGATGGACCCGGTGGTGGCCAGCCGCCTGGCTGAGCCAATTCCGCCAGGGACTGTACCAGGGGATCTGGTGACTTACTGGTACATGTATATCTTTAGCGCAGCACTCGGCACTACAGTATTATAATAATTTATAGCAAGAATAGTAGATAAACAGTCAGAATCAGGGAGAACATATGTAGATCTACGTGTAGATCTGCGTAGTATATTATTAAAAAAAAGGAGCAAAAAACGAAAGTTGTCAGAATGAGGCCATATCCGGCTCATTTTCCTCCTGAAGTGATGAACTTTCCGCTGGTGTAATTTTTTATGCGGTAAACAACACGACGGTTGGGAAATTTTAAAAATTCAAACCAACTCCCACTGCGAATTTGTAAAAAATCAGCTGATCTCCACTTTGAATGCAGTTCGCAAGCGCGATCAATCTTCGTTCCGGTTCACTGCGTGGATCGCGGAGGGTGCCAAGAGCGCCAGCTCTTTGTACTTGTGTGTGTGTGCCGTGTTGGCTGTCTAGTTGTAGATCTACCCCGTACCGACCCGTACATCTACTCAGCTCTAGCTCGAGCGCTCTGCAGTCAGCAGGTCAGCACTGGTACGGTGTCAGCACGAACAAAAAAATGCAAATCCGCGTCAAAGGAAGTACAGAAAAAGTTGGAAATTGGCGCGTCCGCTGTTCTCTGTAGCTGTTGTCTTCTGGTCATTGGCAATAAGAGGAGATAGTCCGCTAACTACAGAGCCAAGAAGCGTGTTTTCTACAGAAACCAGTTCCAGAGCTCCAAGCGCAGAGATCTGGAGAAAGAAAACGAGTCTGCATCTCGTGCTCAAACTGAAAGTGACTCTGAGCAATTGGGAGTACCTGACACGTCTCGTAGCTGCGAACCCTTGGCTGGCGATCTGAACTTACTTGCAGATGAGGATACTGAGAGCGCTGGTGACTCCAATGAAGACTCGAGTGAGGAGAGTGATGAAGTCCTGGATTCTGACAACTGGAATTTTAGTTTGCAGAAATTAAATTTAATTGCAGAATTTATTGTCCACAATAGCAGTTTGCAGAAAATGTAAGAGCTGGCCTAGTCTCCATAATTGAAGTTGCATGCAACTACTGCACTTCTGTTGCTTCACCGCCCGCAGTGGGAAAGATATCCAGTTATTTTGAATTGAATAGAAAGAGCGTACTGGCTATGCGCCTGCTTGAACGAGGCCGCGAGGATTTCCGGAAATTGTGTGCATTCCTCGATTTGCCAGCGCCGGTTGAAAGAAGAACTACCAGCGCCTCGTGAAGAATTTTCACCAAGCTGCTAAAGCTAGTGTAAGTTTGAGCATGAAAAATGCTGCTGGAGTTGTGTTCACACAACAAGTTGCAGCCGGGGAGGAATCGCCAGCCGAAATCGCCGTGACAACGGACGGAACATGGATGCGACGAGGATGCAGCTCCTTATATGGCATGCAGACTGTGATTGCTTGGGAGACGCAAAAATTTGTGGACGTGGAAGTGTTGACCCGCTATTGTACTTTCTGCACAAGGAAGGAGACTCCCTGCGGAACTGTTTTGGAAATTCTATCTGCAAGATTGCAGGCTTCGTCACAGCGATGGCCTGTGTTATTTGGGCATCTGTTTGCCACAACGTACAGTCCAAGGATGCCGAGAAATGCAATCAGTTCTGCCCGGAAAGACTCATGGTGCAGGTGGCAGCAATAGAAGTGTGGATATGGCAATGTTTCTGTGGCAGTTTCTTCATCGTCGAACAACACTATCCCTGTTGCAGTCTTTGAAGAAATTAAACCTGTATATGTCCATCTTGCCGACAAATCCCTCCTACAGGGCTGTGTTCGTCGTGCCACACAGAATGCCAATGAAGCACTCAATGGCACTATTTGACATCTCTGTCCAAAGGAATCGTTCTGTAGCTCCATAACTGTTGAGACTGCTGTGTTCCTGGCAGTGATCGTGTTCAATGAAGACCACAGTGAGCTTGCCGAAGTAGTACAGCGTATGGGATGCACTGTTAGTCCGTCGTTGGAGAGAAATCTAGGTGTCTTTCAAGAGGAAAGCTGTACCACAAGCGTAGAAAGTCGTCAGAAGAGGAGCAAAAAGCAAGTAAGCATTGCAGAGCAGTGAAGAAAGGGTTTCTGGATCAGGCACAGCACAAGGAAGAAGAAACATATGCTGCTGGTGGCTTTTGAAAGGTGAAACTGGAGTGTACTTTTTCATGAATTTGAACCTCTTTTTCATAGACTCCGACAAGTTTGAGCCAACATATCTCAGGGCTTACTTGTCATAGAATTATAATCTTGGGCATTATTCACATCTACGTGAAATTTGCTAGGTGCTAAACTAAACAGAACTGTCAATATCCCAGCGAGGTTCTTCCAACTGGCATGTCTCTGAATTATCTGTAAACATCGCGTTTCTGATCTGTAAAACTGAAAATCACAATGCTCCACTGTACATATGTTTACAAGGTTTAGTGTAGTTTAGCACCTTGAGCTGTTAGTCTGCATGAGTTCTGAGCAAATTGACACTGCTGGACACCATTAGCCTCTGTTCTTTTTTGGCTCAATCCTTGCCCTGTACGTGCGATATGAACGCATTTTGGCTGAGTGCAAGTTCGGCACTTCAAGATATGTGAGATGTGTGAAAAATGATTCTGAACCTAGGTATGAACACCCTCAACATCACTGCCAAGTTTGGTTTGGATATTCCCAGCTGTTCATGACTTCTGGTCCAAAGAGTGTAGTATACGGAAAAGGGGAACTGCCACCTTAAGGCCATGGTAAAAAATAAAGTTGATTCTCAGGTCATGAGCCTGTGAAAATCGGTGCGAGCGAGCAATTTTTTATTTTATTTCCCACAATTTTTTAATTTCCAAAGATAGGGTCACGTACAGTATATTTTTTATTATTCAGACCAGGCAGTAGAAAAATACCGGTATTTTACTACTCCCTGATTCATGCCTTTCGCATTGACCGTTTTCATTCGCGCATATAATTATACCCCTTGGGCCGGAAATTAAATCCCGGTATAAGGATCACTCGCACAATGTACATGTACATGCCAAGTGACCCCCCCCCCCCGGCTCCGAAGGATCACCCGCACAATGTACGTTAATCATTGTTGTGATTTGCTTTCAAGCAATGACATTATGTGCATAATCAGTAACTTACTTGATGTTGCTGTTTTTTTGTTTTTTTGGTTTCCCGTTCTCGGGGCCTTCTATTCGGTACTCTTTGTAGTTGTACTTCTGTACTGCTGAGCTATCCGAATTCAAATAAACATTAAAAAACAAAAAAACAAAAAAACGTGCCAAGTGCCCCCCCCCCCCCCCCCCCCCCCGGGCTCCGATCCCTAATCCGGTGTGACCATGGTGACCCTAACGCCAAAGTAACGGGTTCTACTCAGGGAGTCGTAAAAAAAGTATTTTACGACTCCTGGTTCTACTCTACTTGTTTTTCGATTTTGACAGCATGTTACAAGGCGAGGACGCGTAGTGCTCCTGACTACAACCATAAACCGGTTGGCAGAGTCCCGGTCTTGCGACCATTTGAACCGTATTGGGAAAACCCAGGTTCGGACCCTCGTTACTCTACGGGTTGGTAGGATTTTTATAATTTTCGTTTTTTTGTGTTGTAGAAGTCGTCGTGTTGCCGCCGTAGTACTACTTGTAGTACCTGTACGAGTGAATAGCAATTCTTTCTGGACATGACTTGAAATAAAATAGAGCCCCACTGGCCATGGCTGTGTGTTTTACATTATTCTTATATCTTTGTAATTATTATTATTATTATTATTTTTTTTTCTTCGGAAAACACTGAATTGAGACAAATATATTGTATGGCCTAAGGCCAAGTAAAAAAAAAAGCTAGATGATCGTCCCCGTCCGCCCCAGTTTTTGTCAGCGCCCCAAGAAATATTTTATTTTTTAAATCGTGAGTTTTTGCCGAAATCGTTGGTTTTTTACCGATCGCGGATGCAGGAAACATGTGCACGCTTTGTTTAATACTTTCTTTACTATATGGACCACATACTACTAGTATATCACAATACAACGTCAGTATCGATCTGCTGAAGAAAGAAAAAAAGAAAAAAAAAGAAAAAAAGAGAAAAAAACCTTGATGTTGTTGTGTACACTGTGTGCATGAGAGGGTAAAAAGTAAAAAAATAAAAATAAAATCCTCCCGCCCTCCCCGATTTTTCCAAAAAAAAGGACGATCATCTAGTAATTTTTTTTACTCGGCCTAATCCTTCATCTTTCCAAATATGTGACAATTGCTCATGCTGTGATCCAAGAGACTTGATAGCAGGACGTTTTTTTACAGGCCAATTTTTTGGCCTAAATTTCAGTGTATGGAATTCTGGACATGAAAGTAAAATAGCGTCAATAGGCATCCTATACTGCACCATTTTTGTTATTTTTTCTATTGGTGGACTGCAATTGGCCTCTTCACACTTCTATCCAACAAGTCCATGACTATACCGCGTCTGAAGTGGAGTGCACATGGGGAAGCCAAAAATTCGTCCATTACTTCTTATTTTACTCAAAATTCAAAATTCTCATGCGACATAGTGAACCCGTTGAAATGCCGCACAAGCAAAGGCTATCGACAAGGCACCGACACGAGGAGAAACTACAACAGCCCAGCTGTCAACTACGGCAAGAAAAAACTTCATCAACTCGACTGACTTGACTTGTACACGCGACGACAAATTATTTTACTCGAAATGTCCAGAAATGTACCGTACATGTCCGTCCAGAAATAGCAATTCACCTCGTACAGTACCGGTCCTGTGCTTCCGGGTTCAAAGGTCAGTTGTAGTACACGACCCCTAGCCCTGCTCCTTCCTTTCTCTTCCTAGCAGCTTGGTGATTTTGTCTTCGGAGTTGATTGTCGATGGTGAAGAAGGCCGTTGTCATTGTCTTTGTGATTGAGAGACATGTCAGTACTGCCCAATATCTTGGGTTGAACTCAAACCAATTTCCTTACGCCAGGTCACAGCTGCTACACCGTTATGTTTGCTGTTCCCATTGGTGGGGCAAATGTCCCCATGACGACTTTTCCGCAGCGATTTGCGGCGCTTCTCATCGTTTGCCTTGGAATTAGGATTTGTTACAGGTAGGGTTTGGACTAGTTCCTTTTGGCATTCTGTCCGCTTTTTACCTGTGCCAGAAGTTAGTTTATGCCTACTTGTAATGTGTGAGTATGATCAACATTCTCTGCCTCATCCCTCTTCTTACCGCACAGTTTACCTCCACTCGCCCACGGAATCGATGACTATGATGTTCTATCCTATCCGGCATGGAGCTCAGTGGAATCAAGACGCGCCGATGCTCATCTGGAAGTGGCATTTAACGCTTTGGATTTGTAAGTGTGCTTGGACTTCAAGTGGAGCAGCGAAATACTGTGTGCTAGGCTTGTAGGAAGTAATTAGTGACAGTATTGACCCTATTGGGTATACAAAACTACTGAAATAGTATTGCCTTCTCCCCCTGGCCCCTGTCACACACATTGCGCGAAATCGCGCATCTATGAGCGACATCCACATAAACTGCTGGGACCATGGTTGTGTACTCGAATCTCATTCTGAGCACCCTTTTTTCTTCCTTTTTTCAGCCGTTTTTTTGCAAAAAGTCCTCGAGCTCGATTTTTTTGGATCGATCGTTCTTCAAGAAAAGACGAGTGGACAATCGATCTACAGGGCCGAGGACGAATGCGTCTGGTTGGAGTTCTTGCGTGGCACAGGATGACCAGACACACATATAGATACATTGCGACGATCTAATCTGCACAGTGTTTCCTAATACCGCACGCACGACGGTAAGTACAATTCATGTGATTTCAAATTGTTTGTGATCTACAACGTCGCGAGCAGGACGGAAATACAGCAACAGCACGACAACCGTTATACCAGGCAGTAACCAACAGTCACCTCCGTCACATTCTCCAGATCAGAAGGCAAGTGAAGCAGTGAACATGAAGAAATAAAGTATGAAAGAATGAAAAGTGAATAATTCAAAAATCTCAGAAACGTTGAACGTAAAAAACACTGAGAACAAGAAAAGTGACTTACTTCGATAGCAAAAGACAAAGCGAATGTTCCTCGTATGGACCTGGCTCTTGCGGAATCAGCCACACTGTGGAACCATGTGTTTGATTCCACAAGGGATGGCTACCTGCTCCTCACCAACCAGCCTCCACGACGGTGGTAAAGTCGCCAAAAATACGAAAGTTGAACATTTTGTGCATGCATGCAATAGAAAATTTGTGCTGAGTATGTCGAGTGGCCTTTCGCACAGGACAAAGCCGTTGCGCAAGCTGTGACCCTGAAATTTCGTCCATTGGTAGCGAGGGTAACCCTGAGCTGGAAAGTGTAAGGGATGGCATGCTATACTCCCCCGCATACGCTTGACAGCACGATTTGAGGCGTGGAGTAGTAATGTACCAGTATCTTACTACCCCCTGATACCTGATGCATGGACGTCGTCATCTTCATCCCGCAGATCGAAAATGTGCAGGTGTCGCGTGATTTCGCGCAATGACAGCGCAAACAACTTGGTAGAGTTTCTGACTTCTTATAACTTACAAACGGAAGGGGCACAGGAGGAGAAAGACGAAAACAAGACTCGAGAAAAAGACAACGGAAAAGACACCCGGGAAAAGACACGAAGAAACAACCAAGAACAAGCAGTAATATTGCGACGACAAATCGGGACCACCAATCAGGGACTAATACGTACAGAACACATGACCAAGACCAAGACAACCAGACCACGGACGAATCACACATGACTCTCATTCCCAGACCAAACTAGCACTGCGCGTGTACAGCATTCACTTGACAGTCACTCTCACACAGATGGAAGCAGATCCTCACACTCTGACAACGCGTACTCTCGCATGCACCACATACCATAAACGTCACACATCACACCATACTCGCACTTACACTTAGACCATATATGCCATCAGACACTGGACTCTACAAGACAAGAACCAAATACAACAACATGCGTAAATCATAGTCGTAATACAATTTCGCAACAATACGGTGCTGCTCAATAAAATCCGATCTCGCGCAGTCCATGCCACCAGCGCAGGGCACTGTGAAACCCCAGGCAGACCTACAAACACAGGGATGTGAACTAGTGCAGGGCGCAAACCTGACTCACGCGATCAGATTTCATTGAGCAGCACTGTACATATTGCCAAGCATCAGTGACCTCCCCCACCAGTTTGCAACTTCAGTGATAATCAGAACTGTTGGTTTGCTCCCCATTACTTTTCATCTTGTTCTACCGATCACCAGCTTTCCCCTACGTTTATGCATTGCACAGTACATGTTCACCATTCAATTTACACATCAAGCGTAGAGGGAGATGCCCGTTGCCCCGCACACATATGGTTTTGCAGATCGCCCTCAGGCCTTTGCTAGGCCTGGGCGGATAATGCTAGTTATTTTGCGAGATAATGCTAATGGCAATGCCAGAAAAACCGTATCATAATGCTACTTATAATGCTGCTGTTCCTCTGTAATGCCAGCAATTCACCAGTAGTATGTATGGAAAAATGGCTTGGTTTGGGCAGTATTGTGCACGTTTCGTAGTTCTACGTAGACGGCATGGATAATGCTAGAAAATCATGATCATAAGGCCATGGTAAAAATTATCTTTGATTCTCAAGTACGCGCGCACCGATTTTTGGCGGCGCACCGACGATTTTTTTTATTTCTATGCGTGCATGAAAACGGTCAATGCGAAAGGCATGAATCCGGGAGTAGTAAAATACCAGTATTTTTCTACTCCCTGGCCTGAATAGTAAAAATAATTATAAATGAATTATGAACCTGTGACGTACACATGTGTGACCCTATCTTTGGAAATAAAAAAAATTGTGGGAATTAAAATAAAAAATCGCTCGCTCGCACCGATTTTCACAGGCTCATGACCTGAGAATCAACTTTATTTTTTACCATGGCCTAATGCTAATTTTATGCTGCTATTGCTCCATAATGCCAGCAAAACTGCAATAGTATGCATGGAAAATGGCTTACAGTCCATTTCAAAACTATAGACGCGTACCTAGGTAAAAACCGTTATGCCAGCATCTATACTACATAAAATCTGTGATCACTTTGTGCATACTGTAAATATACAAATTTTCGGCAGCTATTTAATTTCGGCTATATTCGGCACCGACCCAAAACGCCTAAATTAAAACGCCGATGAAATTTTTCACAGCATCTGTCGCACTATACCATGCCTTCTACCCCACGCCGAAAATAAATCGCCGCCGAAATGTCAAAAATCGTGAAGTGCCGAAATTTTGCAGCGCCGAAATTTTGTATGTTTACAGTATATATTTTCCAAATTGGGCGTCTGTTATCCAATCGTTTAGAAACTATATGAGAGTAATTGTGGAGCGGTCCTGAGCAATATTCCGAAAACTATTCTCAAAAAGTTCCAGCCAAATTTGAAATATTTCAAAAACCCTACACGTCTATAGTTTTGAAATGGACTGTAGTTTGGACAATCCTATGCAGGTTGTGCAGTTCTATGTACAAGGCATGTAACGGTCCATTTGGGCACAACATAGCCCTCGTGGTTAGACTTGCCTGCCACGGTTATACTGCAGCATAATTGCCAACTCGAGGCTGTCTTCAAGGACCGAATACTGTTGGTGGGTTGTTGCTGCTTCTAGTACATGTACTTCCTCCGCGTCATCGAAATTGTCGCAGTTTGACTTTTGATATAAAACGGGTTTTTTACTCACCAGCACTCGTACCAGAGGCAAGGAATCGGACATAGGCGACGGTCATCAGTATAGGGTGACGGCAAAGTTCTATTTTCTGTTATTGGAAGCTGGAATTTTTGAACTAGACGCAATTTCTTCGCTGATGTCGCTGCGATGGTAATTTCGACTCGCTGAGATCAGTCAGGCGTTGCAGCCTGCACATATCTCGTGCTTATGGCCATTCACTCAAGCCTCATCACTGTTTTACCTTAGCTGGGGTGAGAATGACTTCGTGGAACAAGTTGCAGCGCTTGGAGAAACTTCAAGGGGTCAGCAAACTAAATGCCTTCACCAGCGATAAAATTTGTCGCTCTGGCCGAGACACTCAGTACATGATTGTACCTGCAAGAGCCGTGTAGACTCTACACGTAGTGCTAGTGTCTGTACTAGTGATGCACACGCAGGTGCCGTACCATGATACCAGTGAATCAGGGCCGGGCCGGCAGTGATGCTGAAAAAGAGGGCGCGCTGGACGTGATAGTACACTTACCTGCATGAGCTGTGACCACACAGCTAAAATAAATGGGCATGCCGCGGCTAAAAAAAGTTCATTTCAAGATCGAGGTGATTCCGCCGACGGTAATCAACCGACCTCGCAACGATCGTGTATTCTTACTAGGCTTCGTTGGTGGTGAAGTAGAAATCATCCAGAGCTAGCAGATGACAAGCATAGCAGCTCTTGTCCTGTGGAGAAAGTCAAAGCGTTTGAGATGAGGCGCGACCAACTTTCAACCTTCCTTGAAATATTTCGGAACGATATTTTTGCGTCCATTGACATCAGCGACGACGAGGACTTCATCTCTGCATGAAAACTCTCAGTCCGACTGTCCTGGAACGTTACTCTAGTCTTCAGACTATCATACTGTGTAATAAGTTTTGAATAGCTTAGCTTATGGAGTTGTCAGTAACAAGTGACAGGTCACTAGTCAAACTGCGACAATTTCGATGACGCGGAGGAAGTAGTGAGAATACTCTCTCCGCTGCTGCCGACGACGGTGGTATGGTGAAGATCAGTTTGGCGGCCTTCTTCCAAGCTGGCAAACGACTCCGCTCTTCCTGCCTGCGCCACCAAGCTGCTGGGTCAGCATTGGGAGGGATGTCAGCAGCCGCAGTCGTATATGCAGGCAGTTCCTCCTTCAGTGAGCGAATGACATCGACTGAATCAAGGGCTGGGAAAGCTCTTATTAAGCCTTCCACTTCCAGAGGCGCTGGTTTGGCTTGGCTGACGTACTCAGGACTGCATAACCGGGCAGCCTTGAATGCCTTCACTGTTCAGGGCGCAAAAAAACACATGTTCACGTCGCGTCATGTTCAAGGAAATTCAAACGAAGAGAAAAGGAGAACAGAGAAGAAATTTAGAGAAGTACAAGAACGAAGAAATGGAGAAGGGAAACGTTCTTGAGATGAAGAGTAGAGAGAAGAGCAGAGAGATCAGAGAGACAGACTGGAAAGAAGTTCTACAGAAGACGTGAGAGAGAAGAAAGGTGAGAGAATAGACAGGACGAAAATAGCAAAGACAAAGTTCACAACAAATTCAAAAACAATGTCGATCTTGTTCACAAGTTCAACCATCAGGCAGGAACATTCACCATCGGGAAAATATCACCCTCACAGTGATTGAATCGCCTTAGGAAGTACTGGACGGCTGGCTGCACGCATTCCGCTGCATGGCCCTTCAGTTGCTGCTCGCGCTCCTCGTTGCCTTGAGCAATGTCAGCTGCAACGCTATCGACATTCGGGTGGTAGCCGGCAGCGGCTGTATTGGCCACTTCTTGCAAGTGCTCATATGCATCTGTAGCTAGCATGCCGTCACCTTCAAGAATGTACGTCTTTTGTACGAAGATCTTCCCAGCGTCCACCGTCGCTGCAAGCTCCATCTTCAATAAGTCCTGTTGCTCCTCAAGGATGGTGCGCAAAGAGCGGCAAGCACTGGGGGAGTACTGGCAGTGTTCAAGGAATGTTGGGATATCCCCGAAGAACTCCAGCACTTGAACAGCTACCTTATACAAACTCCACCATCGTGTATTTCTGTGGGATCGAACTGCAACACCGACACGTGATTTCCATGCCAGGCGTGCTGCTGGACTTCTTGCAAACAGGCTAACCCACCAGTGGAGGAACTCATCCAAGACTGGAGTGTTGAAACGCCAGCCCACGTTATCCAGACTATGGGAGAGGCATGTCACGTCCAGCATGTTCCGGTAGAGGACGATCTTCAGGTGGCCAATTGCTACTCGGTTCACAGCAGCTCCATCCCGGATCCCAGAATTCATCTGCTCAGCACTTAACTGCAGTGATGTAGACAGGCAGGCAATAAGCTCACCGGCCAACCCAGCCCCATCCATGGACTTAGCCAAGACGTGAAAACGTACCAGGCGCTGTTGTGGCTTCCACTGGCTGTCCATATATCGCAGTAGAATTGCCAGGGCTTCACCTTGATGGGTGCTACCATCAAAAATGACCGCAAGGTATTCTGCAGAGGCGACTTCATTCTTCAGCTTTTTCATTTCAGTTTCGGCCAAAAATGGAATGAGCTGAGCAAGGTGAGAGTGGTCTGTCAGTCTGATGTTGCCTGCTTCAAGCAGTGGTCGTAAGTAATTCACTTTTGCTAGGGGAATACCAGCCCTAATGAAAGCTTCCACTACGTCAACTCGACGCTTGATGACATCGTCAGGAACGGCTGCAGACAAGCCAGACCCCGCAAGATCAGCAGTATGATCCTTCTTGTATTTCTCCCAGCTGGTAGCAAGCGTTTCTTGCCGGACACGGGACTTCTCCAAATTCTTTTTTCCTGAAGCATGACGCTCACTTTCGACATGTGACTTGATGATACTCTTCTTCGTTTGCAAAATCATATGACAGGCATTGCAGTACAGCTTTCCCAGCGATACAGAGAGGCACTCGTTCGGAAATTCCTTCACCCGGGTTGACACTGGCACCCGTTTGGTTTGGGTGGATTCACCGCCTGCGACCGTAGTCCTCTTGCTACTCGGCGACTTGCTACTTTTCGTTGTTGATCATTTCCTGGATACTGCAGCTTGTTCTGCCCTGGGGAACGAAACAGTGATGTCCTCAATACCAGATTCACTTTCAGAATCAGAAGAACTGGAAGCACTGTCTCCTTGCGACGCCATGGATGTCATTTCAAAAGCTCAACAAACAATCCTATCTAGTTTCCTCTTAGTTGCAGCAAAGACACCTTCTCCGGCTCAAAATTGTTCACTGTGCCGAAGAAAGTGAGTGAGTAATTATGGTAGTTTGGCAACTGTAGTATTGTTTCTTCTTCAGTCCTGCGACGAAATCGCGCGAAATATTGGAGAACAAGTCGTGTTTGGTTGCATGGTGGTTACACTACTGCGGAGAGATGGAATGGACACCCCGGTCAGTTTGAAGTCCGTATGAGACACATGCACGCTGGATGAGGGGAGCTCACAGGGTACGAGTATATGTGCGTTTAGCATAAGCCGAAAGAAACGACTTGTGCTGAGCAGTAGAAAGGGGAATGCGTGCGCTGGGTAACCAGCAGCCAATTCTGCAAAATGCCAGAGCTTTTAACTTTTTTTTATAGTACAATGTTTGTTGCTTTTTTGTCTTGCGATATCTTTCAGGAAATTTCATATCAACCTGTCGTTGGACAGCCCACGTCCTATTCTACAGGATGTTGAAGGCCATTTGCTTTCTGGAGGCGAGAAGCGGCCACTGACAGAGGAGGACCTGGATCACCAGTATGTCTCGGGTTTTGATGCCAGTGAGTTCTCCTGTGGCTAAATGTACATGTTTCTGTGTCTGGCTTTGTGTATCATGCTTTGCTAATGCATTGAACGGAGTCTCTCAAAATGTATACTCATGTGTGGGATTCAAGCATTTCAGTTATTTCTTTCCGAAATCTACTTTATATTAATTTTTGATGTTGCTTAATTAAAAGTGACCATATGAACACGCCCAAATGGCAGTTTGCAAAAACTGTCACGTTGTGCCTCAGTTGTTTATGTTGGATATGTGCAATAATTACATGGTTCAACCTGCTGTTCTGTTGAAATCCTGTAGACATGGCTGGATCAACAATAATCGGATACATCAGACGCGGCCTATTCTTTGGTCAGATTATACACCCTGAGAACGCTGTATTCTATGTTGAAAGGGCGGAGGCCCACGGCATTGTCAGCGATGATTTTCACTCTGTAATATATGAATCGTCCTCAGCACTCCATGTGAGTATCTGCTGGGCATTATAAAAGTCGAGTAGCTCTCTGCACATGTTATACATGTTGACTACAATAAGTGGACTGTTTGCAAGTCTCGTTTTCCTGTCACATAAAGCTTTTGTTGGGGATCAAAAGGGCCAGATTTGCTGGTGAGATTCTACCTTGTAAGGCTGTGGTTCCAATGGTGAGAGGTGCATGCTGAACGTGTGTGTGCGGTGCAACTGCTGCTATTGTGGTGGTAATGTAGAGGGGACGGTTCGATACCGGAACGGTTTGACAACAAAATTATGTAGACCCAAACCGATCATCAGCATGGATTGTTCACTCGAAATTATGTTTGTGGAAGGAAACTGGCATGTTTAAGTTTACTCTGAGGCCAGAGTCGATCGAACTGAGCCACTCCTTTGTGTTGGCCTGTTGCCTCCAAGTTGCTTGATTTTTCGTTTCAAATCAGAGGTGGCTCCAAACCGGAAAGGTTTTAGAGTGCACGTCAAATTCACGAGTTCTGAAATTAGGTAATTGCTATTGCTCCACGACGGCCAGTACAGAGCAACAATATGCCTTGTGTGTGCTTCCATTAGTTTTCATTGGTATGCGGTGCTTTATTGACGAGAGGCGAGCCGCTATTTACCTGCGACAAGAGGTTGATTTGTCGAAAGACATAAAACTCAAGTCGCAGTGCGAAGCAACAAGTCAAAACTCACCTGCTTGGTATGGCGCTTCTGGTCATTGCAGAATCATGAAATTTTGGCTCTGAGTAAAACACATCGTAGTTTCACTGTGACATATGTTTTCTAATCAAAGTACCAAGAGAGAAAGTGAATATTGAGCCCGTTCCGGTTTGCAACCTATTTCCTATTTGAAACCGTCTCCTCTACCCGGGCTTGGCGTATCACATTGCCACCACAACAGCAGTAGGAATGTACGATCACTCTCAGCATGCACCTCTGGCCATCAGAACAACCACCTCAAAAAGGTAGGCTTCTGTAGCAAGGCTCATGTTGGAGTGACTCAACCTTACTCATATGCATTTATAGACTTCTGACTGTTGTTTGCGCATTGGAGCTTCAAGCTTCGATGTACACTGTAACAGACTGTCAGTATATTGCCTATGACGTCGTAAATATTTCCACTCACATCCAAGCGGAACTTCACAGCATGGAAAAATAAAATCACACAACCACATCACTAGTTGCCTTTCTTATTTCCGCTCGACGTGAAGTGATTAGAAAATCTGAGCTCTTCTTCTCGCGATTAGCTGTTTCATCAGTCGTTATAGATCTCCTTGCTCCGATCATTGATCGTCTACGTGCTTTGGAAGTGACAGCGGAATGTAGAACGGGTTTGGCCAGGGGCCAGTCCTTGCGGTCCAATGGATCGGAGCCAAAGCTTTCCAGGTTGGGTGCAGGCACTCAATCCCAGGAGATCGCCAGTTCCTTGGGGCATGCCCAAGTCTGGTTTGTCAGGTGGAAGTTTATTGCTTCCACCTAGCTCCTCGAGTGGGCAGGCCTGCTCGAGTGATGCTGATTTGAACGACACCACGAGTGGGCAGGCACCGTCGTGTGTGGACGTGAGCACAGACGACCCGGAGCATGCTCCGGCGTCCTCAGATACAAAACAGTTCCTTCAGACTCGCTTCAGGAAGCCCTTCAAGGGCAAGGAGCGCAGGAACCTGGTAGAGCAGTTTTCCCGGCCAGAGGTCACACCTAAGCTAGATCAGGAGGTGCTGAATTTATCTGGTGTAAGGCAGTCATTCAAGAGGTCGCAAGACAACACGTACTCGCTACAGAGCAGCGTATTGGATTGTTTGGGTCCTCTCTCTGCCATGGCGATGGAGGCCAAGGCAGCGCAGGACGCTGGCACGGGCCTGGACCCGCAAGCTGTATTGGACATGGTGCCGGCTGGCTTGTCTCTTCTGTGCAATGCCAACAATAACTCTCGGCGCTGAGGCGCCAGGAGTTCCTAGAACATTTGGACAAGAGCCTGGTACCCATGGCAGAGGAGCCATTTGACAAAGCGGGCCCTATTCGGCCCGGAACTGATGGATTGCATCCAGTCCAAGGCAGAGTCCCAAGAGGCGCTGGGCTAGGCTGTGAAACAAAAACAAAAAAACAATACAAGGACACTCGAGCTCCTCTGCAGTCGAGCGACAGCAAGTCTGGCTCTGGAGGGGCATCAGCAGGTGAACGCCAGTTTAGTTTTTTTAGGTACTTGGGTCAGCAGGTACGGCACTGGCTCCCGGTTTGAGCCTTACACCAGCCCATACAACCAGACTCAATACAGCCGATCCAGTCGTGGCCGTGCTAACCGAAGCCGGATGCTTCCCCCGCCAGGGCAACAGGACGGTCGAGGACCGGACACCAGCTACGCAGCATAGCGTGGACGCTCCTGAGGCATTTCATGCCTCCGGCGGTGTGGATGTTAGTGCCAGAGGAGGTCTGGACTGGCAGATGCTGTTCGCCGTCTCAGCTCAAGACTGGGCTTTGCCTCTCGGGGGTCGCCTCGCCCTTTTTCGCCAGCAAGTGGAGACGGCCGTCCATCGATCCATGGGTTCTAAGGTCCCACCTTGAACTACATCCGCAGCCTACCCAGGATAGTGTGTGGAGGGTCGGGAACCGCCAAGATTCTTGAGTGCCATGTTTGTGATGCCGAAAGCAGGCGGACACTCTACGTTTGACCATGATTCTGGCGCTGGCAGGTGCGTATCGATGTGGGGAGGTGCGTATGCTATCTCCTCACCGCTGCCAACCATCTGAGGGTTCTATTCGTTTGTACCTGCTGCGCCCAAGGAAGACACAGCGTTCGGGTGAGCCTCTTTAGCAAGGGTGTTTCATGCCTTTTCCAGTGCCGGAGCTCTGCTCGGTACAACATGTGTTGGCGTAGGTTTCGCGCTCCGCATTGTGGCGTACGGCGGACAGCACGTAGCCGTCCCTCTTAGTGTCATTCCGGGGGCCCGGCATCAGCGGCAACAGCCACTTACAGTGCAGCCGTTCTCAGCTCCAGGGTTAAAGCTATAGCCTGACCTGCTGGTATCAGGACACTTAGTTGCCTGTCCCGTGACTCTAATGTTGCCCATGCATGGGAATGAATATGTTTATCCCACGTGTGTGTCTTGTGCGCTGTGAAGAATACGCTGTTGTATTGAAGCTTGAAGCTCCGATGCGAAATTTCCCATTTCGCTAGCAAATGGTACATTGTGACGGGAAGTGGGAGTTGTGCTAGGAGCTGAGAGCGAGATATAACAGTGCCCCACTCGCCCTCCCATTGCGTGTTGGTGGATATTTTGGGTAGGATTCATGTTCTGTTACATACATGTATGCATAGTCTCGTTTCACTAAAAAGGCAACTGTAGTGATGTGGTTGCGTGATTTTATTTTCCATGTGAAGTTCCGGTTGGATGTGAGTGGAAATATTTCTGACGTCATTGGCAATACACTGTTATATCTCGCTCGCAGCTCCTAGCACAGCTCCCACTTCCCGTCACAATGTACCATTGCTAGCGAAATGGGAAATTCAGTGCTACTAGCATCCTGTGGACTTACCCGGACAGCGTCAGAGCTTCTTCCAAAAATGATATAATTTCTTGTGTAATGTATACCGTATTATCTCTAGTATAAGCACGGTCCTTTATTTTTTCAATGTACCTCCGTCCCGTGCTATTAATGGAGACGTTCCTTTATTGGAGACTGTTCCATTATTATTTCAACCTCATTTCAGAGGCATGTTGCCATGCCAAATTCATGTCAGACACACATTTCAGGGTTTTTTCGCCGGTACAGATAATGAATTTACACAGTGTGCTTATAATGGAGACTGAGCACTTTATTTTTTGAATGCCGCCCCAAGGTGTTCTATTATTGGAGACGTGCTATTATTGGAGACTGTGCTTATATTTGAGATTATACGGTATGTGCATCTGCAGGTGCACGGTGACTATGCAGCCCCTTTGGTTTCTTCTCATTACTATTCACCTCTGCTGCACCGCTGGAAGCGTGACTTTCCCAGTAACTCCTGGATGAAGCGCGTGTGTACTGTCCATGCAGTCGCAGATCACCTTTTCTTCGAGGACGTTGGAAATGGAAATGTTGCCGATACTATTGATGCAATGGCCCAGCATATCCGGACCACGAATGCAGCACTTGTCCAAACAGATTTTGACTTTGACGGTCTACCAGATCAGGTACAGTAGTGCAGCATTGTAAAGACCGTTTCCATACACTGTCAAAGATGTTTCCTATCATGTTTTCACTTGATGGAAAATCATCCAATTTGTAGAGAAGGAACTTAGAATGGCCTTAGATATCCTATTTTCTGGTCACTAGTTACGGGTCGAATATATCAACTTTAGGACAACAAAAAAGGTGGTCGCTTATCGCTTTGAGCAGGCAGTCTCTAGTCACTAGTCACAGTGCATTTTGAATGTGAGAGCGTCCGTGTGGTCGGTGGTGGCAGGTTAGTTGCTAGTCACAATGGTCTGTGGATGCAGGTTTTACTGTATTTTGCAGTGGACGCAGCAGCATTTATTTGGAAATTGTACTATGTGCATGGAACTCAGCGTGTTAACAGATCACTGACCAACGGATTTACCGTTTTCCCTGCTCTTGTTGTGGATACACATCATAAAGATTATGGGGCATATTGTGCACATTTACATATGTCCTATCCTGTATCATGTTACCTTATGTCATTTCTTGACCCAGCAACGTAAATGGTGGTTTAGCGTGTGCGCTAAGCCCTGTTAACGAACGTGGAACATCTACCACTCATACTTAGTCTGATGATCACGCATCTGATTATGATGTCATTGCTATACATGCGCATGCGCAGCGCGCGCCACTCTCCCACGCGTGCATTCCAAATCTTGCTTTAGAGAGAGAGAAGGAGAAAAGAGAGACTCCTTTGTCACTTTTGCTTTCCGACGACTTGACTGTTCACTGGTTTGTCCGTCAGTTGTCAATTTCCCCTTCCTCCCAACCCCATTCGACTGGGGATTAATATCTCTCCGTCACTGTCACCATAAATTCCTCAATAACAGTGTCAGTACAACTCTTGTCAATATACTTATATCGGGTGAGGGCAGTCTATCTCCGCAGCTGGCTCATTTCAATCTCTACCGGTCGCAGCTCCTGCCCACGGCAGGCCGACCGTCTCTCGTTCACACTCTGTGTGCTCCAGGTCACAGCTCCTGCGCAGAGCAGGCCGACCTGTCTGTCTCTCTCTCTCTCTCTCTCACACACACTATGTGTGCACCGGGTCACAGCTCCTGCGCAGAGCAGGCCGACCTGTCTTTCTCATGCACGCCAGCTGCTCCGCCCAATATCCCTGATATGCCAACCAGAAAACAATGTGTTCTGAGCCGGGTGCATGCCTGTATGTGGAGAGTGCGTTAACACCCGGTACACAAAGAGGTCGTGTTATGTTTTGTCCTGTTTTGCAGCTGGGCATTGCTATGTCAAGGATAACTATTTTCACGCCGGAGAATGAAAAAAGCCCAGACTATCTATTTCCATCGTCGGTGCTCGAACCACACAAGCTGCTAATGCAAGCGCAGCATATGGATTTAAAGGATGTCTGCATTGGTGTTGTATTTACATCCCGGGACTTAACCAAATCAAATCTAGGAATTGCGTTCCAAGCCAGTTCAGTTCTTGGTGGTATTTGCTCCAATGCCGGACCTGTAAGGATATGAGCTGCTTATGATTTTTATGAATCATGCAGTGGACTCCACACAGTTTCATATCTGAGACGAAAGGAGCAAGCCACTTGGCTATATGGTCAAAAGCTGCTTCCACCACATCAAAGCCCCCTCTGTCTCTCAATCTGTCCGTTACGTTTCAGCCAACCTTGGCCAGCATCAGAAAAAAATGATGGTATCAGGAGCAACTGGAATGTGCATAGCTCCATCCACCGCAGGGACGTCGGAAGGTATTTTAGTGTGGTACGGTCAGCCATCTGAAGTACAATTTACTGGTCAGGGGAGTGGTGGTAGAGTCGAACATTTTGGAAATTTAGATCCCAGATCAGTGTATTTTATTGATTCGCAGGATACCTGGGGCAAAAAGTGGTACGGTCAATACCGTAGTGACCGTACTGTGTCCGATGCCCCTGCACAATAATTCCAGCACTGGCATGTGCTGCGGTCAGCGGTGCATGCATCAGAGGAACATTATAAGCTGACAAGTACATTTTTTAAAAGTGGCTTCACAGACAGAAAATGAGCAGGAATGAATCAACGGTACTTTACGTTGCAGCCAGTGGTCCAGCGAGATTTGTTATGGGTGGGAGACAAAAGAAGTTCAGCCCTCACCAACACTGTACAAAGCGTCACTGGCCCGTTTGTCAACGGTCGCGCTAATCGACCAATCAGCGTACAGCTAATGTACCAAAATTCTCAAACTTACCGTAATTCCTAGGTTCATACGGTGTAGTTTCCAAAGATTTTTATGGACCAACGTCTTCTTTCGATAGATACCAACAGATCGTCCGCTTCGAATTTTTCGATTTGATTGCCGTTTGGCCGAAAATTACCTCTGAAATCGACCTCCACTCGTTTCACTTCAAGGCTTTCCAGGTGAACGGCATCGCAATTCGGAAGTGGAGAAAGGATAGCCAGTGAAAAAAGAAAAACAACGACGTATTGGTTGTCAAAATCGACCAAGAAATGAATTCAATAGACCCGTTTCCGTGCTGCGCCCTCGCGGTCCGCGCGAGTGCGAAAGGGATTCTTTCTCGACAAAACAAACAACAACTACGCGCAGTGCATGCAGGTGCTTTTTGCAGTGCAGTACACCACGGTACACTGACACCACTGCACTGGTTGTACATACAGTGTACCTTAGGAATATCCTGTTCTTTTCCAAGGCATGATTGTCGCTAGTGGGAGAACTCAGCCACCTGAAGCTTTCATAAAGGAAGAAGTAGTACGTGAATGAGTTCGCCAGAAAATGGAACGCCAAGAAAATAGATACTGTTGCTTTCGGGCGCTCTTGAGACGACGGCAAGATAGGACTGAAACAATCGACAGTCTGTCTCGACGCAAAAGAAACTCTGCTAGAAGAAGCTTGACGCGCTGTAGAGTTTGCAGTATTCTGCTGGAAGAAGACAAGAGAACTAAACTCAGACTACAATGTGGAGCTGAAGCACAAGCGAAGCAAAAGCTGAAGCAAAAGCTGAGCGAGTTCGAAGAAATGGGGAAACACAGGAAAATGAGTGGGCGACATGATCTTTACTACTTTAGCTCGAAGCTCGCGCTAAGACACGCGGGGGGGGGGGGGGGCACGTGCGCCTACGGGTAGCGCGGCCAGCCACCATGTTTTCAAAATGGAGGTCGACGCTTTTGAAATCCGTGTAGACGATGGTGAGGGCTGAAGTTAACAAAAATAATAATTGAAAATTCACCATTGCAAATTGATTGGGCCTCTTGTCTGTCACTTATTGGCACATAGTTGTTTAATAGTCATTGCCCTGTCGTCACATCATCTTGCAGTCTCAAGGGCAAGTAACGTTTGGCAATCACAGTACCCATCAAGATCTCTGGATGTGACGCTAGCTGCTAGTTTACCGCATTGTGCTTACAGCATACGAATCATTTATGGCAAGCCATGTTTCCAAACAAACGCAGTCGTATGTCTCTTCTGTGCTGCGTTCAGGTTTACAATGTGATGATCGTTGCGTTTGTCTCCAATGGCAGGCGCTTGTCACCGCTACTGACTGAAGTGACCCTAATGCATGAACTAGGACATGCAATGGGTGCCTCTGTAAGTGTGTGTGTGTGTGTGTGTGTGTGTGTGTGTGTGTGTGTGTGTGTGTGTGTGTCCCATATGGTGCAGTGGTTATGCGCAGCGATTTCCAATCGAGAGGTTGCGGGTTCGATTCCCGACGATTATGGTCACACGTCTTTCTTCTCTTTCTCAGACTCCTCCTGACTTTCCTTTCATTCTCCTGGGTGGTTACCAACAGCCAGTGAATGCCGCGGAGTATGTGGTGTGATGTGTGTGCGGAAAAAGTATGAAAAAGACCAAAAAGTAGGGATTCACTGCCCAGAAAAAGCCACTTCATAGCTGTGTGGTGTAGACCAGGCTGAATAGTGGCGGCGGTCAATTCTTCAGCCTTGCAAGCTGTTGAATGGTGCAATCCCAACACAAGCTGCTATGGCTTCTGCTGTAGCATCGCTATCATCGCCTCCGACGATGGGCGTCCAATGGTCCAATGGTGTGTGTGTGTGCGCGTGCGTGTGGATTCACTGGCCAGAAAAAGCTACTTCAATCAGGCGTGTGGTGGATACCAGGCTAAAATTAGTGGTGGTCAATTCATCAGGCTTGCAAGCTGTTGAATGGTGTAATCCCAGCACAAGTTGCTATGTCCAACATAGTTGCTCGCTATCATCACTTCCGCGATGGGCAGGTCTGAGGTCTGAGGTGTGTGTGTGTGTGTGTGTGTGTGTGTGTGTGTGTGTGTGTGTGTGTGTGTGTGTGTGTGTGTGTGTGTGTGTGTGTGTGTGTGTGTGTGTGTGTGTGTGTGTGTGTGTGTGTGTGTGTGTGTGTGTGTGTGTGTGTGTGTGTGTGTGTGTGTGTGTGTGTGTGTGTGTGTGTGTGTGTGTGTGTGTGTGTGTGTGTGTGTGTGTGTGTGTGTGTGTGTGTGTGTGTGTGTGTGTGTGTGTGTGTGTGTGTGTGTGTGTGTGTGTGTGTGTGTGTGTGTGTGTGTGTGTGTGTGTGTGTGTGTGTGTGTGTGTGTGTGTGTGTGTGTGTGTGTGTGTGTGTGTGTGTGTGTGTGTGTGTGTGTGTGTGTGTGTGTGTGTGTGTGTGTGTGTGTGTGTGTGTGTGTGTGTGTGTGTGTGTGTGTGTGTGTGTGTGTGTGTGTGTGTGTGTGTGTGTGTGTGTGTGTGTGTGTGTGTGTGTGTGTGTGTGTGTGTGTGTGTGTGTGTGTGTGTGTGTGTGTGTGTGTGTGTGTGTGTGTGTGTGTGTGTGTGTGTGTGTGTGTGTGTGTGTGTGTGTGTGTGTGTGTGTGTGTGTGTGTGTGTGTGTGTGTGTGTGTGTGTGTGTGTGTGTGCAGTAGTCACTAATATTCCAGTTTCAGTTCAGGTTTTCATGAGATGGCCCATGAACCCAATCCGTCAGGCGAAATAGCACGTCATAGTACATTTGAGATCAGCGGGAAGAAGATGACGACGTCCACTAATTTAGTATCTGTGCACACGAATCTGCTGTGTGTGTGACTGTGTGTCAGCTATGATATCATCTTCTGTGGTTCCATGCCTAGCATGTACGTCTGAACCATCCTGCAAAGTTTGAATGACGTAGGTTGAGCGATCGCTCCGCGAAACATACTTTTTGAAATTCTCTTCATAGTATATCTTCCACCATTGAAATTTCGAATTTCTTCAAAAAAAGTGCTGAGAGGGCTGGCTTGCAACCTCGATATGGCTTGTTCCAGGCATGCTTTGGAGCCATCTTCTGTTGAAGTAGTGGCGGGGATCTGCCTTGCAACTGCTACAACCAAAAATGATTCGATCTGAGAAAGGGTGAGACCGCGAATCTCGGTTGAATATTGAGTATTTCAAGCCTTTTCACGACGAAGATGGAGTTCTTTTTGGAGATGGACGTCGCGGCAAAGGACATGGTGTCCGACTTCTGGCGTCTGGTGAAGCCAGGGATCATTTGTCCAGTCAGGTCGGCAGCCTAACCGTCGGTAAGCTTGTGTTTGGATCCCGTTCTGCTCGATGTGGTAGATCACAAACAATTTGATATCGCACAAATTGATCTCAGCATCGTGCGTACGGTATTTTATATTCAGAAAATCCCAAAGTGTCTCTGTGTGGCCGTCCTATGCCACGAGAAACTCCAATCAGGCTCCTATGTCCTCTGTCTTCATGATTGAATGTCCACTTCGTTTGAACAACGAACACAACAATCGAGGACGGCTTTGCAATGAAAACTACAGCTATACTGGAGCTGAAAAAAAGAAGAAAAAAACGTGCTCAGGATGAGACTCGAGTACACGCATACTCTCCCAGCAGGTGAAACGCAAATTTTTGTGAAAAATGCGTGTCGCCGACTGACCAGTAATTTCGCCTGACGTGTTTTGGACAATGCGCTCCCCGGTTTGGACATTTGGCCGTAGCCTAATTGCAAGCGTCTGTGAGTTTCCATACTGGTACTTCGACGTACTACATGTATAATTGTACAGCAAGACGAAGCGAGAGAGAGAGAGAGAGAGAGAGAGAGAGAGAGAGAGAGAGAGAGAGAGAGAGAGAGAGAGAGAGAGAGGGGGGAGGGGAGGCAGAAGACACCATTGCGCCTGTTCGGTGCGGTCTACACCCACATACAAGGAGCGGGGAGAGAAGCAAGAGAAGTACATTCTCATGCATCAAGGTGAACCCGTATGCAAGAATTAGGGTCCCGGGTCTGGAGTTGTGTGAGAGTGCAAACATTAGTATGCAAGAGAATACTGACGCCAGAAAGAATATTCGAATGCAGGCAGCAACATTCAAATATTCGAAAATTCAACAAATTCGTACTTTATGGCTATGTTATTTAGTTCCAACCTTTTAATCTCCTGAGCAGTGTGGAGGATGATAGTGTAGAAATTATGTTCTGAAGCTCTTAAGCTTGTTCTTAAGTTGAATCTGCTCTTTCACCAGTGGCTATTGACTATCAACGTGATCTGTATGCAAACATGAATGTTGGGTCTAATTGAGTGAAGTGATTGAGGCACATCAGAAGAATATGAGTCAGAAGAATATAGAATATTCGTTCGTTCGTCAAACAATACTCGAGGAAATATTCGTTTGAAGAAAGCACCATTCGTTGCATCACTAGTTGGCGAACATCTACCGTATTTTCCGGAGTATATGGCGCACTGGAGTATAAACCGCACCCCCACTTTTGCCCCGAAATAAAGACATCTACCCTATCTATCATCGTTAACCTGATCATCGGAGCATAAGCTGCACCCCCATTCTTTTGGGTGAATTTCGAGGGTCGAAAGTGCGGCGTATACTCTGTAAAATACGGTACATGTAGGTCGGTGGCATTCAGTGATTTGTTTATGAAGATTTTTTCAACATATCTGATGCAATGAAGCTAGGGCCCTGCTGTATTTACTTTGATATTCTTTTCTGACCCGATCGGCACAGCATGATACCAGTGCATGTCATGACAGCGACGATCCCAGTGGATACTACATAATGTATGCCAAGTCCACACCGGGCTACATGCGCAATAACCGCATGTTCAGCTCATGCAGCCGCCACCAGATTGCCAACGTCATGCGACACCGAGCTGATATCCAACGGTGTTTGAAACGTGAGTATGACTAGGCAATGGAGCTGGGATGCAGAGAAGCTACACGTTTTCTGACGAACACAATGCAGAAACTGCTGTTGTTGCATTTGATATGGCTATTCTGCTGAAGTACATATCAATACGCATGAATTGAATACTGATCAGCTTGGGCGTATACGACATGTACTACTAGTATGCAGTGCCCCTGTGTGCCACATGTGTATACTGTTTCAGAACATAGCCCAGAAAAAATACATCACCTTTAATATCTGTAAAAAAGAGAAGAAACACATGAGAAAGAGTTATGCAGCAACTATCCACGACTGTAACAAGATGATAAACGGTCAGAAAGTGCGATAATACCGGGGCACAAAATTGACAGGCCACTGAGACATTCAGCGACCCGAGACCTAGCTCTAACATATCTCCAGTGTGCAAACCAACAGCCTTCCAACTTGGAAAGTTCATGGTTCCGTAGGACCGAAGATAGTTGCTGCATAACTCGTTCTCATGTGTTTCTCTTTTTTACATTTATTACTGGCTCAGTATCCGACTGTTGATGGCTTCAATAGCTGGTGTTAGTCACACAGCATTCTAAGAGAGGTGTGATTACCAGTATATTCACACCTCTCTCAACTCTCTCTCAACTTTTTTAGTTGAGGGAATGAAAAAGGGAAAGCCTGAAGAAAAATTGACTGTCACCACCAGGACTCGAACCAGGGACCTTCGCTTAAGGCCAGCGATGCTTTAAAGGGGAAGTTAAGGCAAAAATTAAAATTTCACCAGTTGTAGTCTTCGGGGTGCTGAGTCGAATGGTCTTGGTCCGAGAAAGCTGAGACGCTCCCTTCCTACTTGAATCCCAATCGAACTCGCGCACTTCCACCGAAACTGGGTGACTGCGCCCTACTAGATGGGGATTTGTATGCAAAATGTCACTAAAAGCGCCGTTTCGTTCTTATAAAAGCACGGATGACCGCGATTGGCCCATATGTTGTAGTCTTTTGGACGCTGCGTCGACTGGTTTTGGTCCGAAAAGGCTGCGATGCAGCGTTCCTCCTTTATTCCCAATCGAACATGGTTGAACACGCGGTCACGTGCTCCTGCATACACCAGTCAGCTGGTCACCGTGCCTGCAGGGTACAACTTACTAGCCTGTTTGACCTTTTTTGGGTGCAGTCCTGTCACTCGAGTTGAACTCGAGTTGAACCTTGGTGTGAAAGTTGTCGCCTGCTGGCATGGTGACCAGGTGATTTGGGCACCCAGGAGCACGTGACCACTTGTTCAACCATGTTCGTTTGGGAATAAAGGAGGAACGTTGCATCGCAGCCATTTCGGACCAAAACCAGTCGACTCAGCGTCCAAAAGACTACAACATATGGGCCAATCGCGGTCATCCGTGATTTTATAAGAACGAAACGGCGCTTTTAGTGACATTTTGCATACAAATCCCCATCTAGTAGGGCGCAGTCACCCAGTTTCGGTGGAAGTGCGCGAGTTCGATTGGGATTCAAGTAGGAAGGGAGCGTCTCAGCTTCCTCGGACCACGACCATTCGACTCAGCACCCCGAAGACTACAACTGGTGAAATTTTAATTTTTGCCTTAACTTCCCCTTTAACCACTGAGCTATGGTGTAGCTGTCATCCCAATCACGGTGTGTGATTATACTCTGCTGTTATTCTGGTACTGTCCAGATGTGAACCAGTCCTACTGCGGCAATGGGATAGTTGAATCCGGTGAAGAATGTGACTGCGGAAGCGCGAAGGACTGCGAGGCTATCGACAAGTGCTGCTACCCGCGTGAGCATCCCTTGGGAGGCTGCACCGTACAGCGCGATAAAGGATACCAATGCAGGTATTTTTCTCAAAGAAGTGAATTAGCCAAAATGTGCTTGTAGATCCACGTTCAATGTTTCGAAGGCTTGGGAGTATATTATTATATCATTATCTGCACTTCCGCAGCAGTGTCAACTACAGCTTGCACGTGGATGCAGCTATTCCACGCATCCGCCCTTGCCGGATACAGGGGCTTGGGAGTAACAACCCCAATTGTCAAGAGACAAATATTTTATAAGATAGACAGAAACTTGGGTAGAACCAGTATGCTGGGGACGTGTCACTTTGCACGGCTACTGCAGATCACTCACAGTATGATCTTTGCTCACTGCGTGCAGGTTTAACATGGTGTTTGGCACATAACACAAAGCAGTCGCTGCTATTGCAACACAGGTGGTCGCTGAATCCGATGCACTTCCCATATTGAACTGTCAGTGCATGAAAATAGTCCCTAAAGGCAGCGCGCTGCCTTGGCGATAATAATGATAAAGGAAAGTTAGTTGCTCGCAACATTCGAGCTAATCCTTAGTGACTAAGTCTTCTTGTGTGCTCTGGATAGCAGTCGTGAATCTGTCAAATTACCGTTTGCAACTTTCCCTCAAACTAATGAATATCAAATCCTATCGGAAAGCACTAGTTCTAACATTGTGAGCAACCAACTGCTCAATTCGCAGGATGTCTTGAGCGATGATGGACTGATATCATCTTGCTAAATTTTAGCAGCAAGTTGTGTCACCAAATGTTTGTCAATCCTGTTTTCTTGTCCTATTCTGCCTGGCTCCAGTCCGAACAAAGGACCATGTTGTACTGACCAATGCCAGTTCAAGCCGTCAACAACACTGTGTGGAATGAGGAGTGATTGCAAGCAACAGTCGGTTTGCAGGTAAAGTACAGTGAAACCTGTCTAAGACGACCGCTCAAGGGACCTTGAAAACTTGGTCTCTGTTACCAGGTGGTCTCCTTATCCAGGGTCATTTGACTGGAAATAGCATCCCGTTGTCCTGGTTTCAGTGGTCTTCCAGGATAGGTGGTCGCCTTATCCGAGTGGTCACCTTGACAGGTTTTACTGTAATAGTGATTCACAGAGTTTCATAGCAAAGTGTACAATGGTTCAATACTCAATATACATATTAGAAGGAGGTTTCCTGGCACATGTATCGATGGTTGGTGATCCTGTGAGCAGTTGCCATGTCTTCTGAGAGCAACTTGCTAAACGACCATGGTTTGCAGACCAGTGACTGAATGCAGAAAGCCAGTCTTTAGGTGGTCCCTCTGCAAGCGTCTCCACCATATTTCCGATCATACGTATTGTCCCAATGTCATTCCTATGTGTCAGCTTACGACCGCATAGCTGGTTTGTCCCTCTGCAGTGGTGACAGTCTTCATTGTCCTCCTTCACAGCCACACCGGGATATGAGAAGGTGTGCCAATGGCGGTGCAGTCTGTGTTGAAGGTACGCTATTGAGTCATTGGGATCAATGAGCTGCGCAGCCATGATGATAGCGGCAGAATGGTAGTCTTACGTCTACACCAGGGAGTCGTACTCAAACTAGGGAGGTGACACGGCACAGAAATCCGTGTCACAGGGGTTGACTCGCACCCGTGACCCCTCGTTGTTATTTTTGGAATAGTTCAGTCCAGTCCAGTCCGAAAGGTCATACTCGGATCGACTCGCCTTCTGTACTTCACCTCCAAGCGTGCCGCATGGGTGTCTAGTTTTGAAATTATTGAGGCAGCGCATTTCGTTTTTATAAATTTACAGCCCATCACTCGCCAGTATTCTTTGAAAGACTTCCAGCAATTTTTTTAGCTCCTGCCATGTCCGAACTACTTGATAGCAGTGATGGCAACAGCAGCAGTTATGAAACGGCGTGTTGTGTTGCGGTAACTGTTCAGAACTTTTCAGAGTCGTATCCCAGGTTAATCCGAATACTAAAAATTGACCCAAATTGCACATAACACGAAGCTGGTTTTTGAAAATTGTAAGTTGTGTATCTGTCCCATTTCTTCTTTATGACTTGCACAATACACCGGTCTTCCTAAACAACACATTTATAGCAGGGGTTAAGTACCATATAAGAGAAGTACAGCCAGTGATATTGTCATGTTGAAATACTACAATTTTGACACAAATTACACATAACACGAAGCCAGGTTTTGAAAATTGTAAGTCGTGTATCTGCCCCATTTCTTCTTTATGACTTGCACAATGGTCCAGTCTGCCTAAATAAAACATTTATAGCAGGGGTTATGTACCATATTAGAGAAGTACAGCCAATGGTATTGTCATGTCTAAATACTACAATTTTGACACAAATTACACATAACACGAAGCTGGTTTTTGAAAATTGTAAGTCGTGTATCTGCCCCATTTCTTCTTTATGACTTGCACAATACACCAGTCTTCCTAAATAACACATTTATAGCAGGGGTTAAGTACCATACAAGAGAGCTACATTGTACATCTAGTCATGCTGTCATAAACAGCCAGCATTTTTCCTGCAGCAGTCACACCACCATCATCATTATTTCCAGGGAAATCCTCTTACATGTACATTGTCAGCTCCTATGTCGTTAGATACAATGTAGGGGGCTGTAGGACCGGCTCGTCAAAAATAGAGAACCTGAACAAGCGTGCTCGGGACGTCTCAGCAATCGTAGTATGCCTGAGCACTCCAATAAAAACTTGATCAATGGCAAAATCGTTCCCCACAGTAAAATCATACTTTGCGGGTCTTGCGTTGCACGCTTGGAGGTGAAGTACAGAAGGCGAGTCGATCCGAGTATGACCTTTCGGACCGGACTGGACTGAACTATTCCAAAAATAACAACGAGGGGTCACGGGTGCGAGTCAACCCCTGTGACACGGATTTCTGTGCCGTGTCACCTCCCTAGTTTGAGTACGACTCCCTGGTCTACACATATTTTTGCACTTAAAACATAGTTTTGAAGCTGCTTGAAATATCCTATTATGGGTCACCACTGTAATTGTATGCACAGGCGAGTGCATTGGCTCCCCTTGCCTCCTTCTAAAGGATATTGGTTGGTCCGTATGCGAATGCCGGAGCACCGGCACTTCCTGCCATGTGTGCTGCGAGAAGAACGGCATTTGTGTGGACACATTTTCAGGACATGCGGTAAGTAGTGTGTTGCGGACATTGTTGTCAGGTGTTTGTGTTGTTGTAGTTGCTGCACGTGCTTGCATGTTGTCTGCTTGGAGTAGTTGTGCACATCTATGTGTCTTTCTGGTGGTGCCCTGCTCCTTGTTCATGGTTGACTGTCCTCTATTGCGTCTGTTGAAAAGGATGTCTGAAAGTAGCAGTTGAGTCATGTAGTGTACTGTCTCACCTCTCCATGTACTACAAGTGACTGCCTACTTTAAGGTTGGCTTTCATACGAGCAAGTAGACGTTTTGCGGCGGGAAAGATTCGTGAAATTTAAAAAGCACAAAGCAACATTTTTTGTCTGGATACAATGGCATCACACTTCTTAAAACTCCTTTTCTGCTTCCTCCTTCCCTTCCCTCATGACAATTACTCTCCCTCTCTCAGCTCGTATTATTTAGGAGATTCCCTCTGATAGGCATACATTTGCCTGTGGTGGATGCTTTTTAATGTCAAATTGTGCTGTCGGTGTCGACATAATTTATAGCTCAATTTAATTGCTGCTAAATATACCCGCCATCTGAAATCGCAAACTAAAAACGCCAGAAAAAAACCTGCTCGGCAGTATGCACCGAGCTTATAGGGATTGTTCTAATGCAGACTGTATATCGCATGACATGCAATATACTACTCGCGTATGTAGCACGACTGAGTCTGGCAAGAAGATTCTGATATTATTTTTCCAGCCCCAGCAATGTAACGTTACTCAGGGGCGTAGCTGGTCCCCCTTTTGGGGAGGGGGTGGGGGTTGCACGGCCGCTTCAGCAAAGTATTCTTGAGGAATATGTTGCATTTGAAGTTCGAATATCATACGTGTAGGATGGCTGGTGCATGCCATCATGATCATTATGTGCATGCTGAACCTGTTACTTTTATCATCACTGCTACTTATCTGTGCAGGACTTCGTCACGGCGAATATTTCAAGTTTGCTGCATCCTAGCAACACACCATGTCATCACTATGAGGGATATTGCAGCAGCGAAGGTGTTTGCAAGGGTGTTGACTTCGATGACTACACCGAGGCTGTCGGCAAAGTGTTCCACCATGTCTTTGCTGTAAGTCTGGAGCAGTGGTTTTCAACTTTTTACTGTCCCACAAAGCTTGCGAACAGCCGTTACCAGTACCTGGGTAATGTTGTACATACAGTGGAACCTGTGTTGGAAGACCACCTTTCTATAAAGACCAGTATTGTGCACACTGCTGGGTGACAGTTGCTCAATACAGGTTACACTGTACAACAAAGTAAAGTCGCACATTGTATTCGGGTGCTTCGACTCTTTATGGTTTAGACTTCGGGCCACCATGACTCTACGGGTGTTTAGTTCCAAAGGCGGTTTGTTACCTGAACCATTTCGCACCTAGTGAATCCATTCAACCAGTTCTGGCATTACAGTTGAACTCCCCTTATCTGGGCAGGTTGGGACCATAACTCAGAACATACGAAGGGCTCCAATTCAAAACGAGACAAATCCATTTTGTGGAAATTTCAGGAAGTGCATTTTTCTTTTTTTTCTTTTTCGATCTGCACTGCAGCATCAGTGACTTTTATCGCGTTTTGACCCGTAAAACTGACAAACAGATGTCCGTGGGGTGAAAACGAATTCTTTCGTAGCAAAACACGCAAAAGCTCCGGTTTGGTCTTTATCGCATTTTGAATTGGAGCCCTTCATGTATACTTGTTGCATGCAAGAAGACACATGTTATGCTGATCAATAGTTGGTTGGGGCCTTTTTCATTTTTAAAACTGAAAAAAACCTATTTTTGTTACTCGAGAGAGGTCAGAAAAGTGGCCGGTAGAGTGACGTGCCCGGATTTGGAGTGTCCGGGTAAGGGGAGTTTCCCTGCACATTGCCATAGACATGTGAGCCGTGCCAAGCTAAAAAGTGGCTTAGCATTTTGCCAACAAATCGAGAAAATCACCAAAACGCCACAGTTTGAAAAATAATTCTACTCGAGCGCGGCAGGGAAAATATTTCACTTTCAAGTTTGCAAGCGGAGAAGAAGAAAGAGGCCTTTTATTTTTGAGCAACACTTCTTCAGTGTTCCCTCTTTCATCGTTGCGAGGATTTCTCAGCGTTGGCAGAGACTGTAATGGAGCGTTCTAGAGAATGTGGAGGTGAGCAGGATGATATTCTGTCTCCATGTGCGCTCAAACCTGCTTGACGAGGAAGACTTGCTCATTCATAGTGGCTGTGTTTCTTATCGTAGTCGCGACTAGAGCGGCTAGTATAGCTATGGGGAGATGTATACAAGCCTTCCGACTATCATTCTGACAAGCTGCCTGGTGAGTTGGCTCTTGCTGCGATGTTTCACTTTGTTTCAGCTACCTTCACGCGTTCATGACGTGGCGTACTGGATTCCAAAATGTCCTCGTTTCAAGGAAATAGTGCCACACAACAAAGTGATGCATTGACTCTACCTGCTAGCATATCGTCCCGTGGCGCCTTCTACCAGTATCCTTGCCAGGGAAGGAGAATGACATGGACTAGGACGGACAAAGAACCAGTGCCGCTTTTTAGCGATGTGCAGTCTACTAGACTTGCCTGTAGGTGCAAGGACAGTACACCAATGGAGCTAGATGTTGATGTGTATGGTGACGTGACGTCATGGAAGCCGCTTTGCCACGGGTCAGGGCAACCCTGCCCGTGAGCTAAATTATTCGTTTGAGTTTCTTGAAGAAGTTAGGTGTTTGTCCCAGGACTCCTTGTGTTCAAGGTCTGAGAGTGAGAGTTGGACACGCAGAGCGAGAGACGAACATAACAGATGTCTGACACAACACTACATGAAAAGATTAATTCTAGCTGGCATAGGTGGTTGGAGAGAGTATGGCGGACTGTCTTGGTAAGATGTGACGTTTCCCAGCCCAGCGAAAATATCGTCACAACATCATTGAAGAATATGAAAATTCGTGTTGCGTGATAACTTAAAATGACATGAGATATGTAGATCAGTTTAATAGTAGATCAGTTATTTCGTCTTTCTTAGATCTTCTAATTAGAACACAAGTGCTCGTTCTTCTTGTATTGCCGGCACAAGCATTGCTAAGCATTGTCTCCACTTGATGTCCCATGTTTTTTTGGAGTTTGGGCAGGTTTTGGAATCCTTCGTGCCATTGATACCAGGCATTCTCTGACATGTGCACAATGTATGCTTATTTATGGAACATATACATTTCAGATGGGCACCAAAATTTCCATGATGGGAGTTGGATATATAGAGTCATCACTTTGGCATGAAAAAAGAATTGTCCAAAAATTATGCCTAAGCCACCTTTTGGTTTGGCTCGGCTCATGTATCATTTGCGTGAATTTGCACGCACTCGCACATATCTTCTGCAGGGAATGAAGGCACTGCTGAACTTCTGGTACCTGGTACTGTTTTCACTGATGCTGGGACCACTGGCCTTTTATTCATGGAAGGTGAGTGCGTGCACCTGGGCATTGGCATGCTTTTCAGTGACATGCTGGTGGAAGTGTTTTTTTTTCGGGTCCTCACTACCCATGATACATGTGTTCGTTCATGGGGAGAGGAAGGAGGCATTGCCATATCAGTATTTGCACATCCATGCTTCCTTGCAATGAGACTGAAACTGCCACTTCGAATATATGCTTAGTGTAGTTGTTTCCAACAAGAAACTGGAAGACTGCAGCAGCAGCAGCAGCAGCAGCAGCAGCAGCAGCAGCAGCAGCAGCAGCAGCAGCAGCAGCAGCATGAAAAGGCTCCAGCGACATTAGCTTCTGATCCAAAACAATTTAACTGTTCGTGTGAGACTCGGCTAGAGTTAGGTCAAGTTTTCCGCATCTATAGGAACACCACCACCCTCAAGGATCAAGTCGCAGATGCAGCTCCTAAAGCAAAGGGAGGTGAGTAGACCAGACCCACCACAGCGTGGTCAAAGACCGAAAAATCCCATTCACCGCTTCCAAGCAGGACTTGAACCTGGTACCCTCTGTTTATCCATCATGGTCTTAGACCATCCCACTGTGCCCGCCTGTCAACCACAATATACTAGTACGCATTTTTTTTACATATTGTCCTGCACCACTTCAAATGCAGCGGTTTATTCTTTGCCGGTGTGGTTTCTTCGTAACCACCTTATGTATTTGCTTTAGTTGGCAAGCCTCTCCTCGACTGACATCCACCAGCGCTACGAGGCCTTCAAGGTGAGAGTCAGCGAGGACTTCACTGCGCCCGAACAACCGCCGGAAAGGAACAAAGCTCGCTCGCCTAGGAGAGTCTCACAGTCTACACACGCGCTATAGACACCGTGTTACAGCATATGGTTACGTCACTACATGTACTATGTACCTGGTCACCTTCAATCTACTGTGAACGTATGTATATAGCAGCTACTGTTGCTGACATCTGACCAGTTCTAAGCCCAGCATGTAGAAAAATTGGAATTGGAATATCAGCGACTAGAAATTGGAATATAGAACACAGCAATATTCATGCCAAGATTAGCAACTAAGCTAAGCCTCACTTACAAAGGCGCCTATAGATGGGCACGTTTTTTAGTTCCGTACGCCATGACTGGAACCATTCTCTTGCTTACAACCTAGACAGTGATATAGTTTTACAACATGCATTTAAACAAAACGTATACACCATAGAGTATTTGAATATATCAAAAGAATTCATGACGTTTCAGAATGGATTACGCCGTCTGTAGTAGACAGCTGTATTATGCTAATGAATGCAAACTGCCTAGAAGAATAGACAGATCGGGGGGGGGGGGGGGGGGTAGGATTAAGTGGATGCTCCTCTTCCACGTTATCATGTGGACAATGCTAACGTTGCTTGGTATCATGAAGAAGAAGTACACACAACCTTCCTTCCCTGTGCTTAACTGGCACATCGTTCATCTTGTGTGGAATTTGAAGACGAAGACATGTGTGCACTCTACTTCTCGGCGCCGCTATCCTCTCGGATGAACTTGATGGCCAGGATGAGACCGATCACTTGCAGAATTACGAAGATAATAGCGACTGTGAAGATGCCGACAGTGTACTTCTGGAACTTCTCGAACATAGCATTTGAGCAGCCCTGCAGTCACAGTGCAAATGTTACACGGCAAGCCAATACAGGTCAGATATGTAGCCATTTACTGGTAAGTAAGGCCATATTATGCCTTTGTCACATTCCTGCCAAGCGCAATTCCTGTCTCACGGTGAATCTATAGCAACAAGAGTACATACCAGAGTGTGCAACTCCCGCATACCCTGATGTCTTGACAGAATTTCAAGTTGATGTCATTTTTACGATGCAATGCTCCTTGTTCCAGTGAAGTTTGCGACATTTGTGCGTGATGTTGAGACATCACACGTGCTTCCTTGAACAAGCTTGTACATGATCAAATGGGCTTTGTCCACCACAGGTTCAGGGTACATCTGACAATATGGGTACAATGCGCATTGTGTCATCGAAATGACGTCAACTTGAAATTCTCTCGGGACAGCACCCATATTTGGAGGTGCACACTCGTGGGGGTTGTGTACTCTTCGTAGTAGTATTCTATCAATATGTTACAGGACATTTTACTCGACACAAAGTTTTTATTACAATCGGCAAACTGCGAGAACAACACGGGACAAAGAACTGAACGCATTCAAATGTAATCAGGGCTTGTTGTTATGACATTGTACTAGTAACCAGTCAAGCTGCTGCTCACCCTCGCATTATCAAGTACTAACCAATCAGACAAAATAGCTACCTTCTGAAATGTCGAACATGTCACTAGCATTTTTTTAAACTATCTCGACCACACCTGTTATCATATCCCCGTTTGTTTTCATCATCCATTGTTCTTTGCCTCCTCGTGTTGGTTCCCATCTAGCTGTTTCTGACTAGAAGCAATACTATGATACTTATCCGCAATCTTCCTTGTTGGCTTCTCGCCACCATGGAATAAGAGAATAAAAAATAAAATAACTGACAAGCCTTCGAGACAAGTGAAAGTGAGTGCCACAGTTACCTTTTGGTAGGGGTAGGTGCAGACTGCAGGTTGATCTTTGCAGCAGGCCGCGGGAATGAACAGGTTGGCGTTTATGTAGTCGGTACTGCTGTTGCTCCCGCAGCATTCGAACTGCAGAGACAGATAGAGAACAGTTCCTCAGAATTTCTAAGCATTGCTCAAAACTTGAGCAACACCGGCCAATAATTATGATGTGCTGCTCACTCATGGAAAGTTGAAAAGGAGAAGGCCCGCATAAAGAATAGATTTCATGGCAGGAAGACAAAATAATCAGCATGTGTGCTAGTACTAGTAGCAAGGATGTCACTGGGAAGTCGGATACCAGTAGCACTTAGTAAGGCCTTTTGCAGCATCGCTCTTTACACTCCGTGCAATGGTACCAATGCGCAAAGCCATCAACACGAACAGCAGGGGAGCAAGAGAACAAGAATAGAAAGTGGATGTACCTATGCATGATAAAAAATAAAAAAAGTAAATAATTATTATCGTGTCCGTTCCCGAAGGGCTCAAGACGGCCGCTAACACCCGGTAAACCCTAGCATGTTAACGTACGGTTATATGCGGATAGTGAGTGAGGATGCTGCCAAACCGAACTCAACTGGGAATATTTTCCAACAAAACACAACAAAATCTACTTGGTTCAACATCGTTGGCTGTGGTGCCACAGTGAAAAAGTGAAAAAGGCCTCGATGCAGACTTCGTCTACTCGATCACGAGTCTGTGGATTTGACAGTTGCACAGTTTCTAATTGCAACCTTAAATAGATTGCCCTGCTGCCTGAAAATCTAGCTTACCTCCTGCTGAAGCTTGTCCAGTGCCTTCATGGTCTTGGAGTCGCTCTGAGGTCCGTATGCCTTTACCATTGCGGTGCGAATTCCATCCCTAGCACTGGTTTCACCCTGTCGGAAGACCAGACAGAAGCCAGTGTATTGTTGCGTAGGTGTGCAGTATAGTAGCTCGTTTCACAACCGCCAAGACAGGCTTTCAATTCAGATGTGTCCACTGACCAGATTTGTACCCAGATTACTCTCAAATGAAAAGCAGTAACTGTTGCAGAATCTCCCAATAACAGCATGCGAGGGGAAACCCGCTCTCGCGGAAGCCGCGGTGTGCATTATGTGTGTCTCACCTGGTCTCTGTACACGAATGCGAGCACCATCATGGTGATCTCCAGCACCATCAGGAGGACCAGGAAGATGATGAACTGTACAGAAGAGCAATACGGAACAGGTCAGAATATCAGCAATACCTGTCATTCGAATAATCGAATTCAAAGCAATGCAGAAAAGGTGGCAGCAACCAGACAATACTGCTAGTATGTGTGGGTGCCACCTTTTTTTGCATTGTATTTACCGTAATACTAGTATTTTGCTTCGGTTGGTGGATAACCTGCATAGCAGCATCACGATCTACATTACATTGTACTACTAATTTGTAGTTATAACATGACATCACATTGTGATGTTTACATGATGGGCTACAATATTGTACTAGTACCGCCGAGAAAGCCTGTAGTTGTTCACGTAGTGGTATGGTGCATTCACTGTATTGCAACCATAACTATGGCATCTCGCGCTGCAGCCACATTACCTACCGTCTTCAGCATGCACTTGTTCTTGCAGCACAGACCACCGATGCCGAAGAAGCCGACCATCACCAGAAGAACACCGACCACAATTGCCAGCGCCACCGGACCCCATAGATAACGACTCTCGAACAGGTTCGCATCGGCAAAGTCCTGGAACTCCTTAGCTGCAATGCCTCCCACGATAAGCAGGGCAAGTCCAGCACCCTAGGAGGAGAAATAACGCCGGTACATGCACAGGCTATATAGACAGGGCATGGTTCCAACACTAGTAACTATTGTTATAAGGAATCAGTGTGCCTGATGGTGACTGCTGAATGCTGGCATTGCGGATCACCACGCCACTGGCTTCAATGCTGTCTAACGTACTGAAGTACGTTGCATCAAACGTGCACACACATTGTACAGTGTATTTCAGTAGCTCAGGGCATGTATTGGTATTCGGTGGCATTCAATTTTCATTGGCTTACCAGCAAGCCCAGGTTGAAGATGAAGAGAACGAATCTCAGGAGGCCTTCAACGCACGTCCCACAGCAACCCATCTCTGCGGCTATTCCTGGTTACAATTCCTGGTAGTGAGTGTCTTGATGGAGTGAAGGGGCGCTTTGAAACGAGAGAACAAGACAATAATAAGGTTAGAGGATGCATGTTGAAGTCAGCTGGCATGGTTGTAACTTTGAGTTCCACACTGTAACTTTGAGTTCCACACCGGGCCTGCCAGTTTTGACTTGAATCCCAAACAGAAAGGAGAAACGAACTCCCGATGATACTATACATGTACTTTTAACATTCCGGACCGATGGGCTATTTTCTTCGATGGTTACCATTAGTTTTGAACTCTGGCCACATCACGCTGGTCCATGCATCGTTTTCTTCCTAGCTCAATGCCAATGCTATTCAGTGAACTGGCAATGTCGTGAATTGAAACCCACGAACCAGAGGAATGAAGCAAACTCTACAAAATCATGGTTGACGAATGCCATTATTCTCAGTTCTGTGTTCCCTTTTGGGAATAATAAGTCTTTTGCATTTTATAATAGTTATGCCTACGCGTTGCGAGTTGATTCAGTGCCACACAATGCTACAACTTACTTGTGAGCATACACTACATACAATGACAGGCTGAGTGACACACTCGGAGTGAGTTTCCGCTTCTACTTTGCTTCCCTGTGTTCTACTTCAGTAGCGGAAGGGCAAATACCTCTAAGGTTTACGTGTTGCGTCTTGTTTTTCACTGATATTGTTTCGCGGGTGAGTGGCGAACTGGAATGCTTGGTAAGCGCCCTGCAGTCAACTGCGCACGTAGGAACTCCATGCCTCCAGCCTACCTTTCTCCTTCGGCTTCGGTAGAGATCCTAGACCTAGCTGACGTACCGTCACCGTGAACGCACATTCGCTGATCGTTGGGCGGGTTATGAGGAGAACCGTAGCATCATTGAGTTCCTACGTGCGCACGTAGTACCATAAATATAATAGAGCAGTAGGATGCCCCACCGTGTCGTCTCTTATCAGATCCAGTGGCAGCAGCACTCGGAAGTGTGATAGGGTGATACCGTCTCGAGGGCACTAACCTAACTATAATAGTAATGCACCACGTACACACAAAAATGGCGAAACGCACACACACACGCCACTGTTGCTGTAGCAGTTGTAGATGAGGCACTACAGTCTAATACAGGTCATCTGCACCATAAATAGCTCAGCTACATGCATTTTCTTTCCTGCAGCTCTACAGTCCATGAGATATGTCTATGTCCATGGAGTAGGCGAACGGTCCAGTGAATCACCTGGGACCCAATCAACCAATCAGGAGGGATGCTCTGGAACGCAGCCCCACAAAAGTCTACAAAGAGGTACAACGCTGATTGCAGCTTTGACTGTACAAAGTATACATTGACTGTAATGCTGTACTCCCTGTTGGGCTACTACAATAGCGTGGTCATTGCCATTGGGTAGCCTAGGCAAAAACAACAATGTATAGGATAGCCCAGGCAAAAACAACAAGACTGGACAGGTGGTGCTTGATACGCGGCCATGTTTTCAGCTCACCAGCAACGCGCGAGGAGGATTAGATGCACACAGCGACATTGCAATTCAAAGGATTGAATCACTCTCAAAATGGCTGAGAAAGCGGTCCACGATCTTTCCTCCTTCGCTTCGTCCTTCAGAGTCAAGAAATAATTATAGTAGTGTCTGTATCTACGTGTGGCAGTATACCTTGGCTGTAAGTGTGCCGTAGTTGGCCATGGCGAGTGTATAGCGCTGGCACCAGCCATGGTAGATCCTTCGCCTTGATAACCACTAGACTTGCCTACTCTCCCTGTCCTTGCTGAAGACTTAGCAATACAAGGGAGCTGGCAATACAAGGAACATCATCATGATGACAACCGGCGAACTGATCGTGCCACTACATACCTGCTGCAGTATTTCATTCCTGTTCACACAAGTTTTGGAGATGGTGCGTACACTCGCATTGAAAGCGCGTTTAACCCAGCACACATTACTGGTGTGGAGGTGTGTCGTCTTGAAAGTGATTCACATCTGCCCCTCAAGGTCTCAATCGCCACGATCAGTACGTACTCATCATCGCTTACACGAAGTGGAGAAAACTTGACAAATAGCCGGGCACCAGTACATGGCTTGTCTAAGGCACAGCGTTCCGATGGTCGATGGTCGGATCTATCACTAGTATCAGAGTGTCCCCTTGCCACTGGATCCATTTCAACGTAAAATACGCTACCATA